AACTCACAACTGGTCAAGGTCATGACCAGGGTGATGTTCGGTCGTGAAATATGCTCCTCTTTTCAATTCCGATGTATTTTTTTTTTGTTATAGTGTTTGGCTTTCAATTTGTCCAGTGAAATGCAATAAAACGTTTTTTTTTTATCGAAAACAAAGTGAGATACGAAACATGAGGCAAAAAAGTTGTATTTTTAGATGCTTAATCAAACAAGAAATATTAAAGCTACAAAAAAGTGCCCCCCGGCACGTCGCTGGACCTAATAATTTTGGTCTATTTAGGACTGAACTAGTATCTTAATACAACAAGTAATATTGCCGGATCCAGTAAATCTTTTTTAAGATATTAATAAAAAAAGATTTTTTTTAATGCATCACCCGGTATCTTGAAATCTCTTCATTTCCAGACCCACGCTTATAGGAACTTTTTTTCATATGTTTTACTCTCTAAAATATCTCCGTCTATTTCTAGAACACCCTGTATAGTGTATGATTAAAATTGAAATAATATAAGAAAAGTTAGCACATCTGGAATATAAACGTTTTGATAGTCATTATTTAAAAGAAGCCAAAAATTTCATATAACATGGGAGTCAAAACGGCATTTTTTTAGAGAAAAGCGACTTTCAAGTAAAATAAAATCTGACAACGTCGCAATGCCAGACACGAATTACGACGGAACGCAGTGTAAATAAAGATGGAGTTTATTATTTTTGGCTTTTAGCTATTATTTCATTATTTGATAATGCACTCGGGAAATGCAAACAATTGAAAAAACGGACTTACTACCGTCTCACCGCTTCACCTGGTGTGTGAAAGTTTATTGAACGTATTAAAAAAATCCACTTATAAATAGGGAACACAATTTTGATACATACATTGTTTTTCTTTTTAAAACCCACACTGCACTTTTTGTGTATTCAAAGAAGGTGTTCGAAATGTCGTCCTCCACTTTCCACGCAAGCTTCATTACGACGAACCTAGTTTCTTCTTACTTTATTTTAAAACGTTGTTGGAAACGACCTTCACGAATGGTATGAGGATTTTCTTGAGCCCGTGTGTGAGTATTATGGATTTTTAAAATCCCGTCTCGCCTAAAAGTACATTCGTCCGTCGCTAGAATGTTTTTAATTCTAGAACATTGTAAATAAACACGGCCACGTACGCGAACAAAATCAAAACAACACGCCCGATGCCCGATAACTAACCACTGTTACCGTTTGTGATCGATTGCCGGTTCGATAAGAGTGATGAAAGGCGGACGCGCTGTTGTCATGTGTGTTTTAAATATTTAATTTAATGAAACTTACTAACTTACTGACTACAAATTTTGGCTTAACTTAATGCCATTTATTTGTTAGTTACCCAATTTAAAAACGTTTTAGATTAGATTATAAAAATTAGTAAGATTGTGATGACTGTGGTCGATATAAAGCACTTAAAATTGTAAACTATAAAGCCATTTAGTTGGCTTTTGTACCGTGGGTCATATGAACTTTTTGACTTGTTTATCAATTAAATAATGACTACCATAACATTTACGCCATGTATTTCCATTAATTGTGACCAAACGCAAATATTATTGCAGACCTTATACAGATATTTCAGCTAAGAAATTTAGAGAGGCCGCGCCATACCCTCGTATCCTCTAAACCTACGCCACTGACCATACAGACTGCACATTACGGGCCAAAGATCTTGAAGGCTTTCTGTGTGTGTGTGTATATATATGTGTATTGTGTCCGCGTGACTGGCACTTCTCAAACCACCATTTGTCATCCCGCTGAGAGACAACAGTATGACATTTGACCGACTCATCTCGCATATTATTTTTATCGAAAGCTACACCGGCTCGAAAGCACCAACTGCGGCTGTTTCCTATCACGATTCCCATGTACGGTGACCAAAGCAATAGGAATGTGCGATTAGAATCAGTTTCATGTTAGGTGGTTTCGATCTGCTTTTCCTAGGCTCCTCATGCGATATTCAAAAACATCTCAGTGTTATATCGCCTGTTATAAAAGGTGCCAAAACAGCTATAATTGTAGCTAAGGGTCAAGATGCCATCATAAGTTCAGGCAAACGGATTCTGCGGCCGTTTTGGAGAAAGCGTTACATGGAACAACAGTTTTCGATCACTGAAGCATTTGGGCGCGTATATCTGCTATTGTCGCTCGATTTCAACAAAATTTCTGATTCCCGCCATTGTATCTAAGAGGTATACTGCTGAGCTAGCTCCAGTTCTTTCGCGTCTCTTCCAGATGTCTTACGAATCCGGCACCTTCCCAGAAAACTGGAAATTTGCTGAAGTGCAACCCATCACCTGCTGAAGGAATAATGGGCACTATAAAAGTTTTGCAATACAGCTTTATTTCAAAGTAATTTCCACCACATTCAATACACTGGTCAAAAAACTTGTTCGGGGAGATGTTCTTCTCGTCTTCGGGGGGGTTGACTTGACATCAGTGCCTCAGACAAAAATTAAAAACTTGGCTGATGGCAGATGACAACCTTACCTTGTATTCTTAGGGTACAGCCTAGAAGTGATTGAAATATTAAATCTAATTTATAAATGAACAATTTATTGTTAAATAACAAAATTAATTCTTCTAAAGAAAGACTATATAATGTAATGAAACTAACGCCACCTACAGAGAATACCGACTGCTACAACCAATATAAAAATAAATTTATAGAGCTTGTAAGGCAAACCAAACGAAAACATTACCTAAATAAATTGAATAATAACTTAAATGATCCTAAGCGGCTTTGGACAACTATTGATGAGATTACTGGGAAAACAAAAGTTAAAGAGTGTGTCACTGAGTTAAATACAACATCGGGAACAGTATTAAAAAATACTCAACAGATATGCGATGAACTTGTACAATTCTTTACTGACATAGGCGAAAATTTAGCAAGTAATATACAAGCAAATGTACAAAATACTCAGCCTCCAAAAAGAACTTTGAACTCATTTATTTTGGATAAAGTCGAGCAATGTGAAGTATACACCACTGTTATGTCCTTAAAAAATCGGAAAAGTCCTGGGTTCGATGGTATTAAAAGCGAGCATTTGAAAATTATAGCCGAGGACATAACAGAACCACTCACTTACCTAATCAACAAATGCTTTGAATCTGGCATATATCCCTCAATTTTAAAAAAAGGTAATATAATACCGATACATAAATCAGGAACAAAAACAGATGTTAACAACTATAGACCAATATCAATAATAGTGTAGCAAAGGTTTTTGAAAAAGTTTTATCTACTAGAATGATTCGATACCTCACAAAATTCAAAATTTTAAGTGAAAATCAATATGGATTTACAGAAGGGAAGGCTACATCGGACGCAATAACTAAAATTGTAAATCAAATACATCAAAATATTGATAACAGAATCCCTTCAATCTGCATTTTTGTTGATTTAAAGAAAGCTTTCGACACAGTTAATCACAAATTATTATTAGAAGCATTGGAGAGAATTGGTTTCAGAGGAAACGCGTACTCACTGATCGAAAGTTATTTGTCAAATCGCCCACAATCTGTACAGATATCAGGATCATTTAGTAAAGAAATGTATATTAAGTGTGGTGTCCCACAAGGAACTGTCTTAGGTCCGCTGTTATTCAATATATATTTAAATGATATTTTCCAAATTAATTGTGTTGGCAAAATAACTAGTTTTGCAGATGATACTGTAATATTATATGAAGGCACTGACTAGTCTGATCTGAAAAATGTAATTGAAAATGATTTTATCAAAATTATTCGGTGGTTTAACAGTAGAAAATTAAGCATTAACTACTCTAAAACACATTTTTTACCATTTGGATCTTATGCTAGACATCTGCCAAATTACACAAATTTCTCCTTCAATATTAATGATCAAAAAATGCAAATTAATAGAGTGCCCAACATAAAATACCTTGGAGTGGTCTTGGATCCTCACTTACGATGGGACATCCATGTCAATTATATTTTAAAGAAAGTTAGATTTGTATCCTGCAAAATTAAATACCTTGGGAATATATTGACAGAAAAATATCTTCGAACATTATACCATGCACTGATTGAGCCTCATCTCACATATGGTATATTAGCATGGGGAGCTGCATGTTCCTCACATATCTATAATTTAGATGTTTTTCAAAAAAGTATTCTAAAAATGATATTTAAAAAACCGAAACTTTATCCCACTGAAAAATTATACGCAGATGTTCGAATGTCTGATATAAGACAGCTTTATTTCTTACACAGTATCACTCACTACCATAAATTTGTAAACACTGACCAAAAAATTAAACATAATCATTATACCAGGTACAAAATTCGTGGCACAGTAGTTCCTCAACCGCATAAATCTATAATGCAGCGATCATATCTCTATTTAGCGCCTAAATTTCATGAAATTATACCTAAAGACTTAAAAGATTTACGTTTCGGAAATTGTTTCAAAAGAAATTTAAAAAAGTGGCTACATTCTATATCTAGGACTGAAATTCATAAACTCATAAATACGAACATCAACTAAATACATAATCTACTGTAGCTAATTTTTGTCCTTTTTTGTCATTTGCATTCTACAGTTTCAACTTAAATTTATTGGTCCATGTACAGGCGATGCATTCTATTGGGCCTGTTTTGATTTTATATTTATTTACTCATATTGTTTGTTATCTTTGTACATTGAGTGAATAAATATTATTATTATTATTATTATTATTTTTGTCTTCCTGCGAATCGATTGATATTAATACTTACCGTCTCGTTTGAATCCAGTGCAACAACTTTTTTGTGATTTTGTCAGTCACAGTTGCATGACCCCCCCCCCCCCCTGGTTCCGCACCTGCTGCCAAGTTTCATAACAAACCGTCTAAGTGAGCTGATCTAGGGATCTAGGGAACGTTCCATCGTGACTATTTAATTCAAATTTGAAATGTGAACTTTCCCACTGGACACCCTGATATATGGCGAGGAAATTATCATAATTCTCAGCTTCTCTTCCAGAAGTTTCGGCACCAAGTGCTCCATCTGCACCCGCGGTATCTCGTCCAGCGACTGGGTACGCAAGGCTCGTGATCACGTCTACCACCTGGCATGCTTTGCTTGTGCAGCATGTCATAGGCAGCTGTCTACGGGGGAGGAGTTCGCCCTACATGAAGACAGAGTTCTCTGCAAGGCACACTACCTTGAGATTCTTGACGGGGGAACTACTTCGTCGGATGGTAAGTGCGTATACTTTCTCGACTATCATATTATACGTAAATCAGTCCCACGTCAATTTCAGAATGTCTCCAAATATTCTGATTTTTTCAATCTCCTAGTAATTTTTTGGCGTTCACTTTTGGAAATCACATATAATCGTAACCTTTTTTTACTATTTATCACTTATCCGTAATTTGAATTTCTCTTCATTGATAATAGAGTGGGATATTAGGCCCCAAGCGCCAATTCTTGAACTAGCACCCTTTTTTTGTGTAACTTAAGTTTAGTCATTTTGGTTTGGGTGCTACGTCATTTTTTTATGGTATTTTGACGCTCAGCGTCAATAGAAACAGAAGAGAATCATCACCCTTTATCCTCCAGTTGGTTGCATCTTGTTGCAGCTTTCCAAATTGGTGGAAGCCATCCCCTTGGTGTGAACAGGGTTTTTTTTTCAAGAGGATGGCTTCCACCAATTTGTAAAACTGCCACAAGATGCAACAAACTGGAGGAGAAAGGATGATGATTCTCTTCTGTTTCTATTGACGCTGAGCGTCAAAATACCATATAAAAAAAATGGAAGACGTAGCACCCAAACCATTAATGACTAAACTTAAGTTACCCAAAAAAAAGGGGCGCTAGTTCATGAATTGGCGCTTGGGGCCTAATATCCCAGAGTCCGGAAAATGTCGAAACGACCCCTGCAGCACGACCTCAACGGAAACAGAAAAACGAATCGCGCAGAACACCTAACGTTCTAGAAGACGGCATCGTGAGTGGCCTTGAAGAAGAAATGTTTTATAGGAAACCAGCTAACGGAGAAAAACTACAGAGTTTTTTGCTGATCGTCAACACCATACTGAATCGCTGAGAAAGAAAGATATAATGCGAGTGAAATTATACAATCAATAAACTATTAAATTTGCCAAAAGAAAATCATTGAAAAGGGTTTGGCCTAGGAATGGGCACTCTATTGTCAATGAAGAGAAATTCAAATTACGGATAAGTGATAAATAGTAAAAAAAGGTTACGTGATTTTGGCACGTGACATTTGACTGTCCAAAGTCTAATTTAATATCTTTACACTCATTTATAACACTTGTATCAATGTATGAGAATTTATAACCATATCCGCTGTCGACTGCTCCACTGTGACTGAATGCTTCCGCCATCTGGTCCGGTATTTATTTCTTGATCGACATTTCGAGAACAATTCCAGCGATTAGAGAGTAATAGAGTCAAGGGCTTTTGAGAGATCTTCTGTTGGTCTGCACATTTACCGATCCTTTGTCTATCTGTATCTTGGAATCTTGGAAAGTACCATTCGGATTTTGATGGAATTCTGACAAAAGGTTATTACTATGCCACAGACGAAGATGTTTTGTAGTTTTTGGATATCGATGCAGTGTCGCCGGAACTTCGGTCAAAAAACGAACAAGATAAAAATCGTCCAAACCTTTGTTTTGTGAATTCTTTTTTTTTTGAGGAAAACAAATTGAGTATAGATATCTCAATTTTATGGGGTTATAATGGGTGTTTCTTTTAAAATGGTCATCCGCCTATAATAGACTGGTTGCCAGTGCTATTTTTGTCTAATATACTAAGTGACATATAAATCCGAACACCCAGTTTAAAAGGTTTTATTTTAATAAAAGTTGGTGAATGTATTTATCTTACTGTAAATAACAAGTGACAAAATGTTCAGCCTTATCAGTTGGACATTCCGGCTTTTATACTGCTTTTTTTTAATTCGCTAACGCTCTAAAAATGAATATTTCAGCCGCAGTAAAGAATCAACGTTGGCGGATTCTGGTTCTTGACATCCTTTACGATCGGTTACGATGCCTAGAGTACGGAGACCTGTACGATTTCGTCAACTTAGTGAGTTTGATAGGGGCCGTATAGTGGGACTTCGGGAAGCTGGACTTTCTTTTCGGGCAATTGCAGTTGGAGTGCAAAGAAGTGTAGACACTGTGGTTAGGTGTTGTCAGGCATGGCTTCGAGAAGGCCGTACGCAAAGAGCAAGGGGCACTGGACGCCGCCGTAGAACAACAGACCGTGAAGATCGCCGCCTAAGATTATTGGCCTTAAGGGACCGTTTCTCCACTACCAGGTCCATTGCAAATGAATGGTTTGCAGATCACGGAAGACCTATTGGCATGCGAAGTGTTTACCGACGAATGAGAAGTTTTGGCTTGTTTTCATACCGGCCACACTGGGTCCTCCCTTTAACTCGAGAACACCGACGTAATCGCCTTGAGTGGTGCAGACAACGGTCATTCTGGGATCAAGAATGGAACAGTATTGTCTTTAGTGACGAGTCTCGATTTTGTTTAGGCATGCACGATGGTCGTGCCAGGGTTAGAAGGCGACGTGGTGAAAGGAAGAATCCACAGTTTTTTGTTGAAAGACATGTTCATCACACTGTTGGAGTTATGGTTTGGGATGCTATAGCTTATGGTTCCAGGTCACCTTTAATCTTCATCAGAGGTAACATGAACGCGCAGCGTTATATCCACGAAGTTCTAGAACCCCATCTTTTACCCTATCTTAACACCCTGGCAGATCCAACTTTCCAACAAGATAATGCCCGACCACATGTTGCAAGAGTCACAATAGACTTCTTTCAACGTAATGATGTCACATCGTTACCATGGCCACCAAGATCTCCCGACTTATCCCCAATTGAGCACGTGTGGGATATGATGGGTAGGAGATTGCTCTATTTGCAACGTCCTCCTCAGACTCTAGAAGCACTTCGAGAGGAGTTGGTGGTTGCCTGGAATGAGATACCACAGGAGGACATTGACCACCTGATCAGAAGCATGCCTAGGCGCGTTGGAGAATGCGTAGCACATCAGGGTGCATCCACACATTATTAAAGGTCAAATGGCTTTATAGCAGTGCAATCATTTTGAAATTTTTATCATTTACTTATTATGCTTCATTAAGTACTTATACAAAATTTTATTAAAATAAAACCATTTAAACTGGGTGTTCGGATTTATATGTCACTTAGTATATGATTAGACTATGGTACGGATAAATACTTTCATCATACGCATCTTCATCGATTATTTTTGTTACATGCTAGTACATAGCTAAATTTTTGGTTAAGGGTGCCAAACATAATCCATCATGCACCGATAGCAGTGTCTTTGAAAATAATTGTCTATGTTCCTGGCCTAATGAATTGACCATTCCAGATGGCTGCGATGCGGAAGGCTACCACAAAAACAAGGCGAAACGGGTGCGAACCACCTTCACGGAGGAGCAGCTGCAGGTGCTACAAGCCAATTTCCAGCTGGATTCCAATCCGGACGGGCAGGACCTGGAACGGATAGCGCAAATCACCGGCCTCAGCAAACGGGTCACGCAAGTCTGGTTCCAGAACTCCAGAGCCAGACAGAAAAAGCACATGCATACGGGCAAGGTCAAAGCACAAAGTGAGTATCTTTCAATATTGTGCTGCGCGCTTGATCTTTTTGGACTGGGCGATTAATGGGGTGACCGAAGTGTAGCGTTTTTCTGGATTCTTTTGGGTGCGGATTAAAACGTTCGATTCCACAAAAAGAAATGCACTAATTTATTTAAAACACATCAAAACTAACTTTAACTTGACTAGATAGAACATTTATGACACCACTATTTATGTCTGACTCCTTCCCTCTCCCGGCTGTCGGCTTATACAGGGTATTCCTTAATGAAATGCGAGTATTTAAGGGTGTCAATCTATATGAAAAATTAATGTTAGTTTGCTTTATAAAAAATGGTCCAAAAATGTTTCCTTAAAAGACTCGGGGTGTTGAAGTTTTCTTTAGATGCGCCATTTTTGAGTAAAAAAATAATAACCGTTATCCAAATCTGTTCGCTGTGAGATTTTTTTCATTATTTAGTTTTTACAATCTTGTTAATAATGGCGAATTATTCAAATGCAGAAATGACGGAAATGCATTACGTATATGGCCTTGCCAACGGTAATGGTGAGCAAGCCAGACGGATTTATCACCAGAGATATCCCGATCGTGCTTTGCCAGATAGTCTAATCTTTTCTAATATTCATCGTCGTCTTGTTGAAACTGGTTCTGTCCGAAAAGGAACATCTGAAGGTAGACCTCGAAGTGTGAGAACACCTGGAATTGAAGGAGCGGTGCTGCACGAAGTCGAAGAACATCCTGAAACGAGTACGAGGAAGATCGCTAGACACTTAAATATTTGCTATCAAATTGTTTGGAGAATTTTAGTGGATTTTTTGTTATTTCCTTACCATATTTTAAGAGTACAAGCCTTACTTCCCATTGATTTTCCAAGGCGTGTGACCTTTTGGCAGTGGTATCTTCAAAAAAATACACAAAATCCGCAATTTGAATCAATGATTCTGTTCACGGACGAAACTAACGTATGGGCAGGAATTATTGGCACCCACTTTATTGGCCCATTCTTCTTGCCGGGACGACTTGACGGACTTACCTCAATTTTCTTCAACAGTTGCCTTTGCTGTTTGATGATGTTCCGTTAGTAATAAGAAACAATATGTGGTACATGCATGATGGTGCACCAGCGCCTTTCAGTGTAGCGCTTCGTAATTATTAACAAACTGTTTATCCAAATCGTTCGATTGACCGCGGTGGGCCCCAAGAATGGCCACCAAGGTCCCCAGACCTCAACAGCTTAGATTTCTTTTTGTGGGGCTATCTTAAGACACTAGTGTACACAAGTCCCATTAACACTGTCGAAGAATTAAAAGAAAGAATAGTTGCAACGTGTGATAGAATAGAAAACACTCCAGGAATATTTCAACTAGTGCGCAATTCCATGAGGAGGGCGGAAGCATGCATACTATGTGAAGGGGGCCATTTTCAACAGTTTTTGTAATCATTTCGTTAGTTTTAATGTTATGTAAGGTACTCGTTAATTCGAGAAGGTTCCGGTACGCCACATAGCGGCAGTCCAGAACCTTCGGGGCCAGTCTTCGATCTCGAATAAGAGTGCTTGGCGCGGTTCTCAACAGATGGCGCTAGCAGTACTATTCATTCTCGTTACAGAGGGTTTTGATTAAACTATGTGCTGCCGTACTTGGCTGAGAGGCAGTTATGTTCATGCACTACCTTTTTTAAATTTTGACGTCAACACATTTCATTTGTGATCACTTTTACAAAGCATACTGAGTGACATTACAAGTGTTCCACCCAGAAAAAAATAATTCCTAAAACTTGTTTATCTTTGTTTTTGTTTACCTTTGTTAAAATGTTGTCTCTTAGTTTTTGTGAAGAACGTTTCTGAGGGCTGAGTAGTACAGATATTTTTAGTTATTCGCCTTTCATTTACTAGTGTTAGGCATAATAAGACGTCCAAATTATCACCATGTTAGCGACTTTGACAGTTGTAGAATTATTGCGCCAAGTCGTTTTACTTAATTTTTTTTTAACAATTCCGTACTTCATTCTTGTTTCAGTGCAATCCACACGAGAAGAAAGCAGTTTTGGCAGGCATGTGAACCTGCACTTGACCTACTCTTTTCAACAGCAGAACAACAACCTCAGTAACCACAAACCGTCGTCCATATTTTCACAACCTGGTAAGAAATAGATCTGTACTTGCATAATCATTAAGTATGACAATTATTGATCAGATGACACTATGAAACTACCATATTTAATTGATAGCTTAAAGGTACTGAATAAAAATCCAAATGGGGTCCTCCAAATTTTATGCATGGTATTTATTTTACAGAATTCATACAGAAAAATGCATTCTAAAATTAGGTAAGCTACTGGTGTAAGCTTTTTCTGTACAATAAAGTTAGTCGGAGTTTCTTTCTTCAGCGCTGTCTGAATCTGAATCTTCATCACTCTCAAAGTTGATTATTAAAGGTTCGATGTCTGGTCGATCAAAAATTCGTTCTCTTTCATACCATTTAAAAATTTCTTGCTCAGTATGTCGGACACTATTTTTCCACATGTCTGGGGTAACCGTTTGTAGAGCCTCGTTCCACATATCCAAACAGTCTTTTTCACTGTTACCATCTCTACCAATATGTCTATTATAGTAACCTTTTGCTATGCCCCAAATTAACTCAATAGGGTTAAATATACAATGGTAAGGAGGCAGACGAAGAACTTTGTGCCCATGTTGTTCCGCCAATTCATCAATCACGTATATTTTAGGTGGTTTGTTTCTAAAAAAGCAGTTATTTTAAGAATAGGAATAAACAAAAGAAATATAAACTGTCGACCAAAATATATATAATTAAGAAGCATTATGTACCGAGCAACAATACTCAATAGCTCTGTTTTAAACATTGTGTTTAAAAATGGTATGTTTTGATTTGTCAACCAGTCTTGGATATTTTTTTTTGTCCATGCATTGTTGGGCACTTTGTTCAATATCATGTTGTGATAAGGGGCGTTATCCAGTATAATCATAGATGGACTCTCCAATTTTTCTAATAACTGATGTTGAAACCATTTCAAAAAATTGTCCTGGTTCATCTCTCCATGGTAATCGCTCAATTTTGTTTTCGAAGAAAATATCGCTTCACTACCCTCAATAAACCCATTTTCATTTCCAGCATGTAATATAATGTATCTAAAATATATTAGTTTTAAATTTTATAGTGCAAATTGTGTAAAAGTACATACCTTTTACCATCTGTTTTAATAGCTTTCACGCTTTTTTGGTTTCCATTTTGCCAAGAGCGACCTATGGTCCCATTTTGAAATATCCAAGTTTCATCGAGGAAGACAAACTGGTATAAGGCCTCAACCTTGGCTTGATTGTATTGCCTTAGAAATTCCACCCTTTTCAAATCTATACTTGGTAGTTCCATGAGCCCTCGTCGCGGATTGTCCTTAAGCCACTTAAATCCAAGATCTCTAAGCAACCGCCTTAAAGACGTGGCACTACCATCAAATAATGCCCTATCTCTTAATCGAGACCATAAAGTTTGTATCGTAACTTGTTCTTCTGAAACCATGTGTAATATGACATTATAATTTAGTTAACAAATTAATGCAAATTTCTGATAAGTTATTATAATAAGATCTTACTTTTGTGATACATATTATAGATCACTTCTCGAATGGCACTTGTATCCAATGTCGCTGTGTTGGTTACACGTTTAATATAACTCCGCTTTTTCTTGGGCGATTCTAAATTTGCATCACTTTCCCCCCCTGGGAAATACGACTAACTGTCCTTAAACTAATTTTTAAAGCAGCAGCAACACGCTACAAAAAATGAAATAAAATTTCACTATTATTAATATACATTACATATAATTATTAGTAACCTACCTCTTGAACAGCATTTAAAGGCAACAAAGGCCCGTTGTTGTCCCTTTCTTGCTCAAAGTAGTGCATTAACGAGGCCACGAGTTCCTTACACCGACTATTTAACTGTTTGGGCATCTTTATATACCAAAATTGCCTTTATCTACTCGTAAAATGAATAATTTTGTTTTGAAACAAACAGTTGTTGATTTACAGTATGCGGGGCCAAAGGATTTATAAAGATTTGAAATGCCACAAATTGATTCAGCGTCAAAATTAATACAAATGTCAGTTCCCAGTTTAAATAAGTTTCAAGGTGACAATGTGTCAACGCTGCGAAATCGGTTTAGTGCGTTTACATGTCGATAAGTGATTGGAGCGTTTGCAAAACATTTTATTCCGCATAATGCGACTAAATTTATCAGAAAGCAACTTATGTGATATTTTAATAACAATGTTTATATGACTATTAACCATAATAAGAGAGTAATGACCATTTTACAATTTATATATCACATTAATATGAAACTGCAATAGAGCAATTGTTTGTGATAGAAACCTAGGCATTAGGTCGGGGAATTTTTATCGTGATGACGTGCACGCCACTTTGTTTGGCGTTGACTTTAGTTGTAGTCGCCGTTCTTGGCGGTTACGTCATCAACGCCATATGAAATAAGGAAACAGATCGAGTCTCCGTACCATGGGCGCAGACTAATCTTCCACGCATCTGCTACTCGCTCCAGTACGCATGAAGTAGATAACAGGAGACCGCTGTTTTCATTCTCTTAATGGAAATACTCTAATAAATTTAGCATGAGCAATTTTTTATTGAAGTAAGTTGTCACTCTGACAAATATGATTGAAGGGCACCCATACGTAACGACAAAGTTTTCGAGACGGAGACATACAACTGAAAAACGTATGCCTTTTAGCTTACCGAAAAAACGTTCACGCACAGGGGTAGGTTGCGTGTGTATGTAAGAGGGAGTTGGAGATATACAGGGTGTCCGCAAAGTTGGGGTTTTCCTTTGCACTACGTGTAGATCTTGAAAACATAAGGAATTTTTCTTAGTACCATATACACCAATGTCTGGGGCTCTGCAACATCAAAAATATCTGAATACCGTCCTGTAGCCGCGACATCACCGACTGGTACAAGATCACTGGCTCAACCCGACGACAGTACTGGGTCGGGGTCAGTGTGTCAGGTCAGTATGCAACCTTCAACCGATGGTTACGGTCACGCGTGTAGAGGTAAACGAACCCGTATAATCGATTGCGTTTCAAAAACCAACAACACTAGAGGCGTGGCTAGAGAAGTGCAAGTATCAAAAACTAAAGTGTGGCAAACGCTGCGTGAAGAGGGGCTGTATCCGTTTCACGTCCAACGTGTACAAGCCCTTCAACCTGACGATTTTCCAGCAAGAGTGCGTTTTTGTGAGTGGTTGTTGCATCAACATGACAATAATCCGGACTTTTTGAAGTGCATATTGATGACAGACGAATCTACGTTCACGCGTAATGGGGTGAATAACTTTCGCAACACTCATGTTTGGTCAGTAGAAAATCCGCACGCTGTCCGTCGGGCACATTTTCAACAAACATTTTCGGTGAATGTTTGGGCTGGCATGGTGAACGGTATGCTCATTGGACCATTTATTCTCCCAAATCGATTGGACGGGATGCAATACCTAGACTTTTTACGCAACATTTTGCCTTCCTTGTTAGAAGATGTGCCATTAAGTGTAAGACAATCAATGTGGTTTCTGCACGATGGTGAACCGCCCCATTTTAGACGCGAAGTGCGTGAGTTTTTGGAATGAATTATCTCCGAATAGGTGGATCGGACGTAATGGACCCGTAGCGTGGCCTCCGCGATCTCCAGACTTAACACCATGTGATTTTTTTCTTTGGGGAGAAATGAAACGCTTAGTGCATACGGTTGACGAACTTCGTCTCAGAATTGAACAAGCTGGTGCTTTCATTCGGGGGAGGGATTCTCAAAACCTGCACCGATGCTTGGCTACGTCGTGCACGCACCTGTGTTTTTGAATCAAACGGCGATAACTTCGAACAATACCTATAAAGTACGTTTACCTAAAAACTGAAAACGCGGCAACGCCGTCATATTTGTTACCTCTGTTCGTGGTCTGCACCACCGCCTGCGTCTGCCCGGTAGCGCATCAGCTGATTTCATTTTCTGTTGGAGCGGTATGATTTCGGGCAGAGGCGTACTTAGCCCTTCTCGTCAACTGGAGAGTGGGTACTTTTTCCTTTATTTTTTTTTTACTTGGTAGCCCTCGTTTCACTACACATTACCTTTGTTATTTCAAGGGTAGTTGTTTCTGAAAAGGACAACCCCAACTTTGCGGACACCCTGTATAAAGGGATACTGGTAGTCTTACTTTGACCCGCCAAGAACGGTGACTCAAACTACAGCAGACGCGGGATGAACTAATAACTATCTAGTCAACAGGTCATTAAATCGTTTTTTTACATACAGGTTTTTTACGTACTAACCTTACCGATCACACTATTTTTTTACTTGTTGAGGAACCTTTCGAATTCATATAAAACACAAAAATTGGTACAAGTTCCTGTAAAAGATGTCGTAGGAGATACAGGTTATTTCGGAACAGTATCTGTTTTCCATCTTCCAAAATAGTAAATATGTCAAAATTGTTATTAAGACGAAATAAGATTTAATACAGCAATAGTAATGCATCATATTTCAACGGTTTGAAACGGACTGAGCATGCGGAATGGATAAAACATGTTCCATACCCCATTCGTCGTTCATTCACGCCCAGACAAAACACAACATGCCCAAAAGCGAGATTGTACAGGTTCGTATTTTCCTAAATGGTCTTGGAATAATCTAACAAGATAAATTATATTATTTTTATAGAAAGAAGTGCACATACTTTTCACAATTCTTTATTTGCTGGAAGCACTTGAATCATCGTCCGAATGGTTAATATTAAGTATTACAGGTTCAATTTGAATATCGATCATAAAATTGTCCAGATCCCACAATCTTTTTTTAGATTGTCCCTAGAACGTGACGGATGCAATATTTCCAATGGTTTGCCGTCACTCTGTTGACAGATTCATAAAACATTTTGGATGATTATGTGTATTACAGTAGAATACCAAAATTGATGACAGTAGCGAAACTCATCGTACGCCACTGCTATTACGCGGAAGCCTTCTTTGTGAAATGTCGGTAAACGTCGCTGTAATCGAAAGGTACAGCGTCAAAGCAGTGGCGCACGATGACTTCTGCTACTGTCTTCAATTCTGGTATTTGACTATAGTCTGATATTTGCTGTGTGGGAAAATTGTTACTGAATATGCTGCCAATGAAGTAGGTATATCTATTAGCTGTGCCCGACGGGTTATTTATATGTTGTCATTTCTGAAGACAGGTTATGTTAAAAGTCACAAATTTCGATTTTGTCACAAAAAAACAATATAATGTAAAAAAAATCGACATAATGTCACTTTTCAAGATACGTTATACCTGTGCGGCACAACATACCCGACTTTCCCATAATAAGACGTTTAAGATTAAGAACTCAAGTGAATTAAATATATCTATCTATAATCCAATGGCCTAATAATGAGGAAAGTGACATAGAATTTCATCTAAATGTCAAATATGATGCTGCCGCTGTCAAGTCAAACGTGTTTAAACCTAATCAAATTTGAAACCGTTTGCAACTAGTCTTTTGACAACGCATGCGCATTGGAGGAGTTCACACTCGGGTGTCAGGCCGTTGGAGATGTGATGCTAGAACACTGCTAATTTGATAAATAATATTAACGAAGTGTGTCTTGTTTCAGATTCGTCAATGGACGAGCTGTCGCAGGAATCCACCCTACATTGCATGCAAAATGAAGTGTGAAACACTCTCTTATGCCATTTATATTTTCCCAGCGAACTTTAAGGGAATTACTAATTATTGTGAAATCTTGAAGCTAGACGAATTAGTATGCATTCCTGTATATATATTTACTAACAATTTTTGTAAAAAATTAATGTTTATATTCCTATATATATATATATTTATTGCTTCCTATACCTATAAGTTCATACAGTTGTGCGTTTATCTAATAAACAAGCAATTTAAACTGGTTATTATATTATTATAAATAAAAGCTTAATCTACTATTTTGCTCAATAACTCTCAATTTATTTTTGACCCTTTGATCTTACCTTGGATTACAGGTTCTCTCAAAACGGCTATACATGGCGTCCCAAAGCGAACTGCTTTATCAATCACAACAATCTTACTAATTTTTATAATCCAATCTAAAACGTTTTTAAATTCGGTAATTAACAAATAAATGGCATTAAGTTTTTCTAAGTTAAGCCAAAATTTGCAGTCAGTAAGTAAGTTTCATTAAATTAAATATTTAAAACACACATGACAACAGCGCGTCGGCCTTTCATCACTCTTATCGAACCGGCAATCGATCGCAAACGGTAACAGTGGTTAGTTATCGGGCGTCGGGCGTGTTGTTTTGTTTTTGTTCGCGTACGTCGTCGTGTTTATTTACAATGTTCTCGAATTAAAAATTCGCCGACATGTTGTTAGTTTACGGTGAAAAGCTCGTCAGAATTCAAATCTTGCAGCTCAAATTTATCGCGACAGATTTCGCCAACGGGTACACCCAGACAGAAGGACATTTGTGCAAGTGTACCAAAGACTTCGAGATACAGGAAGTGTTCAGCCCACTAATATTCGCACTCGTAAAAGACAGGTTACTGTAGAGCAGGAGGAACAAATTTTAAATATCGTGGAAATCAATGCAGATATCAGCACTCGGGAATTAGGCCGCCGGGTAGGACTATAGCATACCATAGTCCATAGAATCCTACGGGAAAATTTGCTTTATCCCTACCATGTACAAAGAGTGCAGGCCTTGTTACCAGAAGACTATCCTCGCAGACAAATGTTCTGTCAGTGGTTTTTGCACAAAAACATGGAAAATACGGATTTTTTTAAAAACATTATAGCGACGGACGAATGTACTTTTATACATTAAATTTCCATAACGTGAGTCCCTGTCGCTGTTCCCTGTACCACTTCCTTCTAATTAGTAGTAGTTGTAAGTCAATGATCTGTCTCATGTTTACCCATTTTTACCATAAATCGTATAGCAACGTTTGTAAATGGCGCGAAGCGTGCACATCGATGGTAGCTGGTGTCATGTGACGTCATCACTCAGTTCCACTCTCCAATAAGATAATTATCCAAATAAGAAACTTGTGGATAACGTATCTTTGTAATTTTTGAGATATTAAAAAAAACAGTGTTGTACTTCACTTTACGACTATCATTTTAAGTGTTTTTTATAAAATAAGAAAGTAACTAATTCTACAAACAAACTTGTGAAACCACTTAATTTTACCGGACTATAATCGTTTAATCCACTTCAAAGCATTGACTATTCACGTTCGCTAAAAGACTTACGAAGTTAATTTTTACATGATATGATATATTCTTCATTCCATCCGACGATATCGAGTAACTCCCGTTATAGAGATGTTTGCCTGATAGACTTAATTCCATCAGATACCACAAATGAGCAAGCAATGTTTAATTCACCATACTTTAATCCACCCAACACCCAACTAAATCGACTAAACCCTATTTCACGAGTATTCATCTCGCTTTGAGGTGAAGAGCTGATCAGCAAGTGACATTTTTGTGTTAGTCTGCGACGTTGGCAATAATGAATCGAGTGAAAATCTAGTAACACTTGTTTGTAGCGTTTTGTTTTTTGTAAGCAAATGAACTTTTCCAAGTGAAAAAGCTGTTAGCAAGTACAAAATGAATCTGAAGCGAACAAAAAAACCAAAACAAAATACGGCTCTGGCTATCTGACGTTGACGGATCCGTCAAAATTATGTGTCCTGTGCCGATATGGGAATTTTGAGATATTACTAGATAATCAGCCAGTGGCGGCTCGTGGAAAAATAAATCAGGTGTTCTGCAAATCCGAACTTACCTATTTTTTATTCGTCATGTTGAGAAATTTCGCTCAGCCTCTGACATAGGAGTTGTAACAATAATTTCTAATGGCTATTTTGTATCAAAAATTTCAAAAGAGACAGAGTTCCATGTAAATCTCGGCAATCATTCGGTCCATAATTAACAGACAACTCTGTCTTTCAACGACTTTTTTTTTCTCTGACAGAGGAATCTGTCAGAAGCTTAGCGAGAGAGCTAGCGGAAAGGGTGGGCTCTCTAAAGATTAAGAAAAAGTCTCGGCCAGGTTCCGAAAGGAAAAGGGCTCGGAAGCGGAGAGAGGCGCAGATGACGGAGGGCTCGGAAGGTCGGGGCACCACTTCTGGGACCCCGGCTGGACGGACCCAACCGCCATCTGGGCTAGACGGTGCGCAATCCGGTGTGTCAGCGGAGACCCTAAAGCGGCCCGGTGACGGGAAGCGGCAGAGGTCTGCCGGTGGGACACCGGAGGGCGCATCCTCGCGGAAGAAGCCTCGCACTGCGACGCATGCGCAAATTAGTTATGCGCGAGCGTCCCAAGCGGGTCTCAGGGTGGCCGTCGTGTCCGACGGTTATCCTGGGACTCAACTTACTAATGTACAGGTGCAGCAGGTCCAGGAGGCGGTCAGTGTGCTGATAGATGGGATCCCAGATGAGGTGACCCTTCCCAGGTACATTGACTGCTACCTCTCTCGAGGGGCAGCCATCTTTGTCTGCGAGGACGAATCCTCTAGGGCATGGTTGGAGGCCCACGCGGGGGATCTGCGGCCGTGGGAAGGCGCAAGGCTCATTACGATGAGCTTTGGAGACCTTCCCATATACCACCGCGTGATGGCCTGGTTTCCGGGTCCCAACCTGGACAACGGGGTCATCACGAGGAGACTCAGGAGGCACAATCCTGGGACTTTTCCCAGCGCGTGGAGGATACTTGAGAGGAAGGAAGAGCCGATAGGTGTCCGACTTGTCCTCTCAGTTGATTCCATAAGCTGGAAGGTCATTGTAGGTAACGGCAACAGGCTGTGTTGCGGTGGAAGTTCGGGGGTGTTTACACTCCTGAGCAAGAAGAAGAGCAGTGGAGCGACACCTGCTGGAACTGGCCTGGCTCCAAACCAGGAGTCGGACCAGCCCAGACCGACGGGAGCTGTGGCGGTAGACCAGGCTCCTTCACAGGGGATGGGTCGGCCGGGTCAGCTCTCGCTGGAGCCACCGGAGGCTACGGACGTGGAGGCGGCGGGTCCAAGCGGGATATCCGCAGGAAACATCGTGGCGGACCCTGCGATGGATCTGGTCCCAGAGGAAAACGATAGCGACTCGGACGAGGATGGAATCCTGAACCGAGTCCGAGAACTCCTCCGTGGAAGCGGAGATGAAGGCGGCTGCGGCAGCGATGACTGCGGCGGCGACGGCGGTACGCCCGAATAGGGGTTACATACCGTCATTCGGGAAGGTGTAGGAAGGGCCTCTCAACATCCATGGTAAGTTTCAATTTCATCCAAATTAACTTACAACACTGCATAGCGGCTTCGAGGGCCCTTACTCAGGAGATCACTCGAGGCCGACATGACGTGGCTCTCATCCAGGAACCCTGGCTGAGAAACGGTTCAGTAAACGGGCTTAGTATACCGGGCTATACGCTTTTTAGCGATACTCCGGACACTAAGCCCAGAGCTTGCGTAATGACTTCCGTCAACTCATGGCAACTTAAAGAATTTACATTTAGAGACTTAGTTGCAGTCAGAATTAGATATAAGAAGGAAGGCAGTGACAGGGACTTGGTTGTCTGTTCGGCTTACCTTCCTTACGATTCAAGAGACCCTCCTCCGTCTAAGGAAATGGGGGACCTTGTCGCATTCTGTAGGGATTCTGGACTCGACCTTGTGATTGGATGCGACAGTAATGCCCATCACGTTGCGTGGGGCAGCTCGAACACCAACAGACGAGGCGAAGACCTGATGGAGTTTCTTGGGGCATCGAACCTTGAGGTTCTGAATGTCGGTAACATGCCCACTTTCAGCAATAGTGTAAGAGAAGAGGTTATCGACGTAACACTGAGCACGCTTAACTTAGCTCAGGACATCAGGGACTGGAAAGTGTCTCTAACACCCTCTCTATCGGATCACAGGTATATACTGTTCAAGACTGATGGAGAGATTCCGGATAAATATGCTCGGAATCCCAGGCATACTAGATGGGGGTCCTTTAGAGCAGACATTGACAGTAAGCTTGGAGCGGTCCCATACAGGCTTGGCAGGGGCTCTGACATAGAAGCAGCTGTCGAGTCTCTGAGCAGGGACTTGACGGCCGCATATGAGGAAAACTGCCCGTTACGCAAAGTACAAGGTAAGGGCAAGGCAACCTTCTGGACCAAAGATTTAGAGGATAGAAAACGAGCGGTGCATAAACTTCTTAGCAGAGTTAAGCACAGGAGAGGTTCTCCTCTATGGGAAGAATACAAAAAGGCATTGCAGGAGTACAAAAAGGAGATTAGAAGGGCCTCCAGAGAATCCTGGAGGCACTTCTGTCAGTCCATAAATGACATTCCTGCTACTGCAAGAATACACAGAGTCCTATGCAAAGACACTAAAGCAAGATTGGGATCTCTGCATGATCCCTCGGGAGGGAACACTACTTCCGAGGAAGATACTCTGAGGCTTCTGATGGATACGCACTTTCCCGGTTCCACAGTAGCGCGATCAATCACAGAGTGCATGCAGTTGCGCAGGCCCTCAAGGGAGGACTGGCGCACGGCAAGGGAGATTGTCACCTTCGAAAGGACGGTATGGGCAGTAGATTCGTTTGCCCCATACAAAAGTCCAGGTCTGGACGGCGTATTTCCGGCCATGTTACAGCAGGGACGGATTTCGGTTGTTCCTTACCTGTTGAATGTGTTTCGAGCATGTGTGGCCACGGGCTTCACACCTAGAAGTTGGCGGCAGGCTAAAGTGGTATTCATTCCTAAACCGGGCAGAGATAGATATACTGGCCCGAAGGATTTTCGACCGATTACTCTTTCATCTTTTGTGCTTAAGACCCTGGAAAGGATAGTTGATAGATACCTAAGGGATGGCCCACTGGAAAGGTGTGTCATTCATGCAAATCAGTTTGCATACCAAGCTGGAAAATCGACTGATCTGGCCTTACACAATCTGGTTGGGAGGCTGGAGAAGACTCTAGATCAGCGAGAAGTGGCACTCGTGGCCTTCTTAGATATTGAAGGTGCATTTAATTGCACCACAACCGACTCTATCAGACAGGCCTTGGTTAGACACGGGGTTGGATCAATCCTAATAGATTGGGTCCTCTCTACTCTGGAGGGTCGGGTAACAACAGCTATGCTGAATAACGTAAGCTGCAGCGTGAACGTAGCTAGAGGCTGCCCTCAGGGTGGAGTTCTGTCACCCCTACTGTGGTGTATCGTGGTGAACGAACTGCTCGTTAGGCTCAACAGTATGGGTGTCTACGTGCAAGCCTATGCTGATGACGTAAGCATAGTGGTTAGGGGGCGTTTCTGTAGAACAGTCTCGGAAATTATGCAGGGCGCTCTGCGCTCCGTGGAATCGTGGTGTAGGGAAGTCGATCTTTCTGTTAATGCTGAAAAGACCGAGCTGATCCTATTCACTAGGAGAAGAAGGCTTGACGGACTGGTCATGCCTACCTTCTTTGGGACTAGATTAGTTTTGTCCCAGTCAGTGAAATATCTGGGAATTATCCTGGACTGCAAACTGAACTGGAGAGAGCATGTGGAACACAAGGTTAGCAAGGCTCGCAATTCGATGTGGGCTTGTAGACGTGTTGTCGGTGTAAGGTGGGGGCTTAAACCCAAAGTGGTATACTGGCTCTACACGACGATAGTACGTCCATCTCTCTTGTACGGCTCCCTGGTCTGGTGGCCTTGCATTAGAACTGAGTCAACTAAGGCCAAACTCAATAAAATTCAGCGTTTGGCCTGTATTAGCATTACAAGCGCAGTGCGAACAACGCCATTGAGTGCAATGGAAGCTCTGTTGGATCTCCCACCGTTGGATCTGGTGATCCGCGGTGAAGCGAGAGTAGTCGCTCATCGACTGTGGAGTCAGGGCAGCTGGGCTTTCTTGAATCCGGTCAAGGGGCATACTGCCATATTAGTCGAATTAGATAGGGAGGACCCCGTCCTTCTAAGCAGGGGTGATCGTATTACCCCTAAATATCGCTTCAACCGCAAGTTCATTGTGGAGTACCCAACGAGGGAGGAGTGGGACGCCGGTAGCCGAGGACTCTCCGAAGTGAGCGGGCAGGTCTGGTACACGGACGGCTCGGTCACCGAAGAGGGCTCAGGTGCTGGGGTCTCTGGACCTAGAACTAGGCTATCTCTGCCTCTCGGTGAGTACACCACCATTTTCCAGGCGGAAATCTTTGCGATTCTGGCTTGTGTATCTCACATTCTGGAGGAGGGTGGGCCTAGGAGAAGAATAACAATCTTATCCGACAGCCAGGCTGCAATGAAAGCACTAAGTGCATGTAAGATTACTTCGAGTCTTGTATTGCAATGCAGGGAGGCTCTGGATTGCCTCGCAGCGAGGCATCCGGTATCGTTAATATGGGTACCGGGGCACGCTGGGATAAGGGGCAATGAGACGGCGGACACTCTGGCGAAAACAGGATCAGCCAGCAAGCTCGTTGGTCCTGAGCCAGCTCTAGGAGTAACCGCGCATAAAGCTAGGAGGAAAATGGAGACGTGGGTTGCAAGACAACACTCTAAGAAATGGAGAAGTATCTCTAGACATCTCCGCCAGGCACGAGAGCTCATTGAAGGGCCCAGTGCTAAGGATGGACGCTTCTGCCTGTCTCTGGGTAGAGCCAACCTAAGGTTGCTGGTGGGACTGTTGTCTGGCCATAACACGTTAAGGCGGCACCTGCACGTGATGGGGGTGGCTGAGGATCCCTTATGCGAACGCTGCGGAGTAGAGGAAGAGACCTCGGCGCACGTTTTGTGTCGCTGTGAAGCTCTGAGCTACTATAGGCAGACTATACTGGGGTCCATTACTTTGGACCCTCAGGACGTAAAGGAGCTTGGACTCAAGGCGATTCTCAACTTCGCTAAAAGGGCGAGGCTTGTGATTTAAGTATTGTAGAGGTGCATAAGGGCCCGCTTAAGCGGCCTATGCACTGGCTCCTTATGGTGGCCGGGATGCCTCTAAAATTCAAGATTCATTCATTCAACGACTTTTTTCTAATTCGGGATAAGCCAAGCAGGTAGTTTCCAACTTGTCATCAGGAAATTTACCACAGTATTCTCCAAAGTGTTCAAGGAAAAAAAGGGATGTGGCTACCTTTGAAGTCTGTCACTTACAGAATTCACTATATATATACTTCTAATGCGGCAACTCGGTGATCGTGACTGCTATTATTACGTCGTCTCCTTTTGTTGCCTTGGGGTTCAGTGCAAATACTTTTGGCTTCATTTCTTATGTTGTCATCAATTTTATTTCTCACATCGACAATACATTTTTCAAAATTATCGATAGCCGTTTTAACTTGCGCTGGCTCGGTTTTCTCTTCTGCAATTGGTTGAACAAGATGTCGACGTGAGGCTTGACATGATAAAAAAATGTCAATCAAAAACGAAACCAGAATCGTTTAACATTCGGCGAATACCGCAAGCTGCCTTCCAAACGGTTTCATTAGTGAAATTTTCTTTATTTCTTCCATGCATTCAAGAGTGATTCTCTGTTCTCAAACACTACATTTATTGTTGGACTTTTAAAATTCCATCGAATTGTTGCTCCTTGGGGAAGTTTTTCCCCACACTTATGTTCAGTACCTCTACGCGTTGAGGAGAATTATTAAAAAATCCCGGAATATCTTTTAAATCCCCAAAGAACACCCGAACTTGAGCATTTTTGGAAGCAGCTTGGGACATAATCAGGTTTAACTGATGCGCATAGCAATGCACATAGTGAGTAAATGGATATCTTGTTTAATTTTTGCCTGTACTCCAGCATTATGTCCGCTCATTACCGCGGTTCCATCATAGCTTTGTGAAATCAGTTTGTTAGGGAAATTTCCTATTAATGGATCTACGACGCTCAAAATATATCTTGTGAGAGTATCAGCGTCACATTTTTAAATACGTATCTGAAAATTGTTACCAGTTGGGTTTTCCCCGAAATGTCCGTTGTTTCATCTGCTATTATCACCAAATACGAGGCTCTGTTAATCTGTTCTATTATTTCTTCATGACACTCTTCTAGAATACAATCCAGTAGATCGTTTTGTATTTCTTTCGAAGTTCCTTTAAATATTGAAGCATTTTTTATGTGTTCACTTGAGGTTGTATCAAGCTCAGCAGAAAAATTAATCAGTCCACGAAATATTTCCGGGTTTTGGGAGCTCTCGGTTTCGTCGTGGCCCCGTAGCGCCAATTCAAATGCTCCGCAAAATTTTATACCGAGCACCGACCGACCAATCAGATATCGTACTTCGCATTAGATCTGTACGGATCTATATAACGTGCAGCACATGCTTATGCTCAAATTGCGCATTTGATTTTGTAAAGAGAGACAAAAGCAAGCGAGTGCGGGCTTGTGTCGAAGTAGTGCACAGACCCTTTTCAAGTGGCCCATGAATAATGTTACGCTGCGGTCGCGACGAAAATGACAAGTACACAATTGGTCGATTATACTGCTTTCTCAATACAAAACAGAATCGACGCTGTGTCTTGCGGGGGCAGCGTTGCCGGTATTGTTTCTATTTGTGTGATAACATGGAAAATAAATAATGATCAAATGACTACTGCTTTTTTCTGTTAAGACAAAAGTTTTGGCAGTTCTGCAGCTCTGCAGAACTTAAGGGCCAGCCGCCCCTGTAATCAGCTATCATTTTTCGTGATGGATGCTCGTGAAATAGGGTGTACTACCTATCGTGGTATTTGCTTGATAAACTTGCAAGTTAATTTCGCCAGACTAGATCCAATTACAATTTGAAAAGTACATTTACTTCTTTCAATAGTTTCCAAAGTATGTATTTACTTTTCTAGCAAACATCCATCAATTTTCATTACGAAGCATATCAACTGAAAATATTCCTCAATTTTATTTTTAATTCTTTTTGTCCCTCTCCTCAGATTCTTCTGAAGGAATTTTTACTTTTTACGTTTTACCTTTCTCTCTTATCCCTTGTGAAAGAATCCTTAGTTCCACCGCTGCTCTATGACTTTGTTGACACGTTGCAGTTACTAGAGCCATCTTTTGTATGATAGCTGAAACTGTGCTGTCACTGTGCAGGGTTTTGTTTCCTTGTTCGAATATATATGTTTTGTGGTTCCACAATGACATTTTCCAGTTCTATTGATACGTTTTGTGAGTTTTGTGACCTGTTACGTAAACTGTCAAAATAAAAAATTGCAAAATTTTTCAATTTTGCAAAGTCCATTCTGACCACACTCCTCGGCACCGGATTTTTTTACCGCGTGGTGCATGTATACTTCATCACATTTCCGGAACTTTTGAATAGCTGTGAATAACCCCCATAACTCCACATTTTGACCAACATGGCCGCATCAGTAGGACGAATTTGCAGGGCTGGCCTTTTGAAATCGCCCCACGTACCAACGATAAACCAGGTAATCGTGATTTACTAATTTCCCAATTGTTTCTTTATCCTGTTAAAGTCTCCCATTATTAATTTTACTGATACCTCGAATGCACTTGACCCAACTGTTATGTCATCTTGTACCAACTGATAACTACAATTTCTTTCAGTTTAGTTCACTCTCTACAACTAGAGAATGGACAAAGGGCAGAAAAGCGGTAAGACCTGAAATAGTGTGCATCGAATAGATAATATACCGTATATTTTCCACAGCTTTTAGGAACTATAGGAATGCTTGCTGGCGGTGCTGGGGCACTACTTCTTGCATTAGATAGGTCTGTTAGGGCTTCGGACCTTGAGCTGCATCCACCTAAACATGTGTGGAGCCACAGTGGCATGTTCAGCTCTTTAGATCATGCAAGGTAATAAATGTATTTTGAGAGTTTTTCAGCTATGTCTTGTTTGTTTATGCTTTGATGCAAATGAATCGTAATGATAAATCTGGATGCAAAAAGTTCTGGTTTGATAAATAATGACTCCAAGTTTATTTTCTTTCATCAGCAATGTTAGTAACTGTAGATTTCTTCAATTATTTGCAGTTCGTAATGGCAAAGTAATTTGAGGGGCGTAGATATTAAGACTAACAACCCTGCAGCATATTCGTTCTAACACAAAGGAAAATTAAGTTTCCTTTAAAAATCCAAACTTTCTATTGACACAGATTAACAAAGTTATTAAATACTGGTATTAAGTACCTTATATAAGATAAATATATCTTAATTATTGACTATTTTGATATAATCAACAACCAAAACATATTAGGAAAAACAGAATATTATTAAAAATAGATGTATACGAATGGCTTTTGAAAACTGATATAAACATGATGTAATTTATAAAAAACTAACATATCTTTTCTTCATTGTTAGTCAACGATCCAAAATGAATATATATATTACACATTTTTAGTTAGTTATACAGGGTGTTTGGTGCATCGTTTGCGAAATTGAAATAGCGGACAGAGGAGGTCTTTTTCTATCACCCCAGGTCCCTCCAAACAGTTTTTAGCCCAATGGAATTAATTATGTAGATTTTTTGATTGTTTTTAGTAAAAACTCCAAAATGTAATACACAAAGTGAAATAAAAAAAAATAAAGAGTATGTCCATCTAATGATTAATTTATCGTAATGGGTGATGTTGTACCAATCTTACAAAATCAACATTACTTGCCAGCAGCATGTAGTTTTTTATCTATAAACTCACAAAGGGTTACAAAGAAGAACAAAGAAATGTAAGTCTCAATTTTGAATTTCTGTAAAAAAACTAAAAGCGTTCACGTGTACACAAAATTTGAAAATTCAAGAAATTATTTCAACTTTTTTGTGACTTGTGGCATACCGTTAGAATCGGGATAAACTAGAGTAGTTTTTAAAAGAATTATAAGAACGTGGACGCTTTTAGTTTTTACAGAAATTCAAAATTGAGACTTACATTTGTTTGTTCTTCTTCGTAACCCTTTGTGAGTTTATAAATAAACAACTACATGCTGCTGGAAAGTAATGTCGATTTTGTAAGATTGGTACATCACCCATTAAGATAAATTATTGATTAGGTGGACATACTTATTTTTTTTATTTCACTTTTGAAGTTTTTACTAAAAAAAAATTAAAAAACCTACATACCTAATTAATTCCGTTGGGCTAAAAGCTGTTTGAGGGACCTGGGGGGATAGAAAAAGACCTCCCCTGTCCGCCATTTCAATTTGGCAAACGTTGCACCAAACACCCTGTATTATCAATGTTATAATTATCGTATACTATTGGATGTAATGGGTGATTTTTTTGCTTGTATCTTTTTGGCAACACTGTTTTTGACAGATGACGCGTGAATCGTGTCTTGTGTCATTGTCAAACTTGTTCAGGTTGGTCTATAATTTAACCATGAATCGACTTACGAACGAACAACGCTTGTAAATTATTGAATTTTACTATCAAAATTAAGAGAGTGCATCGAGCACTGCTTCCAATTTATGGGCAATTTGGTCGGCCTACTGAGGGAGCTATTCGGAAGCTTGTGACTAAATTTCGAACCCAGTTTACATTATTGGACATTAAACCACCAACACGCAGACGTAGAGTGAGGACTGAAGAAAATATTGCGGCTGTATCCGCCAGTGTTAGTGATGACCGTGAAATGTCGATTCGCCGCCGTTCGCAGCAATTGGGCCTCTGTTACTCCACCACGTGGAAAATTTTGCGACAGGATTTGGGTGTAAAACCTTATAAGATACAGCTGGTGCAAGAATTGAAGCCACACGACCTCCCACAAAGTTTCCAATTTGGTGAATGGGCGCTGGCAAAGTTGGAGGATCCACATTTTTATCGAAAAATTGTGTTAACAAGCAAAATTGCCACATCTGGAGTGAAGACCAGCCAGAAGCATTGCAAGAGCTACCAATGCATCCCGAAAAAAAACACTGTTTGCTGTGGATTAAGGGCTGGTGGCATCATCGGGCCGTACTTCAAAGACGACAATGGCCGGAACGTAACTGTGAATGGCGAGCGCTACCGAGCGATGATAACAAACTTTTTTTTGCCCAAAATGGAAGACGCTGGACTTGACTGACATGTGGTTTCAACAAGACGATGCCACATGCCACACCGCACACGAAACAATGGCCCTATTGAGAGGCGAGTTCGGTGAACAGTTTATCTCACGTTTGGGGCCCGTCAATTGGCCGCCTAGATCTTGTGATTTAACGCCGTTGGACCATTTCTTGTGGGGCCATGTTAAGGCTAATGTCTACAGGGATAAACCAGCAACGATTGACGCACTGGAAGCCAATATCGACCGTTCTATCGACTCAAATAAAGATTTAATCGTTTTTTCAAATTTGTTGTTTTTTTTTTTGAAAATCAAATCCTATACCTCTTAAAAAATCACCCGTTAGTTTTCTAGTAACGACATGACATTGACTTACGCGTGACATTACACTTGCAGTGTCCGAAGGGGTTATGAAGTATACAAACAAGTGTGCGCCGCCTGTCATTCGATGCGTTTCATAGCGTATCGTAATCTGGTCGGCGTGACCCACACCGAGGAGGAGGCCAAGGCAGAGGCTGAAGAGCAGATGGTCCTGGATGGACCCAATGAACAGGGCGAGATGTTCAAACGACCGGGCAAACTGAGCGACTATTTCCCTAGTCCTTATCCTAATGAGGAGGCAGCCAGGGCAGCCAACAACGGTGCTTATCCACCAGATCTTAGCTACATCGTGTCGGCCAGACATGGAGGTTGGTATATTTGCAGGTTTTCAGTATAAACACGTCTGCTATTAGAAGTACAACTGAACATCACATTTGTCATATCTCGTTCTGACACTGTAGGTAGGATATGCTTCGTCCAACACACTTTATGGAAAAACTGATTCCAAGTATTTTGGAATAAAAAGACTTGCCTAACATCATTAGCAGGGCAACGAAACATCGGCACCGCATTTCCCTCCTAGCTGCTTACGACCGTATCGGATGCCGGCCATCGACTTCCTACTTTGTTTGTGTGTAGAAAAATCTGCTGTGTAGCCGAACATACCCTCGCCAAAATCGACCACCGCATCAAATTTGAAGAAGCCTAGGTCATTGCCAACACAGCAGTATTAAAAAACACAAAAATTTCGTCATCCAAATGGCAGAACAACAGCCGAGTCATCCGGAGCGCGACGATTGCCGAAGAGCCCTCCCCGCCACATATAAATATGAGCTAAGACCGCGGAGATGTCAGTAGCTCGCAGGACTCCGAACTGTGAACACCTTCTGAAGATGCTAACCACTCGTGTTGGCGAAACGTCAAATAAAAATATTTCACGACGACCTAACAACCCAAAAATCAACCAAATAACATTGAGTGATGGCCGCGAAAGCCTTTCGCATTTCAATATTTAATAATGTAGACTAACTGTTATTTTGCAACTTTTATGTAGGTGATTTTTGCTATAGTTGGGGTTTTCCTTTTCAAAAACAACTACCCTTGAAATAACAAAGGTAATGTGTAATGAAACGAGGGCGACCAAGTAAAAAAAAATAAAGGAAAAAGTACTCACTCTCCAGCTGGCGAGAAGGGCTAAGTACGTCTCTGCCCGAAATCATACCGCTCCAACAGAAAATGAAATTAGCTGATGCGCTACCGAGCAGACGCACCACGCCAGCCCAAACATTCACCGAAAATGTTTGTTGAAAATGTGCCCGACGGACAGCGTGCGGATTTTCTACTGACCAAACATGAGTGTTGCGAAAGTTATTCACCCCATTACGCGTGAACGTAGATTCGTCTGTCACCAATATGCACTTCAAAAAGTCCGGATTATTGTCATGTTGATGCAACAACCACTCACAAAACCGGACTCTTGCTGGAAAATCGTCAGGTTGAAGGGCTTGTACACGTTGGACGTGAAACGGATACAGCCCCTCTTCACGCAGCGTTTGCCACACTTTAGTTTTTGATACTTGCACTTTTCTAGCCACGTCTCTAGTGCTTGTTGAGGGATTCTCGTCTACGCGATTACCTCTACACGCGTGACCGTAACAGTCGGTTGAAGGTTGCATACTGACCTAGCACATTGACCCCGACCCAGTTCTGTCGTCGGGTTGAGCCAGTACCTTGTACCACTCGGTGATGTCGCGGCTACAGGACGGTATTCAGATATTTTTGATGTTGCAGAGCCCTTTATCTCGGTTCCCTCAAGACATTGGTGTATATGGTACTAAGAAAAATTGCTTATGTTTTCAAGATCTACACGTCGTGTAAAGGAAAACCCCAACTTTGCGGACACTGTATTGACGAGTTCTACAAGCTGTTGAAATAAATGACTGTACTTTGAAAACTGAAATTTACCTTCCTCTTTCAGGCGAAGATTACATATTCGCGCTGCTGACTGGCTATTGCGACGCTCCAGCGGGAGTGGTACTTCGAGAAGGCCAGTACTTCAACCCGTACTTCCCGGGAGGTGCGATTTCCATGGCGCAGGCGCTTTACAATGAAGCGATGGAATACACGGATGGAACTCCGGCTACTGCCAGCCAATTGGCCAAAGATATATCCACGTTCCTCAAATGGACTGCCGAACCGGAGCACGACGACAGGAAGAAGATGCTTATGAAGGCCATAGGGATATTCTCATTCCTCATGGCTATCACGTACTACATCAAAAGGATGAAGTTTTCAACACTGAAAACGCGTAAAATCGAATTCAGGCCGAAAGAGAAGTAAACGTGGTTTGGGCGGGGATTAGAATGCAGGACATTTAAATTAAGCATAATTTTATTGTATATAATTTCCATCTTTTTTCCATTACATTGTTTTATATAGCACATTTGTGGTGATATGTGCTATGTATTACCACGCCGACGTTTTACCGTATCTGTTTGTTAAAAATAAATGGTATGAAATACTGATGTCTAATCTATTCACTCCTCGAATATAACCATCAATTAAGACTGAATTATTCCAACCCAGGTTAACTATGACGTCAAAGAGGTTGATTATGCACTTCCCATGCAACGCCGTTTGTTATCCCGAATAAACTGTGCTCAATTGGTAGCGGTGAGCGCCCTCAGGGTGAGGTTGTTTGTACTTTGGTTTTTGGATGCAATGGCTGGGCGCTAAATTCCAAAAACTAGGAAATGACATAAGAACAAGTATTCAGGCGTTAAAAGAGATACCAACTCACAAGGTACACGGACATTTATTGAACAAAATGGGTATCATGTAAAAAACGTATGTCATCTTGCAAACTAGGTAGTTTTAGGGCACAGTCATTCCACGCTTGCTCACTAGGATTGTTATGAACGTCCATCTAAGGAGGAATCACTCAACCTTAGCTACACGCATTATTGGTTGCATATGTTTTGTGAGGCCAAATAATGGTCCTTGACTGTAGTTTCTATCTCTGAGAAGACCCCTAGAGAAAATTTTCTGAAAATGATCAAGACCATTTACAGTATCAAAAAACAAAGTTTGGGCGATTTTTTTTTCGCTTTTTGCCTTTTTCTTCGCCACCACTGGACCGTTTTTAAAAAAACTACAAAGCTTTTGCATCCCTGGTATAGTAGGAACATTGTGTAAAAATTTAATTGGAATCCGAGCCGTTCTTCTCAAATTATAGACGGTTAAAGGATTAGCGGTCAGACAGAGATAGATCGACGGAAATGAGTGACATGGTTTTTCGTTATGTACATCATATATAATTCTCGCGATTACAATGCATCAATACCAGATTTGTCCCAAAAAGTATAATTACTTTAACCATAGACCATAGAACATGTGTGCGTCGAATTTTGCAATGCCCATACATGTTCGATGGGGGAAAGGTCTGGAGATCGACGAGGCCACCGAACGCTTCTCAAAAGTCTAAACTAACACGTGCGACATGAGGCCGTGCATTGTCCTGCTGAAAAAGTGGATCTTGCAACGTTTCCAAAAAAAAGGAAGCAGATGTGGTTGTAAAACTATATTGGTCATTCACGTCTCGTCCTTACTCTCGCTCGGCCATCATGTGTACCCAAACAGAATCTGGACTCATCGCTGAACACGACTAAGTTTCATTCCATTTTCCATTCAAGTCTCTCCCTACTCCATACCAACAGTTGCCGACTATGGTGTGGGGTCAGAGGTAGTACAAGTTGGAGAAAGTATGAAAACAGTCCAAAAGACCTGTCCTCAATGTTATTACCCTTCCGGCAGCATCAAACCACATCAATATCACTATCATTTATCAATTCCTATGAATCGATAAACACATAATTTGTTTCATTTGATCGAGCGATTCTAACAATTCTAATCTACTTGTCGATTACTTGATCAAATAGTGATATAAGTGTTACTTATTGAACGAAAGATAACGTGATTAACATTATGTACAAAGATTTTGTTTTGCATCCAAAGAACGTATACATAGTTTGAGGCATTCAGCGGCACTGTGTATCAACCGGCAGAACGATAATGGTGTTTAACAACAAACTACTTGAAATGTAACAGAACGCGCCGAATTATCTCATAATTGAGGGCAATTTATTTTTTATTCTTTCCTTATTTAATAACGTTGCTATGAATCCAAATCGTCGGCAGAGGTAACCTTTTAAGCAAGATTCGTGATTTTTGAGCGGTCCACGTGTTTGGATTACTGTTAACTGGAAATTCAAATAACCATGACTTCAGGTGAGTTTCCACCAATATTTAGATGTGCCTGTTGATCAAATATCAGGCAGATGTATGGTCGTCAGGTATTTGGAATAAGGACTAATGTGTTAGGTTACTTTTGAGGATGTTATTAGTACCAGAAAAAGTTAGATCTCCATGGGGAGAAAAGAGGGGAGTTCAGCTTAATTTTTGTTATTTTGCTATTGTCTTTTAAAAAGACGTAGCGAAAGTTTTCGAAAGCGAGTCATATTTTTGGATGTCATATGACACGTGCATCACGAAAACATCAAAATCAAGTTGAAGAAATTATTTTTTTCTGGGTGTAACACTTCTAAATGTCACCAAGCGGTTAAACGATAAATGTTTTGATCAAATGCCCAACTCCCTATACGTCAATAATAAATAACATCCCGTCTGCAGAGTCCATAAATGCCATAATAAATAGTAAATACTGATCGTGTGATATTTACCTTCATTTCGTTCTAAGGAATGTAAATTCTAGACGAACTGGAATTTTTATTTTTGCAGAATTATCCATAGCACAACCAGCAAAATCCAATGGAGGGATCCAACTCAAAAAAGAGCTGGGTTTATTTTCGGCTGTCAACTTTATATTAGCCATTATGATTGGTTCAGGAATATTCGTATCGCCTGCTTCGGCTCTAAAGTACTCAGGTTCGGTTGGAATGTGTTTAGTGGTATGGGTAACATGCGGGCTCATATCACTTCTAGGTAAGTAGAATCTGCTTATGAATCTTTGAATGTTCCATACATTTTTACATATATTACCCCATTTGAATCAGTGAACTTATTCACTTCTGTGATTGTATATATATACGATCGATCGATCTCGTATTGGTTGCTAGCATCATAATTGTGTTTTCAGCTCCTGAAGATGGCTCCATAGAGAATGCCGAAAGCTCGAGATTACCGTTAAACGAGTTTACTAAAGCCTAAAAGTTTGCCAATTTCCCAATTAACAATTAATTGTATTTTTTTTCCAACTGGTCGTTGGCAATGGCAATGATTACTGCTCGTATATATATACAGGGTGGCGCATCGAAAACGAAACAGACGCATTTACTGGCAGCTCAGTTTTTGTTTGGAAAAACGCTCAGACCCGTCGATTTTGTTTTCGAGGGGGACACAAGTTTGGAAAAAAATCACGTTAACACGTGCAGCCCCCTGGGGGGGGCGATGTTTTAATTCAAATTAGAATTAACTTTGAAAATTATATCAGTATAGCTTTCAAAGAGTAATGTGTGTACTTGCATAGAAGAACTGTTATTGCGACATATCTGGAGCTTGAAATATTGAAATATGTCTACTAGACAACAGAAAACACAATTTTCAATGCAATGGCACATTGGCAACGACTGTTGATTTTTTCAATCTCTGTGTTCTAAAAGCTTAGCCTTTACAATTATCTACTATGAAAATCAAATATTTCAGGTGCATTGGCGTATGCAGAGCTAGGTCCACTAGTGCCGCGATCTGGTTCAGAATACGCGTATTTTGTAGACTCGTTTGGACCTCTTCACAAATTCTGGGGCCACCTGCCAGCTTTCGTGTATTCTTGGATCATGATTTTAGTAATAAGACCAGCAGAGGTGGCTATATTGGTTTTAACTTTTTCACAGTATCTCTGTCAACCGATTCTTGATATGTTATGTATGGAAGATCCTGTACATGCCGATAGGATGATCAAGAGTTTAGCACTAGCAGCTTTAGGTTTGTTTACGATTTCTTTTAAATTGGTAATACTAAAGAAATAAGTTTGTATAAAGTCTTCGGGTTCTTGCTAGTGTTAAAAGGTGCCTTTTTCAAGCGTGACGTCGTTCATTTTATTCCTTCCTCGGAGGCAAAAAATGTGCAAAAAAATTCTAAATAGTCCTTGAAGTACTGGAGTCAATCAAAGAAATAAGTTCCTATAAGTTCTTCGGGTTGTTGGTATAAACAATAAAGTGTTATAAAGTTCCTTTTTTAAGAAGCAGAGTTAGAAAAAATGAGTAAAAAGCAAAAGTAATATAGAGGGTGTTCAAAGGTGTCCTTTTTAAGTGGCCAATCTTTCGGCGTTTATTTTACGCCTTCCGCAGCGCTGATTAAAAAAGCTTAGTTGAAAAATTCACTGAAAAAAAAACAATAGAATATGATCCATGACTACTCCTTAGAAAACACATCTTCAGATGAACCGATATTATTATAATATATATATACAGGGTGTCCGCAAAGTTGGGGTTTTCCTTTACACGACGTGTAGATCTTGAAAACATAAGCAATTTTTCTTAGTACCATATACACCAATGTCTTAAGGGAACCGAGATAAAGGGCTCTGCAACATCAAAAATATCTGAATACCGTCCTGTAGCCGCGACCCGCGACATACAATAATAATCCGGACTTTTTGAAGTGCATATTGGTGACAGACGAATCTACATACACGCGTAATGGGGTGAATAACTTTCGCAACACTCATGTTTGGTCAGTAGAAAATCCGCACGCTGTCCGTCGGGCACATTTTCAACAAACATTTTCGGTGAATGTTTGCGCTGGCATGGTGCGTCTGCTCGGTAGCGCATCAGCTGATTTCATTTTCTGCTGGAGCGGTATGATTTCGGGCAGAGACGTACTTAGCCCTTCTCGTCAACTGGAGAGTGAGTACTTTTTCCTTAATTTTTTTTACTTGGTCGCCCTCGTTTCACTACACATTACCTTTGTTATTCCAAGGGTAGTTGTTTCTGAAAAGGAAACCCCAACTTTGCGGACACCCTGTATACAGGGTGACTTCGAAGTTGAGTCATTTATTTTAACAGTGAGTAGATCTGATCAAAAGAAATGTTTTTTTCCTTTACCATTTTTCTGGTAAAATTAAAGTAACAAAGTTATAGCTCTTTGGAAGTTTGAGTACCGCCCTGTCTCAATAATAATATTATGTGCTCGTGTTTGGCAACAACGGATATAATCCGTCTTATCGGTTCATCGCATCGGAAACAAAAAAGCGAAAGAATTTGGAACGATGTTTTTACAATTATTTTATTCAGTTGTATACAGTCAGTGTCAGTCAGTAACGCGTGAATGAATAGTGGTGTCTGTTGCGTGGCTCAAACGAAATAAAAAATGGCACATGTTTATGCGGATCGGTTTCCCATTCGAGTGCAACCAACCCCTCGTGCCTTTGTTAATGTAGTACAACGGGCTCGTGAATCAGGTGACTTAAGACCTCACAGGGGACGGCATGCCGGTGCTCCAAGACCTCACGATCAAATACAGATCCGCACTGGCTTAATGCAGCATTACTCAGAAAAGATATCCCTGTTTTGTTTCTTCATTCATACCTTTTGTTTTCATAGGTGACCTAAGTGTATGTTTGTCGTTTTGTGTGTCATTCAACAGGTAAGGATGCTCTGGCTTTTATACAGGGCGTTAGCGAAATAATATTCGTAACTTTAAGAGGTGCTTCCTTGCATTATTCTAAGCAAAAAAGTTTATTATAACTTATGTCCGAAAATCAATCATTTTCGAGGAAAGTGAGTCGTAAATAATTAAATTTTCTCGAACGTTTGGCGACCGCAACTGATTCATCGAATTGTTTAGATACGTTTGTATGATATTTTTGTTGAAAATATGCCTTTAATTATTGTATTTTTACACAATTTTTTGGTGCTAATATTTTTTATCGAATAACGCTTTCAGTGCATACAGTACATTTACTAAAAAAAATACAAAACTTACCGGTACGTGGCGTTACACGCCACTAATTCCCACGATTATTCACTTATTTGAAACGATCCGATGCACGAAAAAAGAAAAAACAACATCCGTAAATCACATAAAGTTACAGTTAAATGTATTAGTAATCACAATAGATATTCTTTTGTTTCCACTCTAACTTCACGATGTCTTCCGCTATTGTTAAAATTAGGCACTACGCTCCTACTCTTTGGGATACTTCTACGAATGTTCTTCTAGCTGGGTAGCTGGTACCGTTCTATCAGGAAAACGTTCTTCGTAAATGCGCCTAGCCTCTGCAGAATTGCAATGAGCCTCTTCGTAAATAATAAGGATATCGTGATACTCGCCTACCGAAAACATCTCTTTCATATCAAAATGCACGCACCGAATAATAAAATGTGATTTCAATTCGGGTAAACATTTCTTGCATTAACGTATGCAAGAAACTATCAAATAATTTTTTCCCGATGTAGGTATTTATTTTTTGCCTACCGATGTCGGTCGCGATGATACATGCAGTGAAGGCGAAGTACGGCGTTGCCAGAGTTGTATGAGGGATTTTGTTTGTTTTTCTTCCGAAAATTGTATTTAATAAGCAGGAAAATTATTTTGTTAGCGACAGTTACTTAATAAATAGACGGATTGATACATATTACTTTATGAGGCATATGAATTTAGATGATTAAGGTGCAAAATTAATTTTTTTCATGACTAAAAAGAAATAATTTCAACATTTTTTTGCTCCGAAACAGTTGATTTTCGGACATAGGTTATAATGAACTTTCTGCTTAGAATAATGCAAGGAATCACCTCTTAAAGTTACGAATATTATTTCCCTTACGCCCTGTATAAAAGCCGGAGCATCCTTACCTGTTGAATGACACACAAAACGACAAACATACACTTACAGTAAGTGTAGAAAGTATTCGTACACTTGGATTTCTAAGCGAAAGACTGCAATGTCTCTCTAATTATTGTTGCTAGACATCTGCAAAAAAATAGACATCTACATCAAAGTATTCTTTATTCAATCTGGTCAATCATTCGAAAACAAAACAAAATAGTCTCTAAAGGAAATAACAACTCACAAAAATCTACCAAGAAGGCGAAAAAAAAGTATTCGTACACATGTGATTTTTCGTCATAAATTGTCAGTCTTGCACATGATACATGAACATCACAACAATTTAGTACTTGGTTGGGTACCCCTTTCCTTTCAAAACACTCTCATACCGTTTTGGCACGGAGTCTATCAGCCTAGACGTCAGTGAAGGGGTATGCGGTTCCACTCGGTCAGTAAAGCAGTTTCAGATCCCCTCTGTTAGAGATCTGCCAATTTTCCCTTATTTTTGTCTCTAGGTAACTCCATAAATGTTCTATGGGGTTCAAGTCCGGTGATTGGGTAGGGTATTTAGCTGCTTGGGGGTGTTGTACAGCAGCCACATCTTCGTATTTGTTGCGGTATGTTTTGGGTCGTTGTCTTGCTGAAAGATATAGTCATTTCCTAAACCCATTTTAATCGCACTTTCTTTCAAATTTTGCTTCAATAGCTCTATATACTTCTTGTGGTCCATGATTCCATCGATGAAAGCTAAATTACCCACCCCAGAAGCACTCATGCAACCCCACACTAAAACAGATCCACCACCGTGTTTTACAGTGGCACACAAATTCTAGGGAGAAAGATCTGTATTTTTCTTGCGCCACACTTTTTTGTTACCATCTGAACCAAAAATGTTATATTTACTCTCATCTGAGTAAATAGTCTTATTTCTGAACTCTGCAGTGTCATTTAGGTGCCCCTTGCAGAAGGCGATACGCTTGGCTCTGTTGACTTTGCTTACCCACGGCTTCTTCCGGGGCGTGCACCCGCGATACCCCTCGCTCCTCAACATGTTGCGCACTGTCGCGATGGACACCTTGGTCCCCCTCTGTGACAGATCAGCTACAATCTTCGGCGCACTCACTTTTGGGTTCTTTTTGATTGTCCGTACAATCACTCTCTTGTCCTGCTCGCTCAAAACTTTGGGTGGTCCACTCCTGGCCTTGTTTACCAACGTTTTGCTTTCACAGTACCGATCAATTACTGTTTGTACAGTCGACCGGGGTTGTCCCACTAACTTTGATATAGCACCTATCGACTTGCACTGGTTATGGAGCCTTAAAATTAACTTTCGCTCCTCTAAACACGTTTCTTTGCTTTTGCGGCCCATGTTTACAGCACAGAATCTGAAACTGAGCAACCTAGGGAGTAGTATCGTCTACCGAATGAGCGAGGTCGCCCTGCGTTCGGATTGTGCGGCTGACTATCGAGTTTTTCGGCATTATTACGACTGTACGAATACTTTTTTTGCGCCCACCAGGCACATTCTTGTGACTTTTTATTATTTTTAGAGTATATTCTGTTTTGTTTTTGGATTCCATCGATAAAAGTGAATCAAGCAGAATCTAATGTACATATCTATTTTCTTTCGGATGTCTAACACCAATAAATTAGGCGAGATATGGTATTTTTCGTTATGGAAACCAGGTGTACGAATACTTTTTACACTCACTGTAGGTCACCTATGAAAACAAAAACATGAAGAAACAAAACAGGGATGTCTTTTCTGAGTAATGCTGCATTAAACCAAAACGGAAGAAATAATAATAATTAACGTCTTTTATTTGTAATATTCTTACGAGATTTAGATTATATATATATATATATATATATATATATATATAATGGGTGATTTTTTTGCTAGTATCTTTTTGGCAACACTGTTTTTGACAGATGACGCGTGAATCGTGTCTTGTGTCATTGTCAAACTTGTTCAGTTTAGTTTAGTTTAGTTATTGAATTTTACTATCAAAATTCATGCTCGGTTAAGAGAGTGCATCGAGCACTGCTTCCAATTTATGGGCAATTTGGTCGACCTACTGAGGGAGCTATTCGGAAGCTTGTGACTAAATTTCGAACCCAGTTTACATTATTGGACATTAAACCACCAACACGCAGACGTAGAGTGAGGACTGAAGAAAATATTGCGGCTGTATCCGCCAGTGTTAGTGATGACGGTGAAATGTCGATTCGCCGCCGTTCGCAGCAATTGGGCCTCTGTTACTCCACTACGTGGAAAATTTTGCGACAGGATTTGGGTGTAAAACCTTATAAGATACAGCTGGTGCAAGAATTGAAGCCACACGACCTCCCACAACGTTTCCCATTTGCAGAATGGGCGCTGGCAAAGTTGGAGGAAGATCCACATTTTTATCGAAAAATTGTGTTCAGCGACGAAGCTCATTTCTGGTTGAATGGGTACGTTAACAAGCAAAATTGCCGCATCTGGAGTGAAGACCAGCCAGAAGCATTGCAAGAGCTACCAATGCATCCCGAAAAAATCACTGTTTGGTGTGGATTATGGGCCGGTGGCATCATCGGGCCGTATTTCTTCAAAGACGACAATGGCCGGAACGTAACTGTGAATCGCGAGTGCTACCGTGCGATGATAACAAACTTTTTTTTGCCCAAAATGGAAGAGCTGGACTTGGCTGACATGTGGTTTCAACAAGATGGTGCCACATGCCACACCGCTCACGAAACAATGGCCCTATTGAGAGGCGAGTTCGGTGAACAGTTTATCTCACGTTTGGGGCCCGTCAATTGGCCGCCTAGATCGTGTGATTTAACGCCGTTGGACTATTTCTTGTCGGGCCATGTTAAGGCTAATGTCTACAGGGATAAACCAGCAACGATTGACGCACTGGAAGCCAATATTGAAGGATTTATTCGTGAGATACCGGCCGATATGTTGGAGAGTGTGCCAAAATTGGACCTTGCGCATCTAAAGCGGAGCCGCGGCCAACATTTACATGAAATAATCTTTAAACATTAAATTATATCGACCGTTCTATCGACTCAAATAAAGATTTAATCGTTTTTTCAAATTTTTTGTTTTTTTTTTAAAACCAAATCCTATACCTCTTAAAAAATCACCCGTTATATATATATATATATATATATATATATATATATATATATATATATTATAATAATATCGGTTTATCTGAAGATGTGTTTTCTGAGGAGTAGTCATGGATCATATTCTATCGTTTTTTATTTTCAATAAATTTTACAACTAAGCTTTTTTATTCAGCGCTGTGGAATGCGTAACATAAACGCCGAAAGATTGGCCACTTGAAAAGGACACCTTTTAACACTTGATTTCTTATCCCGCAAACCGAAGAACTTATACGTACATTGCCCTGCAAATATTGCGTATATTCCAAAACAGCGCCAATTTGGCAACTTGCTCAGAGTTAAGACAAATACTTGGTAATTTTCTTTAGCAATTTTTGGGTGATATTTAATAGGCTAGAATAAAGAGCACTGAAAGTATACAGGGTGACTTCGAAGTTGAGTCATTTATTTTAACAGTGAGTAGATCTGATCAAAAGAAATGTTTTTTCCTTTACCATTTTTCTGGTAAAATTAAAGTAACAAAGTTATAGCCCTTTGGAAGTTTGAGTACCGCCCTGTCTCAATAATAATATTATGTAGTCGTGTTTGGCGACAACGGATATAATTCGCCTTATCGGTTCATCGCATCGGAAACAAAAAAGCGAAAGAATTTGGAACGATGTTTTTACAATTATTTCATTCAGTTGTGTACAGTCAGTGTCAGTCGGTAGTGGATAGTGGTGTCTGTTGCGTGGCTCAAACGAAATAAAAAATGGCACATGTTTATGCGGATCGGTTTCCCAATCGAGTGCAACCAACCCCTCGTGCCTTTGTTAATGTAGTACAACGGGTTCGTGAATCATTTGACTTAAGACCTCACATATGGACGGCATGCCGGTGCTCCAAGACCTCACGATCAAATACAGGTCCGCACTGAAATACTTGTCGGGAGGATACTTTATAAAACAAAGTAAAATTTTTTTTCTAATTTTTTTTTTATTTTTACACACATATTTTGGTTTATCTTCCTTCCTTATCTGAAAATTAATGACTCAACTTCAAAGTCACCCTGTATATGTAGTTACAAATATATTTTTTCAAACGATTGCAGGTATCATAACGTACATCAACGCCACCAGTGTGAAAATGTACGTCAATTTGCAAAACGTTTTTGGATTCTTCAAAATTCTCGCCTGCCTTGTAGTTATAGTAGGAGGACTATACGAAATAATTTTGGGTATGTATTTTATCTGCGATGACGTAAATTTAACGTCTTCTATTTTCTATTGTGCATTAAAAAATGCTAGAAATAAGAGAATATTGAGAAAAGGCTTTATTTATGTTTTACGAATAATAATAATCGTCTTTATTAGGAGCGAAGTTTCGCATAGTGCTATTCTGCCTCTTAACCCAAAAAAAATTTGTTTTCAAAAATATTTACCTTATTTTATATATAACAATCGAGTTTTTTTTTATTTTTTGGGTTGATTTCACTTGTATTATTATTGTATGTATTCTAGTATATTGTAGTAGTTGTTACGAGGATAAAGTTGCTTCAATTAATTTTCATATATGACCTTACCCCTATACATTATAATTACATGTTAAAATGCTTTAAATGCGGTTCAAATAACCTTTATTCCACGTATTTTGGGCTGTCAATGCCGAATCCGAAGTCGTTTCACGTGTAGCTGATCCCGTTTATCATTTAGATCTAATTATTTAGCGAAAAATTGCGACTCTAGGGTGCTAAAAACTTATTTTTACTATCGATAACTGCAAGGAAGCTGCATGGAGCTTTTCTCAATGAGGTAATTTGGGGCGCTGAATATGAATATCATAGTGAAAAGTGTGTAATATTGAAACAAAACTGTCGAAAAAGTTAGTGTTTCTAATTTAATGGTAACTTTCTAGGAAACACAATGAACCTCTCAAATGGTTTTGAGGGAACATCAACTTCTCCGAAAGATATTGCTCTAGCATTTTACTGTGGTTTGTGGGCATACGATGGATGGTAGTATTCCTGAGCAAATTAGATCATATTTGAATAATGGAATGATGCATCTTTTAGGTCAGGAGTAACTATTGTCACAGAGGAAATAAGGAGACCCGAAGTGTAAGTGCCTTCTGAATATTTTTGATAACAAAGTGAAGCTTATGAACTGGCGGGATGTCTCGGCTATTTGCGAAATTTCGCATCGGGACAGACGGCCTATAGAACAAAAAAATATTCAGAAGTTATATTTAAATTCTGTAAAGTTTCTGGATAGTGTCTGCCTGATCAAAAGCTCCGCCAATTTCCCCAATATAAAACAGGACTATATTACAGAAATATCCTCCGGAGCATCCTGATTGCAGTGCCGATAGTGACCATACTATACGTATTCATGAACGTTGCTTACATGAGTGTACTAACCCAGCAAGAGATGATCACTGCACATGACCAGCAACAAGCTGTGGCAGTACTATTTGGTGAAAGAGTATTAGGATCCACATCTTTTTTGATTCCGCTAGGAGTTGCTCTCAGTACCTTTGGTTGCGCATTAACCTTACAGTTTGGAGTCACCAGGTAAGAACATCAAGTTAGTGTTGCCGACACATTTCAGACCAATGCTAATGCTCAAGTTGCTTTTAATACTTTTACCCATTATACTGTAACATACTAAGGTATCCAGCAATACTGAAAACGGGGAAAAGGAATTAAAGAAAAATACTCACTATTTATTTGGTAAGGAATATCAAGTACTACAATGTCACGTGTTTTGCGTGAAGTTTGTTTACCTCTTCCTAAATTTGCTACATTTGGGGCTGTCTAGGTCTTCAACTGTGTTCAACCACATGGCTTGTGTACGATATAAACAAGCATATGCAGCTCTGATGGAAGGAAACATCAAGGACGACGATGACGTTCTACGTACACTCGCGGAGTGTCGATAGGGTCTTTAAGATGCTCGTATCAAATCGATAACTACGTTATTGTTCTAGGACTGGGTCAATTTCGGTTTTTCAAATGCGGTTTGCCTATAAACTAAGTTAATTTAGACACCACGCGACGCTTGATTCGGATACAGATTCAGATAGTCAGGGCAATCTCGGCATGAGAACACCATCGTGACAGAGGTGACGAGACTTGGCTCTATTATTACGATGTGCCGACCAAGGCTCAAACCAGAATTTGGGTCTTTGATGATGAGGACACATCCGTAGCTGTAAGAAAATCCCGATCTGTTAAGAAATAAATAATAGCTGTAAACCTATAAAACGTCAAAAAAAACCTATAAGATGTCATCTTGCAAACTAGGTAGTTTTTAGGGCGCAAACAGTTGTTCCATGTTTGCTCACTTGGATCGTTGTGAACTTCCATCTATGGAGGAATCACTCAACTAAACTACACGCATTATTGGTTGCATATGTTTTGTGAGGCCAAATAATGGTCCTTGACTGTAGTTTTTATCTCTGAGAAGAAAGTTGGTTGAATAGCAAGATCGCATCTGGATGATTATGTGTATTGGTCTGCATGCGTATAAAATCAGTGATATTTGCTGTGAGAGAAAATCATTACTGAATATGCTGCCAATGAAGGGTTATTTTTATGTTGTGCTTTCTGAAGAGAGGTTATGTTCAAAGTTATAAGTGCCCGCGTTGTCTGTAATTACTGGTAGCTTGTATATGGCTTGTAATTCGACAGTGTACAGTGAATATAATTATTTCTTATCTCCCTCATTGTTGTAATTCAGCAAGTTTGTATAGGTAATTTCCGGAATGGATAAGAAAAAGTGGCCGCGCAACTAATTTCTAGCTTTGAATTTCAATTAAGTGTATTTAAGACAAGAACCCAGTGTAATTATCATCAACACATACCACTTATAGCTTAGACCTCCAGTAATGCCATGTCAGAAGCAGATTTTACATCACATCAGAACCAAAGGTTGATAACAAGCCTCGTGACGTTTAGGCAACACGTACAACTAAGTGCTAAGCTAACATCTTGTAGAAAAACCTACATAATGTCAAAAAAAGAAGAAACAACAACTACAGACACGGATCATTCAGCCTCACAAAACTATGCAACCAATAATGCGTGTAGTTTAGTTGAGTGATACCTCCATAGATGGACGTTCACAACGATCCTAGTGAGCAAACGGGGAATGACTGTTTACGCCCTAAAAACTACCTAGTCTGCAAGTTGACATCTTATTAGTTTATTACGTTTTGCAGGTTTTTTACAGGATACCCGTGCCGTGCGGGATTGTGGAGCATGTCGCTTTGGACACACAGAAGACAGTCACAGCTGAGTGGTACACGGAACAGTAACTGCCTAAAGTCATAGAGTCTATGATTCAAAGTCAAGAATGGACACTTGGTCAAATGACGCTAAAAGGAAAACGGTTTTCTATCGATGAGGGCTTTTGACAACGAGTTTGTCGCACTCATGGGTGAAACTTGGCAGAGCTGGTTTAAGACTGGTTTTGGCGAATGGAGAAGTGGTGGACATTACTTTAAATGAAGTCAATAAATAAAGCCGTTTTGCAAAACTTTTATAGTACCCTTTGTACGCGTGTCTGTAAATCTATCGCAGACCACTTTGAACAATACTTACAAGTGACACAGCTGTACTTGAAATTTCTTTTCGATGAACGATGGTGACTTTTTCATTTATTTTTTTACTTTTTCGAATAGGTATGTATTAGGTTTGTCATTACAAACTTTGTTATTTCTGAAAAGGAACAACCAGCACCCCATTAATCAATCTAAAAACTACGAAGCCATATTTTTTTTATGTTACAGACGTAATAGTACGCTAATTTCGATTGATGATGCCTAATGACCTAACAGTTTTGCAAAATTACCTTCGCGGTAACTTGGCGTTGGAAAGAATTATTGGAGATCTAATTTCAAATTCCATCAACGTTAATTTTCCATCAATTTTTTACTCCCGAATAATCATGTATTATACAGGGTGTTTCAGTTTATTATTGCATAACTTTACGATTCCATAGAGCTTAATTAAAATTAATGCATAAAGTCTATATAAACATGGGTCGAAAAATGCGTGGCTTCCGAAATACAGGGTGTTTAAATTTACTTTCTAAAATAGTTTTTTTTAAATATTTCGAACAATATTTGATGTATAACAGTGAAAATTGGTATACAAGGGTTTTCTGGTACGACAAAATGAACCATGGGCATAGTTTTACTGTAGCCGCTAGAGGGCGCCCTCTACTGTACCTGTAGTGTATTAAAATGACCAAAATTTTTTTCTTAGTGCAATTTTTTGCTCTTTGAATAAAAAAACTGATTCGTCGCACTTTTCAACATAAAAAAGCTCTCCTGTGAGTTTTCGTTATAGTTAGCCGTTTTTGAGATATTTCGATTTTTAAGGTTCGATGCATTTTTAATTATTTATGGGAAAATAATATTTTTTTTACATTTTCGATTTGGGCATTACAAGTAATTAAGATGATCGTTTAGATTGTGTTTTTAAACACAGCAATAATTCCTAACTCCAAATAAACACAAAAAACAGAATATTAATTTGTTTAATTTTCCAATATTATTTTTAACAAATTAAATTAATTATTTACAACTAAAATGCTATTGGATAGTTAGGACAAACATACAAAATCTAAAGTAGTTGCTCGAAATGTAAACCCAACTGTTCAATACACAATTCACATCTACGAATGATCGAACGTGGTATAGTATTATTCAAATAAGGCCTTATTTCATCATATGCATTCCTGATTCTGTCTATTAGCATATCTCTTGTGGTTACGGGAGTTTGGTACACTTTTTCTTTTAGAAATCCCCACACAAAGAAATCTAATGGATTTAGGTCAGGGGATCGTGGAGGCCTGGCGACTGGTCCTCCACGGCCGATCCATCTTTATGGATAATTTTCCTCCAGCCAGTTTCTAACTATTATCGAATAATGAGCTGGACAACCATCAAGCTGGAACCAGGCCAATCTTCTTAAATCTAACATAACATCACCCCACACATTTGCATGTTCAGCCTTTAAAAATTCCAAGAAGGTCGCAGCATTTAACCTTGCAGGCAAAAGGTAGGCTCCAAATAGTCGATTACGGTAGATACCAATCCACACGTTCACACTAAATTCATGCTGAAAATATCTTTCCCGAACTGCATGCGGATTTTCATGCGACCAAATATGTTGATTATAAAAATTTACCACTCCACGTCTAGTGAAGCATGACTCATCGGTCCATAAAACGTTACTTAAAAACTCCCTATTGCACAGGTTGCAAATGGTAAGGACGTCTATGGCCATTTCTAAGAACACGGTGAACATGACTTGCTGAAATTCCCAAGGCACCAGAAACTCTCCTAACACACACTTGTGGTCGGATCTCTATCAAACACACGCAGAATCATACGGGTAAATCTGCGCTGACGAACATTTATGTTTTGATCCCTTTGGAGATCTCCAAAACCATTTTCAATTATTTGGCGATGCACTCTTACAAATACTGAGCGAGTTGGATGTCGTCTGTTTGGAAATCTTCGTGCGTATTCTCTGGCTGCTTCTGCTGCGTTTCCATTTACAAAGCTAACTCTTGATTGGAGAATAAAAATGGCATTTTTATAAATCTTACAAAAAAAAACAGGTAAAGGAAACTAAATTTCGTGCATTCACAATTGCAAAAAAACGTTTCAGGTTTCAACAGACAACAAAACTAACTGTCAACTAACTGACGTTTAACCTTATTCTGCTTGCAATTTCAAAAATATTTGCAGGCACAGCTTACTTCTAAAAATTATCGAGATACTGACTTTTTAACGCTATTTTATCATAAATAATTAAAAATGCATCGAACCTTAAAAATCGAAATATCTCAAAAACGGCTAACTATAACGAAAATTCACAAGAGAGCTTTTTTATGTTGAAAAGTGCGAAGAATCAGTTTTTTTATTCAAAAAACAAAAAATTGCACAAAGAAAAAATTTTCGGTCATTTTAATACACTACAGGTACAGTAGAGAGCTCCCTCTAGCGGCTACAGTAAAACCATTCCCATGGTTCGTTTTGTCGTACCAAAAAACCCCTGTATACCAATTTTCACTGTTATACATCAGATATTGTTCGAAATATTAAAAAAAAACTATTTTAGAAAGTAAATTTAAACACCCTGTATTTTTTTATTTTAAAAGTTCTATCGAATCTTAAAGTTATGCAACAATAAACTGAAACACCCTGTTTAAATCGTCCACTTATTATGAAATATTTGGGTGTTGATAATGTTGCTTTGTAATTTCAGCTTTTGAATTGATTGCAATGTTCACAAATACTCTTCGTTCTCAACCAGCACTTTTAAAATGACAATCCATTTTTTTTTATTTGTAGGCTCTGCTATGTATCCGGCCAAGACGGATTTATGCTCGAAAGTTTGTGCTATGTTCATTATAAACGACTCACACCCGCACCAGCAGTCATTTTACAAGGTCTCATATCTTTTGCATTCATTTTGGCTGGTGATATACAAGAACTTATAGAGTTTGCCAGTTTTTTGATTTGGTTCTTTTATGGAGTTGCGATGATATCACTGCTAGTTTTGCGCAAAACTAGGAAAAATGCAAATCGGCCATATAAGGTAATACATCGTTTTATGTGTGTGTTTATTGCGAATATAAAAAAGTTTCTAGCGTCATGAACTGTGTGGATAACATCAGTTTTTAGTTAGTCCTTTGCATGGCTGAAAATCGAGGTTTAGTTATATGGAAACCTACAACCTTTCTTGCTGTCGCAACGATGACTTAAAATCGCCACTTTAAACCCATACTGACTGTCGCTAATCAAGCCCGTGACGTTCGAGGTACTCCAAAAGCTCCCGCACGGGTATCATGTAAAAAACTACCTATAAGATGTTGACTTGCACGCTAGATAGTTTTTTAGGGCGCAAGCAGTCATTCCACGTTTGCTCACTAGGATCGATGTGAACGTCCATCTATGGAGGAATCACTCAACTAAGCTACACGCATTATTGGTTGCATAGTTTTGTGAGGCAAAATGATCCTTGACTGTAGTTTTTATCTCAGAGAAGAAAGTTGGTTGAATATCAAGATCGCATCTGGATGATTATGTGTATTGGTCTGCATGTGTATAAAATCCGTGATATTTGCTGTGTGAGAAAATCATTACTGAATATGCTGCCAATGAAGTATATCTATTGGCTGTGCCCGACTGGTTATTTTTATGTTTTGCTTTCTGGAGAGAGGTTATGTTCAAAGTTATTAATTACGAAAAACTGACGAGAATTACGGGAAATGATCACTGCTCCCGCGTTGTGTGTAATTACTGTTAACATGGCTTGTAATTCGACAGGGTACAGTGAATATGATTATTTCTTAACTCTCTCATTTTTGAGATTCACCAAATTTGTATATGTAATTTCCAGAATGGATAAGAAAAAGTGGATGCGCAACTAATTTCTAGCTTTGAATCTCGATTAAGTGTATTTGAGACAAGAACTCAATGTAATTATCATCCACACATACAACTTGCATCTTAGACCTCCAGTAATGCCATCTCAGAAGCAGATTTTACATCACATCAAAGCCAAATATTGATAACAAGCCTCATGACGTTTAGGCAACACGTACAACTAAGTACTAAGTTAACATATTGTAGAATAACCTACATAATGTCAAAAAAACAGCATAATGTCAAAAAAAAATCGGCTTGTCGCTTTTCAAGATACGTGATACCCTCAGTGTGAGGTATTATTTAATCTGTTTTCACTGCTGTGCTCAGTAGGGGAAGATTACAAATAAAAGTGATATTTGAACATGATGATACAACCAAATAATTATATCTACTTTCAGGTACCTGTAATAATACCGGTGTTCATCCTTCTGATATCAATCTATCTGAGTGTCGCTCCAATCATTCTAGAGCCATCACCCAAATACCTTATGGCTGTAATTTTTATGCTGTTTGGAGGGCTTGTTTACTACTGGTTTGTATACCAGAATAGAAAGCCTGAACGTTTGATGGGTAAGTTACTCTGTTAAAATAAAATGATATCAAGGAAAAGTAGATACTGTATTTAATTATAATTTATTATATATTATTTTAGGCTCAGTGACGAGATATATACAGCTTTTATTTCAAGTCGTACCTCCATCTACAGAATCATGAAAAATCATCACAAATACTACCGACAAGACTGTAACTAGATGTTTAAGTTAATTAAAGTATGTCTCTTTATTATTAGTCGTATTATTCGCGCATATTTGTTCAAAAATGTGTTTGTTGATAGCCCTATTTTTCACGGAAATATACCGGGTGTTTCAAATTCGACCGTCACCATTGGTATCTCGGAAGCGGTAAGAGATACGAGGTCGCTTAAATGAGAACAAAGCTGCCTATTTGGGTAACTAACAAAATGCCTCTCAGAAAGTTCCGAAATTCAAAGTACTTCCAAAGAGAGACGAAGGGAGGTTTGATTTGGTCTGGACAGGATTTGTTGCGCTTCTAGTATTTAGTCATTTGTCTGCATTCGGTGAGAGGAGACTCGTCGCTCGATATTAGCAACGAACTTAACCCAACGCGGTCCAACTTGATATAAATTTTCGTAGTAAACCAACCCTTCCGGCAAGTTTTAATGACCCTACCAAAATTAATGATTATTTTATGTCTGTTTATAGCTATAAACCTATTGATTCACTAGTTTGCGAAAACTATTTCAAAAATAAATTAAGCTCTGAATATATTTTTTCATTGAATAAGATTAGTTCAAATGACGTATTACAGGCAACAGGGAGCCTAAAATCTGATGCGAAGGGAATTGATGGTATATCCCTGTTAATGATCCAGCTTTGCCTGCCAGTTATTCTCCATCACATCGTCCACATCTTTAACGACTGTTTGGAAAAAGGCTACTTTCCAAACACATGGAAACAAGCTCTAATTATTCCAATTCCTAAAAAAATGAAACCCACTGAGTATAATGATCTCAGACGTATCAGTTTACTACCAATTTTATCCAAAATTTTAGAAAAAATTATAAAGTTCCAACTGACCGCTTACCTAGAAAAATTCTTTATACTTCCCGACACTCAATCCGGATTTAGAAAAAATTATAGTACAACATCTGCCCTACTTAATCTGCAAGACAATATTTTAAGTGCCTTAGATAAGAAAATGGCACTAGCCTTAATCTCTATAGACTATTCGAAAGCCTTTGACAGCATCAATCATAAATTATTACTTGCGAAATTAAATTACATAGGTCTTGACAGTGTATCCCTTTCATTTTTCGACAGTTACCTTCATCAAAGAACTCAGTGTGTTCTTCTCAATCAAGAAATGTCTCAAGTGACAATAATTCCCTCAGGCGTACCTCAGGGCTCTGTATTGGGACCGCTTCTGTTCCTCATATATACGTTCGACTTAAGCAAAAGTATTGATAATTCTCATGTCCAGTCATTTGCAGACGATACGCAATTGCTTCATTATTTTAACCCAGATAATGTCAATAATACTACACAAATTTTACAAAACGATGTTAATAAATTAATTAAATACTCTTTAGATTACAATCTACTTATTAATCCACAAAAATCTAAAATGTTATTATTTTGCGCACAAAGAAAAACATACAATGTAACACAGCTCTTGAACATTCAGATAAATAACCAAATCTTGCAATTTTCTGATTCTGCAAAAATTCTTGGTGTTGTTTTTGATACAAAATTAAGGTTTATTGAACATGTTAAAAGTCTATCTCAGAAAACCTACCTACGGCTGCGCACTCTTATAGCAAACAGGTATTTACTAAATTTTAAGATGCGTAAAAAACTATGTGAAGCATTGGTCATATCTATACTAAATTATTGTAATATAAGTATACTATACTTGTTTAGACAATTTCACTAAAAACGTTATTCAAGTTATCCAAAACAATTGTATACGATTCATTTTTGGCTTACGTAAATTTGATCATGTATCGGCGAAATATCTCGTTCTAAACTGGTTAAAAATTAATGACATGGTCAAGTATCACTATTCAGTTTTTGTTCACAAATTGCTGCTCACGTCTAAACCTTATTACTTGAAGGAAAAAATTTCATTTAATAATAATGTTCAGTGTAGAGCTCTCAGAGAAAATAATATTAGAATACCCCTGCATACGTCTACACTTTTTAAACGCAGTTTTTCTTACAACCTCCTCTATCACCCATTTAAATAATGACTATCATAACGTGTACACCTTGTATGACAGTGTTATTTGCCTTGATACGATAGGAATTTCAAACCCATGTTATACTTGGCGCGGCAATTCAAACTATAAGAAAACATAATTTTCATATGTTATGCCTTACGAATTCAATTGTCCTTAGCATTTACGTCTCGGGTAACAATGCTGCTATTAAGTTTTTGCTGTATTTAAATGTATTTGTAATAAAATTTAATAAGTTACTTACCTGATAGATCTTAAATGGTAAGATGAGGTTGGTATGTACCTCTTAGCGTTCAGATCACTTCTTCATTGTTGAGGATTATAGTTGTAATAATACCCTTCTTTAGATAAATATGACTTCTCTTGAGCGACGTATGTTGGAATCTGACTTACCTTTCTCGCACAACATTATCAATGGTCGCATAATTATATAATGTGAATGATAGGAGAGCATACTTTCTTTGTCCACTTTCGTGAAACACATTATGGTTGAAACAAACCCGTAACTCGTCTTCTAAGGTTAGGCAATAGATAAACATCTAGTTTAAAAGTATTTGTGTTAAGACCATTACAATGTAATTCTGTAATCAATACTGTTTTTTATATGTAACAAGATTTCATCCGTTGATTAAATAAATACGTAAACAATTCGGGAACTTGCTAAGGCCTTACTGTGCAAAAGCACATTAATTCCAAGGGAGAAAAACAACAACTGGTACGATAAAAAATCTTTAATAAAACTGTTCCCTGCAGACCGCAATACGTCATTTGTTGATTTCAAGAATGTGAACTTATTTCAACATCAAGATGTCTTGTTCTTGACCTGGTAGCTGCCATTTTCAGTCATCAACACTGCTGAAATCCACAATCTCTCCTCCGTTTTCACGAAAGCCTCGAACGTCATCGTCATCATCACTAACGCTGCCGTTCTTCTTCAATATTGTTTCTTCCATGTCAATGGAAAACTGTTCGGCCCCTTCTAGATCGATGTGGAAGATCGCCAAATTGTGGTTTAAAGGATGTGGTTCACTTGAATACATTTGGGCCAATACGCAGTCTGTGCAGAAGTCTATGGAATCCAAACACGTTAAGCAGTGCCACCTGGCACCGACTATTGGTTCTAAGTTGCAATAGTCGCACTAAAATTAAGAAGAAAAATTAAAAAAATGCTGCACATTCCGCTTGGTGTCACATATCAAACAAATATCTCCGACAGCTGAATCTTCCTACAACCGGAGCGATTTAATCTCTGCAACAATGTCTAGCGGAATTCTTTCATTTTCAGGATTACATGACGTATCCGCACTTTCTTGTAATTAACATGGAAGCATCCCAAATGCTTATTTTATTACGTGTTACCATAAAATCTCTCGAGGAAAAAAATTGGTTGTTTGTTGAAGATTTATTTAGCATTAATTATACAATGTCATGTCAATTTTGTATAATTATACGTTTAAACGTTTTTTTTTTAATCAATTTTAAGTAATTTTTCATTGTCTATTAAAATTAGATCACTATGCATTTTGGATATTCATAAACTGATTTTTTTAATTTTACCTTAAACATTTTTAAATTCGATACACTTTTTAATATCATTATTTAATTTCTTAAATTCAAATATTCTCTTTGCTAGTTATGCTACTATTACAATTTTGCAGGTGACAATCTATACTGCCTCTAGTTTCGTAGTTATGATAATGCCTATTTAATTTTGTGAAGTTTTCTAGATGTGGTGGTAATAAATAATAAGAAAATGAGAACTAAATAACAAAATTTTTCCATCAACCATTGTAGTTCTAACATAGACTTAGTCCTAACATATTTGTTTTTATTTAAAAAGATTCTCGTACCGTTATTTTGTAGAATTTGTCATTTTAAAACATGTTTTCATTTGGTGTAAGCAAAATGGTGGAACAATATAAAATATGGCGAAAAATTATGGTGTTATACACAGTTTTTTTTAATACATACTGAGATTATGGGAAACTCTATAGGAGTAAATTATCTGTTTTGATATTTTTAAAATGATTCGACTACTTCAATTTGTTCATCATTCATCATGTCACCTAAATATTTCCCTATTGGCATACATTTTGTTTTATTAGTGTTTATTTTAATTTTATTAACGTTTAATCGTCATTTTTTATTATCACTATCTAACAGTTCTAAAGCAGTGTCCAAATGTTTATGTACTATACAGGGTATCCTTAAATTGAAGGATAATCCTGCAAGTGTAGATAAATAACGTCATAGCCTACTAGATGGTAAAATCGAAATTTTTAAGCGGTGATCTTTGTTTTTTTCACTTCCATTATCGAGTCTGGATCGGGGTTTTTCCTGTTTTTTTGACGGTTCGCCAAAGGTTTTATCGGAAAACGATACCATTTCGGAAACTAGAAACTCGGCGCTTTACGAGCGACTTTGAACCGTCGAGGTACGAAGAATAAAAACGTTTTAAAAAAGCTGTTAAAGTTCTTTCGCGTAGTACGAACACTTTGATAGGCTACGTTTCGCCGTTTATCAAAATATCGACTCGAGATCTATCTTATTCGTTAGCTAAATGACGAGCGCGTCGTATAGCCTAGCTCCTGTTTTGAATCGCATCTTGGTTTTTTTCTAGTTTTCAAGGAAAAAGCGAGAAAAATGGCGAATTGCCGTAAAATCTCCGATATCTCTTTAATGCCAAAGAGAAAAGGAATTTCGCACGGCACATTTTGTAAATCTCGATGAGTACCTGGGAAGAGTGTTTTCCATTTAGGGCTCCCGTTTCGAAATTAACGAATTTTTTGCGTATAAAGTGCGCTTTTCGCTCTCCAGGATCTATCTCTTCCGAAAATAACGGAGATACGGACCTGGCGACTTTTGCATAAGAAAGCCCATACTTCGGACTCCAGAACGCAAGTATTTTCATCTCTTTATTCGTTTCCGTTGAAAAGTGTCGATTTTTTAAAATCGATACCTTTCGATACATGACAAAGTCACCATGTTTTCGGCTTGGTCCGGACCTATTGCTACTATATATATGCGAGATAAAAATTATATGGCGAAAAATAAACATTTTCACCGTAGGAAAAGAGCCTCACTGTTAGAATTCCCGTCAAATTTTGAAAAAAACAACTTTTAGGCTTTCGGATTCCTGTAGGTATGATAATATTAAAAAAGCAAGCGCGTATTTTTGAGGTGGTGAAACATCCACATAAAAGTAATGCCTAAGTCTGAATTTTTACCAAAATCCCTTCTCACGTCTGACTTTGACACCCTGCAGAGTGACAGCATCAAGTACGATCACTGTGCTAATTTGTCGAACAAGTTGACCAACTATTGACAATTTTTAAATCGTATTATTGTTATTCACCCTCTGCTGTTTTTTTTTCTTTGTTTTATTGCAGTTATAACGGAGTAGGGTCAGTTTTCGTAGATATCAGAAAATAACAATATAAGGCTTAGATACAAGGAACTGGACAGGATTGATGTTTAATGACTAGAATTTTTATTAGATTTCAATTCTGAGATAGCTTTTATTAGACTGTTGATGTTTATTGTCCCAAATATGAGACTGTTTAGTGTATTGTTGCTACTTGCTCTACAGTAACAAAGACCGCAAATTTATCAGAGTGACGAACAACACTAAACCATACATTATACATTATAGGAAAAATATACTTGTATTACCTTAAATCCCATATGTTTTGGTAAGCTGAAACTACTGTCCTGCTCCTTCAATTTTTCGGCCTTGATGCGCTTTAGAAGTATTAACTGCATTTCTGCTTCGCTATGTGCAGGTTCTGTTTCTGTACCTTGATGGTAATTATGTTGTAATAGGTAATTTGTAGATGAACTGGTAGAGCTAGAAGGATTTGTTGGGCCTGTTGAAAAAACGCATTGAAATAGAAATTTTTAGTAGAATAAATTTAAATATTCCCCAGAAATATGACTGAACTACTCAGGATTCTTTACACCATCTGAGCATGCATTATAACAAAAGCAGATGTAGTCTCCAATCCGCTATCTTGATTGTTAAGGTATCTCAAGAAGATTATATCAAAAATTAAATCAAATCAAAATAAGAGTGACATTTTGTCTAAAACTGTGCTCAATGAATGTTTTGATATTTGGAACAATAATATTAATCCTGATAAATTACTGTTTAAAATATGGCGAATTTCCAACAAAACTGAAGTGTTCTACCATATCTCCTGTTTCGAAAGTTAAGAATTGTACACAAATATGCGGCCAATAAATGTTCTGCCAGATGTTGAAAAAGTCTTTGAAGAAATTATTACAAACAGATCACATTTGTAATATTTTAGATTATTGTAAAATTCAGATATTTGCAGATGATACATTAATATATATATATATATATATATATATATATATATATATATATATATATATATAATAAATATCTGTATGTTATGTTAGTTTTTAAAAGAATGTAATTGTAACATGCTAAATAAATTTTAAACAAAAACAACAAAAACAGTATTAAAACACTTATCACTCACCTGGTACATGCTCCAACTCATCCATGACTACAGGTGTGATCATTTCTGGGAAAAATGTTGAGGGCTTTAATAGCTGTTGATCTTTTCTCATGTAGGTCCACGAGTAATGTTTCATAGTTTTCTAAAAAGTTTTTTTACATCAAATACAAATTGTGAACAAATTGATATGCCACAAAAGGAAAATATCCTTGTATGTGGATATCATTCTAACACAACATACATGTACATATAACATAGTAGTTACAATAAATTGATTTGACTAAAAAAAATCTATATAATATAAATGTAATTTGTATATCAATTATGAATCGTAGATTAGCATCGAAGAAAGCATATTTATATGTTAGTTTTTTATAAATTACATCATGTTTATATCATTCAACAGCCACTCGTATAAATCTATTTTTGGTAATGATATTCGTTTTATGACATAATTTTGGACCTAAGTGTATACGTATAGAAGATAACAACATTATTTCTTTTTTTGGTGTTGCAATAATTATTTCTTTATTTTTATTTATAGTATCATATTCATAATTTTTATAAATAATCGAATGTTTCTTTTTGGAATTCCAGTATAACATTATACCAAAATAATTGAAAACTGCATTTCTGGATCCATGTTTATAAAAAGACTTTTTTCATATTTTTTAACAAGGAATCACCCTCTAAAATATCTCCGTCTATTTTGCGTACACCATGTACGAGTATATTCATTTTGCAGACTTGTTTTCTTTATATTTAGCTGATTATATAGCGGTAATTTATTTACGTAAGACGTGAAAGTCATAAAGCAGGTTTTTTATAATGTCAACATATTTTGATACTTACTTTATATTTTTCCCCCCCTTTTGGAATCCTCCCCGGTATAGGTAGCCCAGCTTTGTACAATTTCAAAAAATATTTTTGTACCCTGCTTGATACTTGAGAAACCGTTCGAGTACCTTAAAACAATTATTGCAAATCCTCAGATAACTACTCGAACATGGAAATGCATAAAAATATTTACCAAGAGCATCGGCAATTTTTTTAAACCTATTCATTTCAATGGGCTCTGGAGGATACGCAATAAGCAATTCTTCTAATTTCTTCTGTTCTTCAGAAGTCCATGCCTAATTTAACATAAAACAAATTATTTTTGTATAAAGGGTAGTGTTGAAGGGCAACAATTTTTTAATAACTAAAGATTGCTATTCTTAATATTCTTCAATGTGGTAAATGATGGTGCAGAGTCCTCATACACAGAAAGCACCCATCTTTGATTTGCGTAGGCGTGAATACAAATATTTCATGACTGCTCAATACTAGATTTTGCCCATTTTCACAAAAACACTCACATCAATTCACTCAAACGACTATTACCCAACAAATCCGCGTCCAAAATGGCTGAAACTTTGGTGAGTAATAGTCAACAGATGAACAACGAAATTCACTAGCTTTTATTTACGAGCACTGCCGTCTTCACGTTCAGGTCGGAAACTATTCAGACCACCCTCGTACATATAATATACAGGGTGTACACGTTATGGTAGTCATTATTGAAATGGGTAATGGGGGGATCAAAACAAGTCAAAAAGTTCATATGACCCATGGTCCAAAAGTCAATAGATTTTTGTCTAAATGGCTTTATAGTTTAGAACTTAAGTGCTTTATATAGACCACAAGCTTACTAATTTTTATAATCTAATCTTAAACGTTTTTAAATTAGGTAATTAATAAGTTTTTCTAAGTTAAGCCAAAATTTGTAGTCAGAAAGTAAGTTTCATTAAGTTAAATATTTAAAACACACATGACAACAGCGCGTCGGTCATCATCACTCTTATCGAACCGGCAGTCGATCGCAAACGGTAACAGTGGTTAGTATATTGTTTTGTTTTTGTTCGCGTACGTTGTCGTGTGTATTTACAATGTTCTCGAATCAAGAGTTCGCCGACATGTTGTTAGTTTACGGTGAAGCTCGTCAGAAAAGCCGAATTTTTTTTTAAAACATTCTAGCGACGGACGAATGTACTTTTACGTGAGACGGGATATTAAGTTTCCATAATACTCACACGTGGGCCCAAGAAAATCCTCATACCATTCGTGAAGGTCATTTCCAACAACGTTTTAAAATAAATATTTAGGCGGGTATTCTTGACGATCAGGTAATTGGCCCTTTCGAGTTACCCCCAAAGTTGTCAAGAGAAGGATACCTTAGCTTTCTAGCCAATAACCTACCAGAACTTTTGGAACAGACCTTAGACAACATGCCATTACAACGGAGACGGAATTTGTGGTTTCTTCTTGACGGGGCACCACCACACATTTTTAGAGGCGTCACTCAGTATTTGAATGAACATTATCCAAATCGCTGGATCGGTCGAAATGCTCCTGATCCTCGAAAATGGCCAGTAAAATCTCCTGACCTCAATCCGATGGATTTCTGGTATTGGGGAGAACTTAAAGGGGTTGTTTATGGGGCTGGTCCAATAACAACTGAAGCACAACTTCGCGAAAAAAAATTTAATGCGGCTAAAATAATGAATGGACAACTTCGAGGACCTAGAGTAAGAAGAAACTGGGTTCCTCGTAATGAAGCTTGTGTGGAAAGTGGAGGACGACATTTTGAACACCTTCTTTAAATACAAAAAAAGTGCAGTGTGGGTTTCAAAAAGAAAAACAATGTATGTATCAAAATTGTGTTCCCTATTTATAAGTGGATTTTTTTAATACGTTCAATAAACTTTCACACACCAGGTGAAGCGCTGAGACAGTTAGTGTCCGTTTTTTTTAATTGTTTGCATTTTACGAGTACATTATCAAATAATGAAATAATATCTAAGAGCAAAAAATAACAAACTCCATCTTTATTTACACTGCGTTCCGGCGTAATTTGTGTCTGGCATTGCGGCGTTGTCAGATTTTATTTTACTTTAAAGTCGCTTTTCTCTAAAAGAAATACCGTTTTGAAGCCCATGTTATATGATTTTTTTACGTCTTTTAACCCCCTCTATCACCCATTTAAATAATGACTATCATAACGTGTACACCCTGTATAATAAAAAATGAGAGAATATACATGGAACTATATTAAGAATACTATGGATTGATTCTAATTACCTTAGTATTTAGAGCAGGAGTTTCAATGGGTTTGCTGTCGTCACTTTTATCAGATGGTGAATATATTGATTGCAAATCAGCTTCCTGAACTTTAACTTGGTACTTATCAAAGTTGATTACTGGAAGCTAAGACATAAATTATATTTCTGAAGCATATATGGTACAGAGGTAGCATTTTGGATTCGGATTAAAATAAGCGGTTATAAATATTGTATGAGAAACGTAAAATAATTAAAGCACATAAGTTTTTATATATTTTGTGTTTGAAAAATTGACTCGGATTTTTAAGAAAACTTGAAATATGTATTATTAGCCCAAGCAAATAGTGAAATAGTAGTTTCACTTTGCAAAATGTACTGCAGTTACGTTTTTGCTGTAGTCTGAACGAGGACTATTGACTGATATTGAAATCACATTTTCCACACAAATGACACTTGTTGAGATTATGTTATTTAAACAAACGCATTATTCCGGCTCTATTTTCTATTCGATTATTTGATTACATATTTTTCTATTTCACATACGTTCTTTAGTTTCGTCTCGCCGTCTCCGCACATAGTTGTCAGTCGAAAAAGAAAAAAAACGGATGTTACTGTAATACGTAAGAAAGCTCTTACCTTAGGTATTTCCATAATATCTGGTATTTCAAGTTTTAGACCTTCCCCACTTTGAATTTTTCTTAATATGTCATTAGGATCGGCATCTAACAGCTGTTTTTTCACTTCTATAACCTTATTATAATCCTACATGAAAAGAAAATAATATATTATAAGACAACTTTGAAGTTGAAATGTTATTAATAAATTATAAGTAACTAAAGAAATGGCACTATGAAAGCATCGCAATTCAGAGTATTTCCACAAAGAAGAAAAAAACGATAATCATTCCCATTTACAATTACATATTGAATTACATTCTTGCTTACTTGTATAACTTTCTGTCTCAGTGCTGTTAGACTTACAACAGTCTTTAAAATATCACAGTAATCTTTATTTCCTCTCAGTGCTAAATGATCGGTTTCAAAGAAAAATGCATCATTTTCGGACTCTTCAATACCAAGTGAATTTTCCATATTGTCCGATAATTTATGTTTACTTTCAACCTGGCAGTAACTATGTCTGGTTATAAACCTGTAAAAAGGAATAATTATAGTAGAATTTATTCTGAAATCTGTTGAATATTCCAGAATGAAAGCATTTCACGCAAAACCATTTATCGAACAATAGCGGAGTGCGAGCAGGGAATGCCATGTCTGAATCTCCTATTTACTGCACAGAGATCATTACTCTTGTTTTTTCCTAGAATGCATGTTTTTCGTAAAAATAAAAATAAAAACAAATTAGATAACCAAAGCTTTATTTCAATAAATTCTGACGGATACAAGTGCGGCATCTTTTTAAAAAAGAAAATCGTATTTCCGCAAAATTTGTTGTGGCTTGAATTTGATTAAACGCATTATCTAGTCTTTCTTGTAACTGATGAACAGTATTAATTTGTTCAGCATACACTAGTTATTTGAAAGCGAACCACAAAAGGAAATACAGGGGGTTCAAATCAGGAGAACTCGCAGGCCAATGTACGGGTCCGTTTCTGCCAAACCATCGTTGTCTAAAATGCGGTTATGTCACGACGAACATGTGGTGGGGGGGGCACCGTCGTGCTAATACCACATTCGTACTCTGGTTGCTAACGGAACATCATCTAACACATTTTCTATGTAAATCTCTAGAAAAGCCATGTATGAGTGCAGTTAAACGTTGTGGCAATACGTTGCATAAACAGTTGGCCATTGAAAATACCGCACCAGACATTTCTAGAGAATCTGTGTTAAAACGTTCTTACAGAACGTGGATTTTCTTACGACCAAATATGTTCATTATAAGAATTAAAGGTTCCACTCCTCGTAAAAACCGATTCATCTGACCACAAAATCAAATCAATAACATCTGCATTTTGATTATGCATTTGCAGTAACCACTCACAAAAATTTCGTCGTTGCACTTGCATATATTGCACATTTTGCCGATGGTAAGGATGTAAAACTTTCCGATTTAAAATTCTCCACGCGAGATTTTGGGAACATGGTAACTGGGCTACAATCCGCCTAGTACTTGTACTAGGATCATCAAATGCCAAATTAATCACCTCCAGTTCCTCTTGAACAGTATGGACACCATGGCCTCTAACTCCGGGAAGTTTGGCAATTCCATATTGCCGAAGACTTAGGAATGAACGCGTAAAAACCTTTGGTGTAGGTTGGCGTCTGTTTTCGTTTTTTGTTTTTTATAATTATTTACAATTTATCATTTTTTAGCTTACTACTATTATTTTTTGTTTTATACTTATTGGGAATCGCTTTTTATTTTACTGCTGTTGTTTGTTTCAGTTTTTCGTTTTTGTGATTCATTAATTAATGTATGTAAACAAATTTTCCACTTTTCATATTTTTCCCTAAATGCGGAGCCCAGTCCGGCAACACCGCAGGCAAGCGCCTCTCATATATGACCAATGACGTCTTACCCATACGTAAGACGTCATTGTATATGACCATATCCACAGACGTCAACGTCATATGGCAGATGACGGTGGAAATAATGGGGGAAATAACTGATAGAAATACAATGTTTTGGGAAAAAAATCATGAAAAGCATGCTTCATCCATACTTTTTTTTATTCAAAATAATCTATCAGACTACCCTCTATAAGCTTCAAGTGAAATCCGAAGTTCTACAAGACGCAACAGTACCATCACCTCAGAAATATCTATTCACAGTTAAAGTATCTCCCTCTCCCAATGACTGCACCCTGTATAGTCTCGAACCCACACTAGTACCCTTTAGCGTATCGAGACAGCTGAGATTCACAGAAAAAACACTGAAACCAATATATTATTAAATTCACAGACCTTTGATTGAAAACCTAAAATGTTTACATTATATTGCACCACAATAAATTGATAAAATCACAGAAAAAATGTTTATTTTTGAGAGGATGACAGGACAATGTCGCATGACTGACATCACTGACTAGAGGGGGTAATCTCTGTCACTGTCAGAGTGACACAGAACCACAGAGCACAGAGAAATGATTGAGAGATGGGAAAGTAGGATAAAGATTGTATTCACATTAAATCAGGAGTGAGGTATTCGCTGACTGCTGACTGAATATCAATTGTCAGAATATTTTATTTTTCTTTCGATTGTATTGTATTGTATTTTGGCCGAAATAGGCGTTCATATCCCTTGGCGTGTATAAACGCCTCCCCCCCCCCCGCTACACGAATTAGGCCCTAATTGCACGCCCACGGCTATAACTGCTCTCTTTACGTCTTTGCAAAGCCTTTGGGTGACTTCGTAGCTGACGTGTAATAACCACACCTCATCCCATACCAGAAAATCATGTTATGTTAGTAATATGCAAAATACTAATTTTATTTTCCATTAACGCTTATCTGACCGCGTACCATCAGCGTTCCCGGTGGCGGACCGCACAGAGCTTGAGACTGTAGTCACCTACGTGGAAATTTTATTTTGATACACCACTGGTAAGCTTAGCTAGAACCACTTAACGATAACTACTATTATTGCATTTTTTTTATTTCGCGTGAATCACTATGAGCATGACAGCTATATATAATAAGAGTTAATTGGGATCAGAAATATCGGACAGTTCGAATCACCTTGTCACTCCTCACTCATCTCCATACCTCCACTTAACACTCCCATCAAGTTCATACAACCACCATCTCATAAGGTTTTCATCAACTCCTACCCCTCTGTGCATTTTTTCTTTATTGGCCATCCACTGGCTTTCTGCGTTATATACTTCATATTTCTAAGACTGCATCCAAGCAACTCGTGTACTAAACCATTTGTGATGGCACCATCAGGTAAATGTAAGTATACATACTTAACTAGATTGGTGGCGACGTAATACTGTGCGTGCCTAGCTTACGGGCCAATAGCTGCGCGAGCATTTCGCCATTTTTTCTATGTAGTTTAAGTTTGGTTTAAAAATTGTTAGTCCCAATACTAAGGCTTTGAATTGAATTTGGTGAAAGCTAATCATATACTAGAATATTTGGTTGTTTTGTTGTCTCGACACATTATTTTGTCGCCGCAATAAAAAACAGAAATATACATTTAATCAGTAATATTACTTTTGAGTCATGGTATAAGGGAGAATGACGACGGACTTTCATTCCAAGTACTTTAACTCCTATCGTGTCAAATTTCCGCATATTATTATCATATTACTATACTTACTATGGGTTCAAAAATATATTCCTGATGACTACGTACTGCAACAAATACTGGATTCTGCTTTTCTGTGCGACGTTGGAAGTAACGACCGTAGATTGTGAAACTATAGCCCCCAGGAAATTATATTTTGATACGCCTGTGCGTTGGAGCATATTGCATAGTCGGGCTATTATCTGTTATCCATTGCTGCACAAAGTTTTGCGATTTGTGGTGAAAAACGTGAATCACCGTTTTTGAGGATTACTAACTTCTATATATAGAATCGTGATATCGTGGACTAGATCATAAATATTGAGCTGCTGTAATTGGGGGCAGTGGCGTATATACGTATATAAAACTTAACGAGCAATATTTTTGTTGCAATATTTGGCGATGACTAAGACAACTTACGAGATCTGTAAATTGAGTGATGAGACTGCTTTTTTTTATATTTTTATTCAAATATAATTACAAGTTTATATTGTCACACTCAAAATAACTTCCTTTTGAAGCCACACGGCGCTGGAGACGGTTCTTCCAGTCTTCATAGTAGTGCTGGAACTCCGATACTGGAATAGCCTTCAGCTGGTAGGTTACATCCCGCTTCAATATGTTTTCGACTGTTCCAAAATGACTTAGGGAAGAGAATAAAAGTCACACGAACTCACGTCAGGCGAAAAGGAGGCTGAGGAGCCACAGTAATATTTTTACTGGCCAAAAACTCGCTTATTGAAGCAAAACCTGACATCACACCGTTGCTTGAAATTGATGTCACTCATTTTTGAGACAAAATAGAAAAAACTGTTCCAAAAAAATCGTTACGGACAACCAAATGACTCGAGCGAGTTCAAACTTGTACAAAAGGCGAATCACATGTCAGATGTTCCCCTGTCTCCCCTCCAAGCTCGTTGCATCCAGTGTTGCGACATCGAACGCTACGTTGCCAGTCCCATCGCTTAATTTATAGATAGTATAGATTTTGTGTCTGTCATTGAAGTTTGTCTAAATACATCAATTAAAGAAGTCTAAAACTATCCATAAAACTTCTATTATTTTCACTTTAAAATATAAAGCAGTAAATACCCTCAAAAAGGCACAGAACATATCGTAGTTTTTCAGTGGCAAAATGGCATTCCACTCAAACATTTTGAAAGCAAAACTACAGTCATGGAGACTATACGTAGGAGGTTAAGCTAGTGGAGTCAGAGAGCCACACCATCCTTGGCGACAGGATTGTCTTCATTCATACAAATATATGTATCCGATGCTCAGTTTAACCTCGTATCTCTAGACATCGCGACTAAAATATTATGTTCATCCTTCGAAACGTTGTCTAATTTAATGTTTATTTTCACGTTATGGCTATTTATCATTTTGGTCACTTCCAAGATTTATATACTGATCGGTGGTACTGTTCAAGGTTTCCCCAATTTGTTAGTGAATACCCAAAATTTGATATTCCCATCACTAGCTTATATATGTCAGATTCAAGGCGACAAGTAGAATCGCCTAGAAGTAGTATCGTGGGTGTGCGAGTGGAAACATGTTAATAATAAGTTTTACAAATAGTTTATCTAATATTAAATGTCAAGTGCTGAGTATAAGTGGACAAAATACTTTAACAAACAGTTTACCTTCTTGATCGAGTGCTAAATTAGTTGTTTTATTTAGTAAATTTAAGCAGAAAATTCATTGAGCTCGTGACCATGCCAAAAGGGAAACGAAAGGGGCGGTCTGGTAAGTTCTAGATACTCGATGGCTTTCCCCATTTTTCCATTTGTATAGTGCTAGCTTAAATTATTATATTGCCAATTTGTTTATATCTGACGTTTACGTATTACAGATCAAAATTATTTTCCCAGCTTAACATATGGCGAAAGAAAATGAATGCTTTCAACTTTGAAGCATACTCTTTTTGAATCAGTTAATATGGGGTAATTAAGGCCAAGACCAAAGCACGATAGCAAACATTGTTCGTAAAAATTTCGGTTGATTTTGGTCATTATCGATACGATTGTGCATTGAGATAACATTTTAAAAATCATCTAAAGTGAATCATCTCAATATAGAAATGTATTTTTGGACATTCGTTTTGCTTGTCATTCAAGACGTAGTAATTAAATATTGTCCATAACCAGTTCTATTTGAATTGGTTTATATAATGCTAAGACAAAGATGGCACAGATTTCAACATTTTTGTTGATGATTTTGGTTGTGTAATAGAGTACAACTTGTTCAGTAAAAAAAAACTTTTGGAGTTATCAATATGATTCATCTACCTCTCTATCTCTACATAGCAAAGAAACATTCATTTTTTTTAAATTGCATTTGCCAGTAATCTTTAATAGTTCAAAGTATTGATTGAAATTAAATTCCTCCTTGACTGATCCTTGGATCCAAAAAAATTGAGAGTGCCTTCCAATATTATGTGTTTAAAAAAGTAAATATTATTTCTAGATATGACTTTGTTTTATCAAATGTCTGTATACCTTATATGTTATAAACTTCTTGAGTTTCACTCTTAGTGCAAAAATATTTTTGAAGGGGTATACAGTGAAACTAACAGCATTGTTGAAGAATGCAATTCCTTATGTGTAGGCATACAAGACATCATCATTTTTTTCCATGTCATAGGAGTGGTTTTTACATCTCCCACCTAGTCAGAAATAGATTTACAAGCTAAAAATGAATGAATAGTGTTTATCTTGATAGTAACTATAAGGTTACATAGATTCCATTCCCTTCAAATCAATTAAAGCAGTTGATTTCACCCATTAAATTGGAAAATGCGGTTTTCTGCATGTTTCACCTAGCCAGAAAAAAGTTACAGGTTACAATTAATGAAAAGTTTCTTCTATTAGTAGTTATAAGGCCACAAAGATCATCATTATCATCACATTATTAATGCTACAATTTTGTTCAATGTTGATAATATGTATTATCTATATCAAGTAAAACATATTATAAATGGATGAATTATTTATTCAGTAATTGGTAGATTAATATTGATATCGGATTTCACATTGTTAGCTTGAAAAATAACAAAACAATTATTGATAATTTTCAATCAAACGTGGCTGTGATAAGAATTTAAATATTTACAATTACACTTCACTTTATCCAGTATTTCCCAAGTTTCAATGCATTTGTGAATTTATATTGCTAAGTAAAAAAAATAAAAAAGAATGTTTATTTCCTAGCAAAGGCAAAGATAACAATCACATCACAGTAAAATTCTTAACAGATCTGTAATCACTTACAGAAAGTTTGATCTGGTGGGTAACCACCCCAAAGTGATAAGCTCTCCTAAAAAATGCGATCATGGGTCATTCCTAACAGATAATATTCCAAATTTAAATTGACAGTACCTTCCATCTCCTTAGCATATCTTTGAAGGGTTGAAGAACAATCCTAAGGTGCCAAAATCGGGATAGACGGCAAGTGGGAAATCGTGATAATGAATAATTCATATCGCAAAAAGTACTTACTGGCAATATGTGAAACATGATCTTATTGTCATTCCCTTCACATCATTTCTGTAGGGGTGGGTGGTCACCCCAAAATAAGAAGTTCTTCTAAGAAACCGTGGTCATGGATTATCCCTATCAGCCCTCACAGCATAGAAAAAATGTCCCTTTCATTAGTAGCCATAACTCCATGTTCTTAAAATTACAGGCTAAAACTGCTATAAGGCCTTATGAAAGGAACATCTCTGATTCCTCATAGTTTACTCATCACTAATCACACAGAATTCTCATGTTTTCAAAATTTTGAACAAAGGCAGATCATTATGTAGGAAGTACTGACTTGATGTTTTTGAGGCAGTTGTTCTGACATTCTTAGTACTCAAACTGTTGTTTCAATATCAATTAAAGAAACGCGCACAGTAAACCCAGTGTACTCCATAGTGCCATTTCTTCTGCATTTTTTTTTATTCAAATTGCTTTGCAGATATGAAACGTTAACAGGAAAAATGTACATGCCTAAATTATAATAAAATAGATAATAACAAGTTATAAAATAAGTAGCAAAACAGTATGCTTAAATGATGTATAAATATACTAAGTGACATATAAATCCGAACACCCAGTTTAAATGGTTTTATTTTAATAAAAGTTGGTGAATGTATTTATCTTACTGTAAATAACAAGTGAAAAAATTTTCAGCCTTATCAGTTGGACATTCCGGTTTTTATACTGCTTTTTTTTAATCCACTAACGCTCTAAAAATGAATATTTCAGCCGCAGTAAAGAATCAACGTTGGCGGATTTTGGTTCTTGACATCCTTTACGATCGGTTACGATGCCTAGAGTACGGACACCTGTACGATTTCGTCAACTTAGTGAGTTTGATAGGGGCCGTATAGTGGGACTTCGGGAAGCTGGACTTTCTTTTCGCGCAATTGCAGTTAAAGTGCAAAGAAGTGTAGACACTGTGGTTAGGTGTTATCAGGCATGGCTTCGAGAAGGCCGCACGCAAAGAGCAAGGGGCACTGGACGCCGCCGTAGAACAACAGACCGTGAAGATCGCCGCCTAAGATTATTGGCCTTAAGGGACCGTTCCTCCACTACCAGGTCCATTGCAAATGAATGGTTTGCAGAACACGGAAGACCTATTGGCATGCGAAGTGTTTACCGACGAATGAGAAGTTTTGGCTTGTTTTCATACCGGCCACACTGGGTCCTCCCTTTAACTCGAGAACACCGACGTAATCGCCTTGAGTGGTGCAGACAACGGTCACTCTGGGATCAGGAATGGCACAGTATTGTCTTTAATGACGAGCCTCGATTTTGTTTAGGCATGCACGATGGTCGTGCCAGGGTTAGAATGCGACGTGGTGAAAGGAGGAATCCACAGTTTTTTGTTGAAAGACATGTTCATCACACTGTTGGAGTTATGGTTTGGGGTGCTATAGCTTATGGTTCCAGGTCACCTTTAATCTTCATCAGAGGTAACATGAACGCGCAGCGTTATATCCACGAAGTTCTAGAACCCTATCTTGACACCCTGGCAGATCCAACTATCCAACAAGATAATGCCCGACCACATGTTGCAAGAGTCACAATAGACTTCTTTCAACACAATGATGTCACATTGTTACCATGGCCACCAAGATCTCCCGACTTATCCCCAATTGAGCACGTGTGGCATATGATGGGTAGGAGATTGCTCAATTTGCAACGTCCTCCTCAGACTCTAGAATCACTTCGAGAGGAGTTGGTGGTTGCCTGGAATGAGATACCACAGGAGGACATTGACCACCTGATCAGAAGCATGCCTAGCCGCGTTGGAGAATGCGTAGCACATCAGGGTGCATCCACACTTATTAAAGGTCAAAGGGCTTTAAAGCAGTGCAATCATTTTGAAATTTTTATCATTTACTTATTATGCTTCATTAAGTACTTATACAAAATTTTATTAAAATAAAACCATTTAAACTGGGTGTTCGGATTTATATGTCACTTGGTATATATACTAAGTAAAATAATCAATAAAATAGATAAATATGTAATTATTAAAAGTCATAAAACTTAGGGTACAAGTTTGTTAAAAGATGTTTTTTGAAGGCTTCTAAGTCATGGATGGCTTTTAGCTTGGAGGGCAATTGTTGAAGATAGATCCACATAGATAGTCATGGCGATTATGATATGTGCCGAGGCTATAGTTATTCAATGTAACGTTATTATTCCCTAGATTGATTTGGAAAGCTATATTTTTGACATTATTTGTTCTATAGATCGCAATGGTCGTCATCATGAGAATGGCGGTGGTTCTTTAAACTCCTCTGAAGATGAGTCATACAACCTTGACAATGCTAGTGTAGCTAGCAACTTTTCGGATGCTACTGCCGAGGATCCAGATGATGGCGCTGCTTTGGCCGATGATCAAATGGAGGAGAAACTGGGGGAACTCATTGATGGAATGGCGCAGAAATCCTCTCAGGGCCGAGTCAACTGCCAAGAGCAGCTTGTAAAGGCCTTTGTCAAGAAGTACATGCCCGGATTCATCAAGGAAAGGTACAAAAAGCATGTAACATGTGTACAAAATTATATGTTGAATAGCATGTCTTTGAGACGTTCAAGCCCGGTTTTATAGATGGGAATCAAAATTTGAGTCTATGGTTCAAATTGGAGCGATGAGACGGCGTCCTAGTAGCAATGACGTAATGGATCTAATGAATTTGGTCGATTTCGAAAAATTATACAACGTTGGAAGCATCGTGTGGGATCCGCATGATAGTAACAGCTTGAATATATCGATCTTTTATTAATTTTTTGCAGATACTTCACCATATGTGACTGCATAGAGCGTAGTTTGAAGAAAGGTGGCGGAGCAGAAAAGGCGGCCGCTGCTGAATTGGCTACTGTGATATGTGTCCAGCTAGGCAATGATGACAGTACAGAGGAAATTTACAAGTTACTCAAACCGGTGCTGCTCACAATGATGTGCGACACCTCCGTAGCCGCAAACATCAGGGCAAAGGTATTTTAAACCGTAAGCGCTATCGTCGATCGAAAATTGTAGAGCGGTCGATCTCGAATCGCCCTTTTGTCTTTGATATTGTACGAGGTTCGTCCGTAAACTGTGTATAAAACTGGAATATTCGTTCAAACGCATATATGACCTTAAGTTTCATATTGACAAGTATTATATTGGGGCGTTTTTCTGGGTTCTTTTGGGTGTGGATTAAGACACCGGATTCCACAAAAAGAAAGGCACTAATTTATTTAACTTGATAGAACATTTATGTTCGCCACTATTTATGTCTGACTAATTCTTATGTCGCTATTGACTGCACTATACTCCACTCCGCTCTGTTCCAAACACTCACGAGCATTCTTGCATAGCTTTGCAAGAAACTTGATGTTGATGCGATATTCCTCGATCAGAGAGAGCTCCATGCCGACGGCGTACTTTCAACAAACACACGTAAATCCTACTTACTCACAGAGCGCTCCGGCTCGAACTGAACATAGAGGGGACCACCGGGCCACCCCTCTACAACGCCTCGAATTTTTTATACGTATTTTGCGGGCAAACCCAGTAAGCAAGCTGCTATGGGACTATGGGTTTTTGAAAGTTTTATGGAATTTTAGTCTACTAATCAAGGCCCTTACTTTTTATATTATTTTCAAGTTTGACACAATATGTGCGTCACTAGTGGTAGTCTAGAAACGAAAATCAGATTTTTTTAGAATGACAATAAAACCCGCGTTCGCTCTTCTCGAATTTGTCACTTCGCAAAAATTCTCCAAAACGAAACAAATGAAATATTTTACTGAGAAAATTGGATTCTAATCGCACTTTTTATTTTTTTTCTGTAAATTTTCAGTGCTGTACGGCTCTGAGCAATATGACGTTTCTGTCTGGATGCGAAATCGGCGACGTAATCCACCTGATGCAACAGCTGGAGTCAATCTTCTCAGCCAGTTATTTGAAAGGTGATGGGAGTGTTCCCATCGTCTCCGCAGAAATGGCAGTACTGCATGCAGCTGCTATATCCTCTTGGAGTCTTTTGCTGACGCTGGTTAATCCTGCAGACATCGATGCGGTCGTCAATAGTAATGCGAAAAGAATGTGAGTACTATTTACTTTATAATACATCATCAATCAGTTTCAATTTGAAACCTTTATTTTAAGTAGATTGTTACATATGATGTCATTGGCTTATACAGGGTGTCCCAGAAGTCGACGTCAAGCCGAAACCGGGTGATAGGCAAAGTCATAACAGCTATCAGAAAAATATTTAAAAAAATTTTATGTATGTGTTTTGAAAATTATAGGTCTTTGAACAAAATATAGAAATTTCACACCCTACGGCAGTCTGTCAACTCATGTTACTACAAATATTAACTTTTTTTGGATTTTATTTTTACAATGTAATGATGAATAATGCATCTTCAAACTGGTGTCTCAACCTTACTGCCAACTGTTCTCGTTCAGGAAAAATTGCCACTTATTTCCCAACCAAGTATTCCAAAGTAAAACTTTGCTCAACTTTAACTGGCTATACTGGAAAAAAATGTACTACGAGAGTTTGGCAAGTAACCTTAAAAGTTGGCGCATTTAATAACGATTCCAAAATGGTATAACATTTAGAAGATTACTCGTTAACTTATGCACAATTTTTATTTGAAAAAAACTGATAAAAATTTTTCAAAATTTCCTAATTAAACAGCGATTATGAAAACGCACAAGGACCCTTAAGGATAACTGTTTGCACAACAGTGGGCGTCAAAATGCTGCTGATGATGATTTACCTTTACAGCAAATGCTCAAACTGTTTTCCTTCAGCCGCAATACACGCTCGACATCTTCTTAAAAAAGGTCGGGTTATTAAACGAGCGAATCCACGGTTATTAACAAACTCAGCTGCTTCCAATAGTCTTTGCCGTACCTCAGCTACATTTTGAATCGGCTTGAAATACACTTTTTCTTTTACAGTTCCCCAGTAAAAAAAATTTAACGGATTAAAATCTGGTGACTGGGCTGGCCACGGTATTGTACCAGACCGCCCTATCCATCTGCCTGGAAAGTTTTGATCGAGATACTCTCTCACTGAGAGTGCATAGTGCGCTGGGCAGCCATCATGCTGAAACCACATGTCCCTGTAAATACTCTGTGGCACGTCCACCAATAAATTTTGTACATGATTTTTCAAAAAATCCAAATAAACTTCAGCAGTCAAAGTCTCTGAGAACTCAAACGGACCGATTATTTTACCATTTAAAATGAACTAAAATTGGGTATAAGGATTTACCTAAGTATTGTCCACATTCAAAAGTCTTTACTTAAAATTATTCCATTTTTCCAAATAAAAATAGTACGCCACTATTTTTTTTTTCGAATTTTACCTTCAATTTGCTGTGCACTGTTTTTGTAAAAACAAAACAAATGTTGGTTAAATATCTACTGATTTCCCTGTATCCCTTTCCGCCATTCTTTGATATAAGGTCACCTGGTTCCTCAAGTTTGTCAGTTCTGGTGTTAAAACAGTTTTACCTGGGCTTTTTTAAGTCCCTGCACGTTTGTAACGAAAGCATAGGGTTAAAAAGTTATAGTTTAATGACGTGCTTGCCGGCTGTTGTAAAATTGACCACTCACTTTTTCCAAGGTCGTTGGAAAAGTTATCAGAGCTACTGGAGTCTATTCACCTTGAAGTGAGGATGTCTGCGGGCGAAGCCCTAGCACTTGTTTATGAACTCGGTCGCAACAACGATGAAGACTTTGAGGAGGATTTTGCCATGGACATTACGGAAACGCTGAAGCAACTTGCTACCGATTCCCATAAGTACAGGGCTAAGAAGGACAGGAAACAACAAAGGGCGACTTTCAGGGACATACTACAGTTTATCGAGGTAAGGATTCCCTTGAAACAGTTGAATTTTGAGATCGCAAGAAGACGTAATAGTGCTTTCATTTAGCGTCTCTTTTGCTTGCTATTTGAATGGGTCAAGTCAGTGAGTTGAAGTGCGGTATGATGACATTTATCGAGGGAAATACAATTTTAACCAAATTTCAAGCTGGATAGCAAGTGTTTTTGGACTCAAGAAGGCGGTTGAGGCTATTGACAGGGATAAATTACTTACGAAATTGCATCACTACGGATTTAAAGTATCTGTATTCAAAATTCTACAAAACTACTTAATTGACAAAAGTTAAAAAACCAAAATTACTTGGTCAAAAAATATTTTTGTCGGTGTACCACAAGGTAGTAGACTAGGTCCACTACTATTTATTTTAAACATTAATGACATTTGTAATATTTTAGAAATTTGTAAAATTCAAATATTTGCAGATGATAGATTAATATACATATCAGATGAAAATATAGACACTTGTGAAATGTGTAATACTGATCATTTAAAGCCATATAGTGAAGCAATTTCATTAACAATTTTTCCCTATCTATAGTCTCAAATGCCCTTCTGAAGTCTAAAAATATTGTTCTTTCTCATCTATACATATTCTCCAGTGTTCCACCACCATTTGGATTGCTGTTTCTGTGGAACATTTTTTTTCTAAATCTAGCTTGACTTTTTGTCAAAATTTTGGTTTCTTCAACGAATTCTATGATTTGTTCATATATTATCGATTCGAACAGCTTCTCGACATCGGGCAAGACATTAATCGGTCGCATATTTGTATACAGCTGAGAATTTTGAACTTTTGGCACAGGAGTAATGGAGGAACACTTTAATTTTGATGGGAATTCACCATGTACTAAGCAATGATTCACCAATAATAATAATTTCTCTCCAATTATATTGAAACAATCATTTAGAATAGTTTTGGAGAGATTCTCACTTGGATTTTTATTAGATTTCAATTTTGAGATAGCTTTTCTTAGATTGTTGATGTTAATTGTCCTAAATTGCTTCATTGATGAATTCTGTGTCATTTAATAACTTCATGCATCAATCCCATCATCCCGGATTTCAACTTGCCGACTTGACCCGTTCAAAAAATAAAGAGTGGAAATGCGAACTAAAGAAAAGCTAAAACAACTATTTCGAAAACACGACCTTCAGAGTTTTTCATAATTTCCAAATAACTTAATTTTTATAGAGTGACACGGTACCTGAAATCCAAGTAAAATTCGGGAAGGAAGTATTGGTCTTGGACACATGGACAAGAAGGAAACAGTATGATACGCTTTGCAACATTCTAGGCCCCAGCATCAACATTCATTTGACAGAAAACGAGTTATTGAGAGACATATTTGAAATAGTTGGACCACCACCTACTACTGAAATACCAACATATGCTCAAAACCAGATGGAGAGGAACAGAAAGGTAATAAAGCTTGTACCATAAACGCACATACATATGTATACATTGAAAATACTCTATGTTTGAGTAACAATCATTATTGATATAAAGTAACTCAAGAAATGACTAATGTTATAGATAGATAAATATGCTTTATTATCTGAAGGATGTATTTAAAGTTTTGATTTTGTTATAGCATTAGGAACGCCCGCAGACCAGTATAAATTATTGAATCTTTCATGTGTTTCAAATGTTGATTTAGGTACTATTAATTTAATACTTTGTTTTCGCATAATATCCGAACGCATAATTAATATTTCAAATTTAGATTTATTTTTCTAAAATGAACAATAATTCAGCAGTCATTATTTTAAGGTATTAGAAATAAAGCCGTGCATGTATCTCTGGGAGTGCTTTTATTATGTAATAAGAATAATGAACAGCTTTATTTTATCCTCAGCAAAGTCCAGCAGTGGAAATAAACATTATTTTTAGACTTCAAAAGGGCATTTGAGACTATAGATAGTGAAAAATTGTTAATGAAATTGCGTCACTATGGCTTTAAAGGATCCGTCTTACACATTTTACAAAATTATTTAGTAAATAGAAGTCAAAAAACTAAAGTTGGAAATTTGTCAAGTGTTCAAAATATATCAGTAGGGGTGCCACAGGGGAGTAAATGAGGGCCATTGCTATTTATTATTTAAATAAATGATATGTCTGACATTTTAGAACACTGCAAAATTCAAATATTTCCGGACGATGCACTTATATATATGGCACATGAGCATTTGGACACTGCTTTAGAACTGTTAAATATTGATATTGAAAAAATTATGAATTGGTTAAATGTCAAAAGTAAGCTACTGTTTCACGAACATTATGAATATATTATTTCAAGAATATCGAAGAAGATAAATTACTTCTATAGAGTTTCCCATAATCTTAGTATGTATTCCAAAAAATTTTTGTATAACACTATAATTCTTCACCATTTTTCATATTGTTCAACCATCTTGTTTACAGCAAATGAAGACATATTTTCAAAATTACAAATTCTACAAAATGAAGCTATGAGAATCATTTCAAATAAAAACAACTATGCTAGGATTAAGACTATGTTAGAAGAACTGCAGTTGTTGGATGTGAAAAATATTGATTTAAGACTCCTATCATATTCAGGATGTAACATTAACATGTTTTCAGCGGGCATTGAACGCAGCCAACAACAAAGCCAGGACCATCTCCAGAGGAAAGAACAGGGACAAAAGATCAGACTTTTAACTTTTTACACTATTGATTTTTATTCAAAATTCTTTATTTATTACCGTATTCTTGTAGTCGGTATTTATTGTATCATCAACATCAAATATGTATTGGCTGGAATTGAAAACGTGTAGCTTTTTTAAATTGTGTATTACCTGAATAAACCTTTTTTGTTACACTGAAATTTTATTGTAGCATAAGGAAGACAATACAGCAATGGGAATATTTCGAAAGGTTTTTATTATATAAAAAAGGGAACACATAGTCGACGAATAAAAAACTGGACTGTTGAGGTTCGATTAGGACGGAATTATTTTATTATTAAACGGCAAATCATTTTGAAAGGTTTTTTTTTATTTAAACGTTGACTGATTTTGGAAGAAATCTGGAAATTGTAAAACTATCAACTATTGAAAATTCCTTCGAGATCTCATCTTTTTTTCACTGAGTGAGTAATTGCTATCGTTACAGCTTAACTCTATGAATACAGACGGCGTATGAAAATAGGTTTATTTTGCTTAATTGACTTTCACTACTCTCAATTTGAACTTGACAGCTCGCACGCCGCAAATTTATATTATCGTTTAACAGTGTTTATCGATGAAAAAATATTGCTTTATTTAATTAGTAGTGCACAGTCCAGAGATTAGAGCTTTTATCCAGTTTTCAGTATTTGTCCAAAAATAATTAACAAGGGTGGAAGTTAGTTCACGCCTTTGCAACGCCTATTTAAATAAAATGAAAAAGTATAAAAAACACGTTTGTTTATAACTAAAAAAACAAATGTAACGTGATACATCGTTGATGTCGTAGAAAAAGACGATATTAGATACAGGGTAGTACTTTTTTAAAAACACCATCATGTAGTGCCTAAATAGTACCATTAGTTTATAGACATTTCTTAAAATAAAATCAGACAAAAATAATAACGATTCGGCCAAATTTTAGTTTTTCCCAAATACCTCAGTATATGACTAATCTCTCATTGTTTGCAATTTATTTAAATAACATAGGATGTCAAGCCTAACGCACAAGTAGATGAGTAAGCAAGGCTCACCTAGTTTGTTGCACAGATATCCTGTTTTGATCGGAAGAGTTGGAAGCAGACCTAGCTTCCACTTGACACCCACGTCACAACACTAAAACACCACTACAGACAATCGAGAACCCTATAGTGAAAACCACTACTAAAAAAAAGTATCTAAACCGAAGAGAGAGCTGTGAACGCGTGGACATTCCGCTACGCCGCCGAGAAACTGAAGCGTGCAAGTGCTGTACCTCGCTACGGTACGGCCGGGTAGTACAGCGACGCCCTTTCCAGCTCCCACTCCGCGCGTTCGCTCTCGAAGCGACTCGATGTTTACGTTGACCGGTAGCAGACGCGCAGAGTGGGAGCTGGAAAGGGGCGTGGCTGTACTACCCGGCCGTACTGTATCGCCGCAGCGAGGTACACGCTTCAGTCTCCCGGCAACCGTCATCGTCGGCGCAACGGAAAGTCTACGCGTTCACAGCTCTATTCGGTTTAGCTACTTTTTTCAGTAGTGGTGTTCACTACAGGGTTCTCGATTGTCTCTCAGTGGTGTTTTAGTGTTGTGACGTGGATGTCAAGTGTCTCCAAAGTGGAAACTAGGTCTGCTTCTAACTCTTCCTAGGAAAACAGGATATCTGTGCAACAAACTAGGTGAGCCTTGCTTACTCATCTACTTGTGCGTTAGGCTTGACATCTTATGTTCTTTAAATAAATTCTCGGGGCCAGTGTTTGCAAGCACTTATTGGGGAATTATTGTTAAAACTGGTTATACATTTTGTATTATTGTGTTTAAATAAATTATTTCAAAAAAAAAATGCGCACATTGCATACACTGAGAAAATTTGAAAATCGGTTTTTAAGGATTTTTTTAATAACACTTTTAAAAGTCTTTAATATGTTCCTCAAATAATAGTAATATCTTCGCATCCAAATATCCTCTTATCGATTTTGAAGATCCTACTTGAACGCCTGAACTACAACTTTGCTATATCACATAACACACGTAACCGTATAACCTATCTTTGGCATTTTTTGTTAAAGAGATTCGCTTTTCTCAGTAATTTTTGGGCGAAAGGCCCCCGGCCTACCCTGATGAGAAGTCAAGGCAAAAGACTCTAGTTCGTGATTTGTCCGACAGTAGCCTCGATATTTTCCTATAAAAAGATCGATTTGTTTCTCCATCTCTAACTTTAGCCCAAGTAAAAGTGAACCTAACCTCAAAGTCGATAAGTGTTAAAGTGTTACCATTCCCAGATGCTCAGTTATACATGTTTTGTATGCTTTACATTTGTTTTTATATGATCACCTGTTTATTAGTGTTAAAGCAACTACAACATTTAAAAGTGAAGAATTACTCAAACTTCGTAATTACAAAACCAAGTAATTGAGGCAATTTTTATAGTTCGTACACCAAGACTATATAGTAATGTGCAGTGTAGGTGACGATTTATTTGACGATAATGGATTAATGTCCACAATTGAAGTGTCAAGGTATGTATTTTTCAATATTTGTATATCTCAACAACTGACCTCTTGAATGGCTTTTAAGATCAAAGACCTGCAATAAGTGCAAAACTGCTGAAACACACTTGGTACTACGAAACAAAGATGCCTACTGTAAAAGCTGCTTTCTGGAGAATGTCACCCATAAATTCAAATCGACGTTGGGAAAGTCTAGGCTAATAAGGCCAGGAAATAGAGTGCTGTTTCTGTATGAAGACAATGAGGCTAGTACAGCACTTTTACACATGGTGCGGGATGGGCTGAATTTGAATACACCTAAAAAACTTAACTTTTGCCCTGTGATTGTATTTATAGAAGGTATATTATCAGAACCACAAGTATTTCAAAGCAATAATTTTAGGCTGATTTATAAACTTGCTGTTGGTCGTTAGTTACGAGGGATGTCTTTTAAGTTTTGCATACAGAAACATAGTAGGCCGCGCGTCAGTACTGAATCTTAACCTCACTCTTAAGGCCCGTATCGTCAGTCGTCCCTACACCTACAATTGCAGGGCGCGTTTATGGCCTCCTTGATTGTCATACTCCTTTCTGGATTGCACCTGTCCCGTGTCAGCATCAGTGCTCTCCTATTGTGAAGATATCTTTTCTTTTTAAATTGTAGGAAATTTCAGGCTGATAAAACATGACATGACTCAAAAGCAAGCACAATTTGATGCAAATAGATGTTTGGCACATAACCTCAAAATAGAGCACTGACATGGAGAAGTAGAAAACTATGACAATCAAGGAGGCCATAAACGCGCCCTACAATAATTGTAGGGACGACTGACGATATGGGCCTTAGTAAACTTAAATTCATAGTTTCACAACAATACGTGCAGTCTTCTCCCTACAGTGAATTTTTAAATGTCACCAAGTCATTAGAAAAATGGAACTCAACCGAGCACATTTTCACGCCATAATTTATTACCTCCCATGTAGTGTTTTATTTCCATATGCAAAACTTAAAAGACATCCCTCATATTGTAGTTTTTCATTACAGTTATTTGTTGGAGTTCAGTAGCAATTTAAAAAATTGTTCTTGATTTGAAGAGGTTGTATTTTTAAAAATCTAAATTCTTGTATGTAAGTATTTGTACTTTTTTTTCAGATCTATATCATTTGACAATTGAAGAAAGGCACAATGTGATTGAGCAGGCAAACAAAGTCATTGGAGAATTCCATTTTGACTTGTTCTTGGTGTCACTAGCACAATATGCCGGTAACACTGGAAGTATTGATAAACTTATTTGCCAAGCCTCAGAGGTGTTACCTATTTCTGAAAATGATGAACATGAATTATTTAGGAATGTTCAACCAAATACCTCAGTTACCAATAAGAAAGAGCTGATAAGTATTCTTAAGTGAGTTTCTTGTTTTTCCCAGAAAATAAAGTTCCATTCCAAATCTCAAAAATAATTTCCTAGAACAGTTCCCTTCTTCACTTCTCCTGACTTTTTCTGCTATCAGGGCAACTGGACTTGACATATCTACAATATTTTAACTAAGAAAAGTTCCTACAAACTGTATGTCTCACTTCCTATCTCAATTTTGGTTACCATATATATTTCTTTCAGGAGAAATCTGCTAATAGAAGTAGCAAAGCATCTGGATTGTAAATTTATATTTACAAACGAAATTTCACAGGATATTGCAATTAATTTATTAACGAATGTGTCATTGGCCTGTGGAAACAGAATACCCATTGAGGCAGTAAGTTTTCTTCTAATGCTGCTAAAACTGTTCCTGCAAGTCTTGTGAATTTCTCCCTATTATATGAGTGGACAAAAATCAAGTTTTCCGAAAAAAAAAATGTTAATATGTCAGACTTCATTTAATTTCATTTACAGGGTTTTTGTGATGACATAGACAGCCAAGTGAAAATTTTGAGGCCGCTATATCTATTTGATTCCAAGGAAATTGAATTCTATACTAAATATAACAATATCAACTACACACATTCAAGGAATGAGGAAACTAATCCATATTCTAGCATCCAGACATTATTAGAGAAGTTTGTGGTTGATCTACAAGCCAATTTTCCTGCTACTATCAACACTATTCTGAAAATTGGAGACAAGTTAGATATTGTCAAAGGAGATATAAGCTGTCAGCTATGCAAGGTTAGTCTTGAGAGTGAAAACCTTGAATGAATGAATCTTGAATTTTAGAGGCATCCCGGCCACCATAAGGAGCCAGTGCATAGGCCGCTTAAGCGGGCCCTTATGCACCTCTACAATACTTAAATCACAAGCCTCGCCCTTTTAGCGAAGTTGAGAATCGCCTTGAGTCCAAGCTCCTTTACGTCCTGAGGGTCCAAAGTAATGGACCCCAGTATAGTCTGCCTATAGTAGCTCAGAGCTTCACAGCGACACAAAACGTGCGCCGAGGTCTCTTCCTCTACTCCGCAGCGTTCGCATAAGGGATCCTCAGCCACCCCCATCACGTGCAGGTGCCGCCTTAACGTGTTATGGCCAGACAACAGTCCCACCAGCAACCTTAGGTTGGCTCTACCCAGAGATAGGCAGAAGCGTCCATCCTTAGCACTGGGCCCTTCAATGAGCTCTCGTGCCTGGCGGAGATGTCTAGAGATACTTCTCCATTTCTGAGAGTGTTGTCTTGCAACCCACGTCTCCATTTTCCTCCTAGCTTTATGCGCGGTTACTCCTAGAGCTGGCTCAGGACCAACGAGCTTGCTGGCTGATCCTGTTTTCGCCAGAGTGTCCGCCGTCTCATTGCCCCTTATCCCAGCGTGCCCCGGTACCCATATTAACGATACCGGATGCCTCGCTGCGAGGCAATCCAGAGCCTCCCTGCATTGCAATACAAGACTCGAAGTAATCTTACATGCACTTAGTGCTTTCATTGCAGCCTGGCTGTCGGATAAGATTGTTATTCTTCTCCTAGGCCCACCCTCCTCCAGAATGTGAGATACACAAGCCAGAATCGCAAAGATTTCCGCCTGGAAAATGGTGGTGTACTCACCGAGAGGCAGAGATAGCCTAGTTCTAGGTCCAGAGACCCCAGCACCTGAGCCCTCTTCGGTGACCGAGCCGTCAGTGTACCAGACCTGCCCGCTCACTTCGGAGAGTCCTCGGCTACCGGCGTCCCACTCCTCCCTCGTTGGGTACTCCACAATGAACTTGCGGTTGAAGCGATATTTAGGGGTAATACGATCACCCCTGCTTAGAAGGACGGGGTCCTCCCTTTCTAATTCGACTAATATGGCAGTATGCCCCTTGACCGGATTCAAGAAAGCCCAGCTGCCCTGACTCCACAGTCGATGAGCGACTACTCTCGCTTCACCGCGGATCACCAGATCCAACGGTGGGAGATCCAACAGAGCTTCCATTGCACTCAATGGCGTTGTTCGCACTGCGCTTGTAATGCTAATACAGGCCAAACGCTGAATTTTATTGAGTTTGGCCTTAGTTGACTCAGTTCTAATGCAAGGCCACCAGACCAGGGAGCCGTACAAGAGAGATGGACGTACTATCGTCGTGTAGAGCCAGTATACCACTTTGGGTTTAAGCCCCCACCTTACACCGACAACACGTCTACAAGCCCACATCGAATTGCGAGCCTTGCTAACCTTGTGTTCCACATGCTCTCTCCAGTTCAGTTTGCAGTCCAGGATAATTCCCAGATATTTCACTGACTGGGACAAAACTAATCTAGTCCCAAAGAAGGTAGGCATGACCAGTCCGTCAAGCCTTCTTCTCCTAGTGAATAGGATCAGCTCGGTCTTTTCAGCATTAACAGAAAGATCGACTTCCCTACACCACGATTCCACGGAGCGCAGAGCGCCCTGCATAATTTCCGAGACTGTTCTACAGAAACGCCCCCTAACCACTATGCTTACGTCATCAGCATAGGCTTGCACGTAGACACCCATACTGTTGAGCCTAACGAGCAGTTCGTTCACCACGATACACCACAGTAGGGGTGACAGAACTCCACCCTGAGGGCAGCCTCTAGCTACGTTCACGCTGCAGCTTACGTTATTCAGCATAGCTGTTGTTACCCGACCCTCCAGAGTAGAGAGGACCCAATCTATTAGGATTGATCCAACCCCGTGTCTAACCAAGGCCTGTCTGATAGAGTCGGTTGTGGTGCAATTAAATGCACCTTCAATATCTAAGAAGGCCACGAGTGCCACTTCTCGCTGATCTAGAGTCTTCTCCAGCCTCCCAACCAGATTGTGTAAGGCCAGATCAGTCGATTTTCCAGCTTGGTATGCAAACTGATTTGCATGAATGACACACCTTTCCAGTGGGCCATCCCTTAGGTATCTATCAACTATCCTGAAACCCTTGCTACAGACAAATATACTGCCATATGGTATAACAGGGAGTGTTTTAGATTGGTTTAGAAATTATTTGTCTAAAAGGATGCAAATTACAAAAGTTAATGACACTATTTCATCAAAAATTGAAAATACGTTGGGTGTTCCACAGGGCAGTATCCTGGGACCACTTCTTTTTATTTTATACATAAATGATTTACCTGCCATAGTCAAAAAATGCAAAATTCAGATTTTCGCCGATGGCACTATGATTTATATAAGTACTAAAAATATTCAGTCTGGTATCTCTTATATAAATGAAGACTTGAAGCTTGTCTCAAAATGGTTAGCATCTAACAGACTAAAATTAAATGCAAGTAAAACGAAAGCCTTGTTAATCGGAAAAAAACAATGTACAAATGTTCAACTGAATATTGATGGTGAAGATATTGAATTCGTAGAAAATTTTAAATACCTGGGGGTTTTTGTTGACTCTCGATTAATTTTTGATATTCATTATGAAAAAGTTATAAATAATATTAGTAGTAAAGTGGGATATTTATCGAGAGTTTCTGGATGTCCGAGTTCATATAGCAGAAAAATTATCTATAATACCATCATTCTTCCAAATTTCTTGTACTGTTCGACTATTCTATATTTAGCAAATAATTTCATTTTTGAAAAACTGCAAATTTTACAAAATAAGTGCATGAGACTAATACTAAATAAAGATAAATATACTCCAATTAGGCAAATGCTTAGCAAATTAAAATGGCTCAATGTAAAAAATTTTATCAAATATCTATATTTATAAAGTAAAAAATAATATATTTCCATCAAGTCTAACTAATTTAACATCATCAAATGTCGACCATCATTTACATAATACCAGAAATAAAGATGACTTCCATTTAATGACCAAAAAGTATAACATATGCTGCAAATCTGTATTCCATCAAGGGTTGATTGAATATAATAAATTATACTCGGAGATAGAAGACCAGAAAACTTTGACAAAATTTAAAGTAACATTGAGAAATCACTTGTTAAATCTACAATTATAGGTTGCCCAGCATTTACGTCATACACCATATGGCTTGAATTTACTAGTTCTAAGTTGTTTACAATTATTCTATTTATATAGCCAAATGTGCTAAATAAATCTTTCTACTACTACTACTTAGGTCAATGACAGGAGAGTATAAAAGTCGAATTATGAGAAAATTGGGTTCAAAATTCCATAGTTATTTAAGATTATTGCGACAGAACAAACGCGAATAAATATTGCAAAGTTACCTGACTTTATAGAGAGTCTTTCCAATGTCATTTTGGATCATAATTGTTGCTGAGGCCTAGAACATTCTGTCTTTGTTCTAAAACAAAAAGCAGAGTGTGATGTACTGCTTTTATACTATTCAAAAACAAATGTAATGCCTTTTTTCATAGTTTTCATTATCTGTCTATATTATTTTATTATATGTAGAAATTCACATAAATAGCACAAAACTACATTTAATAATCATATTCAACACACCCTTTATAATATTGTTGTAAAATAAATTGTATTCTGATGATATTCTTAATTTTTAGATCCCCATATGCGAACAATCTTCCCAGCTGACATCTGAGGAGTCCACAAGATTTTCAAGTCTAGTTTCGACCAGTAAAATTGATCTTGCTGATCCAGATCTTTCGAATAAATTTGCACCAATAAATGGAAAAGCTTATTGCTTCTCATGTGATGAACTATCAAAATGTTTATTAAAGAGATGAAATATATTTATGTAAATTTGTTTTCCATACAGACCTTTTGTTTGAACACAAAATAAAATAATAATAACGCCACCAAGTAGCATAGGTTGACGCATTCAATATAATAGTAGCTATTAGTCTCAAAGCTGAACTGACTTGATATTTTTTGTGGAATACGTTTAAAATACTGTATACCGAAAAGTTTATTCGTTAAACAGAGTTCGAATTTAAAAATGTTTAAGGTGAAATTAAAAAATCACTTTATGAATAGTCAAAATACATAGAGACGTAATTTTAATAGACAAGAATCATTATACAAAATTCACATTGTAGCATTAGTGCTAGATAAATCTTCAACAACAACAACAAATTTAGTGCGCTTTTTGTTTAGTGTTTTACGTATAGAGCTATTCAGGTTTATAATAAACCGTTAGATGCATTAAGCTGCGCAAAAAATACAGGGTCAAGTTTATTTCTTTCAATTCATGTGTTTTAATTTCTTTTAAATTACTAAACTACCAGTTAACTTCGCCTGCTTTGAATCTGAAATAAAAAGACCGTTTTTTGTGCAAAGTATATCTACGATGACCTCATAGTCTTCTCCCTCGTCTTTCCAAATCGGGTCAACCTCTATTTTCTTGATTTGTGATTTAATAATTTAACTCTGAATTTTCGGCACCGCGAAGACAAATTTTCAACCGAGATGTCTGCCACCCGCTAGTGCCTATTTCAGGAGTATCGATCACGCTTTGACGTCTACTGAGGTGAACAGCTGATCAGCAGGTGACATTTTTGCGTTAGACTGCAACGTTGGCAATAATGATTCGGGTGTAAATGTAGTTCGTAGCGTTTTGTTTTTTGTATGCAAATGAACTTTTCTAAATAAGAGAGCTGTTGGCAAGTACAAAATGAATCTGTAACGTACAAAAAACTAAAACAAAATACGCCTCTAACTACCTGACGTTGACGGATCCGTCATAATTTTGTGTACTGTGCCAATATGGGGAGGTTTTGGGATATTACTAGATAATCAGCTGTCATTTTACCATGATGGATGCTCGTAAAATAGGGTATATGTTAGGCGGTTAAACGCGCCACGTAGCTTTCCGACTTTTGGATCATCAACTTTGTTTTTTCATATTGACACTATATCGAGATTTTGTACATTTAAATAGACCTTTCAGTTCTACATTCAGTGATGTATTTCCTTAGTTTGGAAATGTCAATGTATGACGTATTGTACATTTTTGGAATCAGAATTGAAAACTCTGTTCATGTGTGCAAAAATCCAATATGGCGTCCATAAGAAATGATGCTTTTTTTTTTTTTTTTTTTTTTTTTTTTTTTTATATCGAAACAGCCGCGCAGGCAGAAGCCTAAATGCCGGAACACCGCGGCTGCTGTGATGATCCCAAAGAAATTTTGTTAATACGATTTTTGAACTGCCTAAGGTTAGTAGAACTGGGAAAAGCTTCCTCCCGTAGTTTGTTCCACAATCTAGACACTCTCGGGACAAAGGAGCGGTCGTATCGGCCAGTTCTGGATGTACGAAGTTTGACACGGTTAGGATGGGACGCCGAAGTCAGGCGGGTCTGTCTGGCAGGCACATCGCGCGGCGGCATCATGGAAGAGAGCTCTGAGGAGCAAAGCCCGTTGGTGTAGCGATAGAAAAGAGCTAGATCGCCGACGGCCCGCCGGTGCGAAAGAGTCCCGAGACTGTCTGTTAGAGAAGAGTCATCGATCAGTCGGACCGCCCTCCTCTGGACAGCATCGAGCATGGACAATGTAGTCGGGGCGGCAGCACCCCAAATGTGTGAGCAATACTCGAGGCTAGGCCTTATCTGGGCCTTGTATAGAGTGAGAAGGTCATGCGGAGTAAAGTACTTCTTAGCCCTAAACAAATAGCCTAGCTTTTTCCCAGCAGCTGCAGCTATTGAAGAGATGTGTTCGTGCCAGATCAGGTCCTCGGTGATCTGGACTCCGACCAGCCGAAATGAATGGCTCTTTGGTAGGACTCGACCGTCCATCGAAACTGTATGAGCGCTAGGACGCTTTTTGTTCGTCAAAGTACAGTACTGTGTTTTGGAAGCATTGAACTGTACAAGATTGTTGCGTCCCCAAGCAGTGATAGCCTCCAGGTCTCTTGTCAGAGAAGAAGTCGTCGCTAGTCTTCTTTTTTCCAGCTCAGCGGCAGAGATCGACTTGTCACTCTGAATTCCTGCATGTAGAGTGCTGTCATCAGCGAAGCTGTGGATTGGGTTGATCGTGCAGGAAAGGAGGTCGTTGATATGTAAGAGAAACAGTGTTGGAGCCAAGACCGATCCCTGGGGAACACCCGCGTTGACGTTGTGGGATGAAGAGGAGAATCCGTCAATTACGACGGATATCTTGCGGCCAGAGATAAAGTCAGCCACCCATCTGCAAAGCTTTTCTGGGAGGCCGTAGGATGGAAGTTTGCTCAAGAGGGCAGCGTGCCACAGCTGATCGAACGCTTTCGTGATGTCAAGAGCAACGACATGAGCCTCACCATGAGACTGGATTAGTTTACTCCACAGTTGCGTGACGTAAGCTAGGAGGTCCCCTGTGGATCGTTGGTGCCGGAAACCGTACTGCCTGTCGCTAATCAAGCTGTGACGTTCGAGGTAGTCCAGAAGCTCGCGATTTATGCACCTCTCCATCACTTTACTTATAACAGAAAGCAGAGCTATAGGCCTGTAGTTGTAAGGGTCGGTTTTAGATCCTTTTTTTGGGATGGGCTGTACATGAGCAAATTTCCAGTTTTCTGGGAAGGTGCCGGATTCATAAGATATCTGGAAGAGACGCGAAAGAACTGGAGCAAGCTCAGCTGCACATCTCTTCAGTACAATGGCAGGAATCAAGTCCGGACCAGAGGCTTTGTTGATGTCGAGCGACAAGAGCACTCGTCTTACGGTCTTATGCCTGAATGTTACCTCCCGCATAGTGTGGGGAACCCTTTGAATTGACGGCACTTGGGCGTTGGTGGGGACGTCCATGGTGGAGTTGGCAGCAAAGATCTTGGCTAGCACTTCCGCCTTGGCCTTTGAGTCGAATACAATAGTTCCATCCTGACATGTAAGTGGTGGAAGGCTACTGTGTGAGAAGTTCTTTTCAATCTGCTTGGCCAGCGTCCAGAAAGACCGACTGCCATTGCGCTGTGACATTACCCTGTGCCTAACTTTTATATCATGCTGGGTTTTGGCATTGCGAACCGGTTCGTTATATTTGTTTCTGGACTCGACGTGGGCTTGTCTGTTCTCTACAGTGGGGTTTTGTAAGTAGGCTCTGTGGGCCTTGATCTTCTGCTGGCGAGCAGTGTCACACGATTTGTTGAACCAGCCGTTGGACCCTGGTTTAGGAACTTTCACTGTGTGAGGGATGTATTCCTCCATTCCGACGTGGATAATTTCGGTTATTGAAGAACAGACAGTCGACGCATCCGCGTCAGTGAAACAGACATCTCTCCAAGGAAAGCTAGAGAAGAAGTCTCTGAGCCCCTCCCAGTCGGCATGTCCGTAATGCCAAGTTTTGCGGCCTGTGCGAGTTTCTGCGGCCACAGCGGCTTCTGACCGAAACCTAACCTCCACAACACCGTGATCTGAGTTACCCAGGGGGGACAGGACGGCAGTGCTGTAAGGGGCAGGATGCGTGGTCAGAAAGAGATCCAGCAGGCTACTGGCGTGTGACGAGACGCGGGGGAAAAAGGTAGGGCTCGTCACCAGCTGGGTCAGCCCTTGAGTAAGAGCGAACGCTTCGACTGCACGACCTGCTGCATCGGTCTTATTTGAGCCCAACCAAAGCTCATTATGGGCATTGAAATCACCGAGAAGAACTACCTCTGAAGCGGGGTGATTGATGTTCAGGAAGTCGATCTGGACGGCGAGGTATTCAAGTAGGTCATCCCAGTTATGGTTCGAGGGAGAGCGATAAAGGCAGCAAATAAATTTGGGTGATGTTTTGGAGTTGAGGCGAAGCCACAGAATGTCCTTCCGGTCTGATTCCAAAGAAAGATCCCTGGAGCAGGAAAGACTGCTGCGGACAAAAGCCACAACTCCCCCGTTCTTTCTCAGATTGGCTGGAGGACAAGAGACGAAACGACATATTGAAATTCTAATTAAGCCATCTTGTAGAGACGGAAAAGTGGCAATGTTAATGTGCAATAAATTTTGAAATCCCACGACCATTAAGACGTAGTACAGGGTGCGTCATCTATTACTTTTCTATTTGAAAAATCAACACGCTTTTTACGAGGTGAAATCGATTTTTTTTTATTGATATATGAAGGTTGCTTTATGCCATTTATGTATGAAAAATAACATCAGTCATGTGATCACCGCGGCCTCGTTTACAGGCCAACATCCAAATTTTCAATGACTTTTCCCAGAATAATCGGGTCTATGGCCGCAATTTCAGTCCGAATATTGCGCTTTAGGTCTTGAATTGTCCGGGGACCATTCGCATACACTTTTCCTTTCAAAAATCCCCAAAGAAAATAGTCAAGAGGTGTTAAATCGCACGATATCGGGGGCCAACTGACATCTGAATTTCGTGAAATTATGCGGTCTTGAAATTTCGTGTGCAATAAGGCGATTGTTTGGCGAGATGTGTGAGCCGTTGCTCCGTCTTGATGAAACCAAAGATCTTCGGCACCAATACGATCCAATTGTGGCCACAAAAAGTCTGTTAACATGCCGCGATAACGTTCCCCGTTGACGGTAATGGCCTTTTCTTCGGCATCTTCAAAAAATAATGGTCCAACGATGCCACCAGCCCATACTCCGCACCAGTCACTTTATCAGGATGGAGAGGTTGTTCACGATATTGGTGTAGATTTTCAGCCTCTAGAATCTGCAATTTTGCTTATGTACGTACCCATTGAGGTGAAAAGGAGCCTCATCAGAAAAGAGCACTTTGGCCGGAAATCCGTCATCTCTTTCCAGCATCGAATTAACAAAAACACGCCGCTGTTGATGGTGTGCCGGCTTCAATTCTTGTGTTAGTTGGATTTTGTATGGATGGAGGTGTAAATCAATGTGTAAAATCCGGCGTAAAGTGGTCTCACTAATTCCCAATTGTTGCGAACGGTGCCTAGTCGAGGTGGTTGGATCTTCTGGCTCACTTTCACTCACTGCGGCTATGTTTTCACGAGTTCGAGCTGGACGAGCATGTTGGTATGGTCTAAAGTATATTCAGATAAGAGATAGACCGGACATAAACAAGACCACGTGATCATCGAACGCTGTAACATTCGGCAGGGACGTATTAAGAGTCACGCAGTACATATTTTAGATAGTAGATGCTGCTTTGCGTAACTTTGTAGTAAATTAGCACAATTCGATGTGTATACGATTGGTGATGGATATAGGATCATGAGGGGGTGGGGTAAGAAATATATAATGATGTAAATATACATAAGGGTTTCAAAATTTTCGCTTCGATTTCCAGCTTCGGATGCCGCCTGATGTTTGGTGAAATACAGTCGAATATAATCTCAAAATGGCGTTTAAATTAGCCTAAATTAAAAATAATCGTATATCTCTTAAAATTGCTTTTAGAATATTGATTAGTATATTTTTTGATTTCTAGGTAAATATGTAACCAAATTAAAACGTTCAAAACGTAAAAAAATGTGCATGGTTGAACATTGTCAGAAAGTAGATTCTTGAATAAGTTTTGCCAAAATGGGTTCAAAAATGTCAATAATTAATTAAAAAATACAGTAGCTTTATAATTACTTATAACTTACCGAATTTGATGAACGACATCTTTTATTGGAAAGATGAGCTTGATGAGCTTTCATCATCGCTACTGCCTGAAGCACCAACGTCAATAATGAATGGCTCGACCTGTTCCTCTAAAATATTGTCCAGTTCCCACATTCTCTTTTCAACTTTGTCTTTCACATGCTTAATACAGTTTTCCCATTTTTGCGCTGTTATTAATTCTAGTGCTTCTTTGAAAAGTCCTTTGAGGTCACAAAATTTAAAAGTTGTATTGTGCTTAGCTATATAATTTTTAACCTCTGCCCATATGAGCTCAATGGGATTGAGCTCGCAATGGTATGGAGGTAAACGGAGCACAGTTTTATTTTGACTTGCTGCCATTTCGTCAATGGCGTATTTTTGATATTCCGCCTTGTGATCCTTGACAATTCTTAATAATTGTACTTTCAGCATTGCTTCTTCAAAGTTGATATTTTTCGAGCGGAGCCAATTTTGAACATCAACTTTCCTTGAAGCCGTTGTTGGGACCTTCTCCATTCTTCGAGAATGATAAGGCGCATTATCCAACACAATTATTGCGTTTTCCTCTAAGTTCGGTAAAATTTTTGAAAACCACTGTTCAAACGATTCGCCATTCATTTCCTCGTGGTAATCTCCAGTTTTCTTAGACTCAAAGCACCACAGACCGTCAACAACAAATGCATCCTCACTGCCAATATGGCAGATAATGAGCCTTTTCCCTTTACCTGGAAATCGAAGTACTAACTGGTGTAGATTTATTTCAATAAGCGAACCTTTTTCAAATGTTTTCATCACATTCAGCGAAAAAACATTGAGACATGAGTATCAGATTGCTATAATTGGGATTATTTAGTCACATTGAAAGAAAGAATATTGAACGTCGTATGATTACTCAGCGCTTCACAATTTAATTTAAAGTTATAAACCTTTAAAAAATGAATGATCAGGAACCTGAAATACGCGCAAATATTAATATTAACAAATTATAACTTTATAAAGCTTAAAGTATGAATTAAAATGATTAGAAATATTAGGAACGGTACACAATATAAAACTTAGTAACTTTTTTCAAGTTTATAATATTCGACATATTTTAAGATTATAGTAAAAAATTATTGAAATATCGAAAACACATAAAAACATGGCTTAAAAAAGTTCTAACAAATGAAAATGACAATAAAACATCCACGCATTTTATCGAAAGTTATAAAAGTTTTGTTACTTGTAATATGTTTTATCTGCCCCCTGGAATTAATGTTTAGAACATTGTTCCCAAGGTTTGAAAAACATCCGATTGTTGTCTATTACTCGTATTTACCTGCTGGATTTTTTAATCCGGTGGACAGTCCATCTAGAAAGGCCCTCCTGGATGAAGCTACAGAATCATCAACCCATACTTTACTCGTAGTGTGTCCTGCGTTTACCCACGTTTCATCAAGGTAATAAATCTTCCTGTTTTGATTTCTATATTTCCCAATTTTTGTTAAATAATCCCTCCTCCATAGCACAATTTCTTCTCTATCCAGTAGTAAACTATTACGACCCCGTTTTTTCCATTTGAAATTTAAATGCTTCAGTAACGCATGGAAAGTTGATCGTTTGAAATTTGGCAACGTTGTATCTCCATTTACCTCCTGCAGTACTTTATCTATAGTAGGTATTTCATTCCTAAAGAAGAATTCATGCACTTTCCTCCTAATCGCATGCTTATCAGCTTCATCCAATGATTTAACAATACTTTTGCGATGTTTACTGGTCATTGGCTCAGAAAAGGTGTGATTTTTTTTGTATTGTCTTAACACATTAAACACTGATGCGCGACACACCCCAACTTTGTGAGAAACCTTCACAACAATTTCTTTGATGGTTGATGCCTCGTTCTCCTCGCGCTCGATCTTATATATATTCAAAATGACCTCTTTCATTTCTGCACTCAGGTGTCTTTTTTTAGAGCGTTTCCTAGGTGGACTACAGGAGTTTACAACTTCATCGGCAGTATCTGTACTACTGGGCATTTTGCGCAAGCAGTTGATAACAATAACAATCAATAACAAGGTATAACAATAACAACGACAAACTCAACAACTTAATAAGATAACAAACGAAAACGTCCAAAGAAATATCAAATTGCAATGATGAACACGACATACGTAACACGTCTGAACCTGAATGTGACTCTGCCTTGATACGACTGCTCTGCCGCTCGGCATAGGCATTTAATTGCGAATTGACCAATGAGGGCTCCTGTTTTACGTCGAGACGGCGGCGTTAGCGTGAAAATCACCCGAACCTTTTGTTTACATCCGGTCTATCTCTTATCTGAATATACTGTACGACCTTCAGCTGAACCAGTTTCCTCAAAACGATTAACAATCCAACGAATTCCAGGCTCTGTAGGTCGTCCATGTCGGCCAAAACTAGTGCGAAGTTTGCGAAAAGTATTTTTTATATTTCGACCATTTCGTAATAAGTTTGGATAACCAAAATGCGTTGTTGTGTTGTAAACGAAACCATGGATATAAATGGCATACCTTTGACAGTTCATTTATACATACCACATGACTTTTGACTCACATGGTAACACATAAACTTATAGGTAAAAAAAGTAAAGTAATAGAAGGCGCACCCAGTAGATTACGATATGAAAACCCAACACGCCTCCGTTCGGTCTGTGTTTTCAACCAACCTCCCTGAAGCCCCGTGCACGGCTTGTCGTCTGCGAGCAGCCGTTCACCTCTGGCGAGAGTGGTCCGAAAAGTTTTCGACCTAACAAAGATAAAATGTCTGTCCTCCGCGCGCAATTTTTAGATGAGGGAACAGAAAGAAGTCGCTTGGGGCGAGATCTGGTGAGTGAGGCGGATGGTCAAGCAGTTCGAACCGTAATTCGTGGATTTTCGCCACGGCAACCGCTGAGGTGTGAGACGGTGTGTTGTCTTCTGCAAATGTGGCCGTTTTTCCGTAAGCGCTGAGTTCAACTTGTCAAGTAAAGTCCAGTGTTGATGAATTAAAAGAATTGAGACGAACTAGGACATTAGAAAAAAATCAAATTTTAATTTTTGAAACGTTTATTTTTGAATAACTAGGTACTATAAAACAACAATATAGTTCATTCGTCTAAAATCATTCAAATTATAATAGGTATTAACAGTTATAGTCCATAACCTTAAAGTACTTTTAAATGGAGAAAATTAAGTTCAGATATCTTAATGTACCTTCAGGTTCCTTATTGTGCAAGTAATAGTAAATCCATCATGAGAAAACAAATCACCAATAAGACAAGAGAAATGGAAATGCATAAAATAATATCAAAATATACAAATTCCATGCTACGTACAGTCTTAAAACACGTTATAACCAATAGCGAATTACTCCTGCATTAATACAACAAAATAAACGCACTCTTATATAAGTACATTTTAAGTATGATGTTTAGGACAGTCTTCAATGTTCATCTAGCTAAGGCAAGGAAAATCGCCAGTTTCAGCTAACCACGATCGAGCCTACCTGAAATAAAACAATACTGCATTCAACTCTCGTCAGATAGCAACACGTGGTTAAACGTTGAAACATAAAAAAGGCAAACGTTAAAGTCACGTATTTATGATTGTTAAAATACTATTACAAATTACTCCTGGTACATTTTGGGAAAAACGCTCGGACAAGTCAATTTTGATTTCTAGAGGGATGTATTTTCATCTATCACCGTACAATATAGGATGATCCAAAAATAAATATTGCTTTTCACATTTTTAAATGGAAACCTCATTTTTTTAATTTTTCGATTCTCCATGAAGTTTTCATAACTTTTGTATAATAAAGTTATATTCAGGGTGTTTCAGAACTTCTCTGAGGAATTTTAATTGCACTGTTACGAAAAAAGTTGTTGATTTCTCAAAAAAAAAAATGTAATATAAGTCCTACATAAATTAAGTTATAAACCTGAGTTTCAATAATAAATTGAAAAATAAATATCTGTATTTTGCGTTCATCATCGTAGCGAATGTTGTACGGAACAACTGACGAAAACAAAATACCAGGAATTTTTTGTTTTTTCATACTGATAAGAACGTGTAAATAAGGTTTAATATATATCCTGGGTGATCTGAATGAAGAACGGTCGATTTTTGTGAAGTTAAACATGAGAGTATTTTGCGAGTTTATGTTGTTAGTTATTTATTAGGCTGGATCGGAAGGGGTGGACCAATTGCATAGCCTACACGGTCTCCCGATCTAAATCCTCTGGACTTCTTTTTATGTGGATACTTGAAAAACGAGGTATACCGCACTCAAGTTAAAAATATTGAAGAATTGCAGTCAATGGAAACAATTTTATTATCTCGATTTCTGTAGGACTTTTATTATTTTTTTTTTTGAGAAATCAACTTCTTTCGTAACAGTGCATGTGGTTAAAATTTCTCAAATAAGATGTAAAACACCATAAGTAAAACGTTTGTAATAGAGACAAAGAGCGCTTAGATAATGCATATACGTGTACACGACACTCTCTCGTATGTTGCAAAGTCACCTAGTATAAAATGAGTGTAGCATATGGCAACAATGGTATTTGCGGTATGGTTAATTTATGCCTACTCTTCAATAGAAACCTGACATTGGATTGCTTAACTCTAATGACCATGTTAACATACCAGTCATACCGCACCAAGATGGGTGTTGAAAAATTATTATGTCATTTATATTGTTGAACCTACCTATTAAGGAGTACTTCACTATTTGAAGAGAGGCGTTGTTGATCGAGGCTGGGTGTAAATGTCTGGTGCTTGATGAGTTCTTTGAATGCTCCGTCTTCCTTATTGATCAGATCTATGTACGTGCCCTTTTCCACTATCCGCCCGTCTTTCAATACTGCTATCTCGTTCGCGTTTTGCACCTGCGGAAATAACAGTTGTAGAGGATTTTTGATCAAAATCTCCTTATGAGGTGGCTTGAGAACAGCTATTTGCATTTTACACATTACACCGACTATGAAATCGACTGGATGCTTCGTTTAAAACAGGCCTCTCCAACTCAGGTGCTACCGTGAAGGTGGGGGAGGGATTAAGCAGCGGCATACGCATCGCGATGAAGGTGTTGCGCTAACCGTAGCACCCTGCGAATAGAAATTACCCGGGAGCTGGTGACATTGAGTATACCTTCATCGCGGATTCTACTACATTTAGTAATAATATGTAGTTTTTAAGTAAATGAACAAGAAGAGCTCAGTAAGACCTGCCAGAAATACCTATCATACCGACTTAAAGAGACAGCGTGATAAGATAATTTCACCGAATCCAATGAAGCCTACAAGGTTTGATGGAAATTTTAGGCTCATTTGGAAAAACATGGTATGACAAACTGTATTCCGACGTATCGACTGAAAATAATATATCCTGTTTGTATGCTTCATGCTTGCATTTAAAAGCTCATTTGAGTCTGTCAGTTTGACATCAGGCTACTAGATGTTTGAAAGTATATGTAAAATGAATATGAAACGTCATGATCGTTGATATACGTATAGGTTATGGTAAAATCCTACCGTCACGTTGTATCTTCAAGTCGATATGACAGGTACTTTCATCGGCATACCAAGCCCATTTTGTGCATCAGACAAAGACCTGTTTTTAGTTTTGTTCAAATTCATTGAAGAAAACATCTGCTCGCAGAAGTATAGTACGTTCTACTGAACATGGAGCAAGTTTCCAAGGCCAGTGCAAGAATTTTGGGAAAATCTTGCTGCTTAACACCTTGATAAAACGTAATTAAATTACTATTGTTGTGGTAGTATCTATACTTAAGGATCGTATCGCATTGAAGCTTAATCAGCTCCATTTGGAACTGCGGCGGTTCTGTTTCGAAAAGCACTGAAGCTGGCGTCGTAAAAATTTCATTTGCATAAACATCTCAACGTCGTCAATGATTTCAAAAAATAAATCTTTAGCACTTTTGCGCAGCTTAACCAGCGCGTAATACAATAAAAGGGTATGTCACCGTAACTTGCTTCCAGGTCTTTGAAAAATACTTCAAACTGCCGTGGTTGAGACCTTGATTTCTGCAGAAATTGACACATGTTATTACTACATCCATAATAAATTTGAAATTACGGAAGGTTTTTGCACATAGTTCCTGATGTAATATGCAGTATACCGATGATATCGGAGGTAGCCCAGCGTCGCGTACTTTTATTTTCGTTCGCCCAGTAAAACCTTGTGCTTCCGATAACATTGCTGGCGCTCCATCAGTAACAACACTACGCAAACTTTTGAGTAGTATACCCATGTCATTCATTGTGTATTCTACAGCATCAAAAATATCTTCTCCGGCCATTGTATCTTTGAGCGGGATAACGTCTAGTAGTTCGTCGGTGATAGTAAAGACTATTTCGACACCTCTAACGAAAACAGCTAATTATGATGTGTCAGAAATGTCTTTACCCTCATCGAGAGCTATAGAATACTGCACAAAATGGACACATTTTCCCGCAGTTGTTCTTTTAAATCTGCACCAAGTTCAAGTATCCGACGAGCAACTGCTTGCTCGGACATACTAATTGTCTCAAAGTTGCTTACAGCGGATGGGAACAATATTTCTGCACACACCACTAAGCATTCTTTGACAAGTGCACTGTCAGTAAACGGTCTCCTACTTTTTGCGATTTTCACAATATAACTTGCATTACATTACGACACCATTAAGAATAATCAACTACGACCAAATTAATAATTACCTCTTCAGAACTTAGAAGGGCTGGCCTCAATACAGTGTGACAAGTTAAACATTTTGCTTTTCCATCAGTATTTACAAAATATAGGATTCTTCCATGCAGGATTGAATTACATCGTTTAAAAAAGATGCACGTTAAGACGCTAAAAAACAGGTCCACTTTGTCTTGTCCTATTAAGAAATGGCCCGCGCGCGAGAGACAGTCGGTTAATTTGTTTTTCTCTGTCGCGACGGCTGTGCGGTCGAGGTGGAGGGGGAACGGCACCGGTGCCGCTGGGTTCAGCACCGGAGCGCACCATCACCAAGTGCTCGAGTTGGAGAGGCCTGGTTTAAAACATAAATAATTTCTCTAGCCATTCCTGGTTGGTGGTGAGAGCAGCTGTATAGCAGGTAAAATAAAGGCCTATTATTATGAGCGCTTACGATAGAACCATTCTAGAGTTGAATATTAAAATAGTTATTTTCTCCAAGTTATATATGTATATATATATATATATATATATATATTTCATTTTTACAGTTGAGTTCTTTACGAACTTATGAAAAACGATTCTGACCATTATGTTAAATGTAAACATTAGATTATAGCTATAGTTTTAATATACTTACAGTAGAAAGTCTATGAGCAATAGTAAGTACTGTTCTGCCTTCCATGATCCTTTGCAGTGCCTCCTGTACTAATCTCTCTGACTGGGCATCCAACGCGCTGGTCGCCTCGTCTAGCAGTAAAATCTTGGGGTTTTTAATCAATGCACGTGCGATGGCCACTCGCTGTTTTTGTCCACCACTCAACATCACACCCCTAAACGTTTCAAAATATAAGTTTCATAAATACATGGTTAAAGTTATATAGTCATCCTCATAGGAAGTAAAAATAACAGCTCTGTGTTGCTCGACTGTCACCACCACATGTTTCTTTGTGGATAAGATCAAGGGGGTTTAATACGAGTAAAACTTTCCGCTATCCTGATAAGCAACTTCAGAGTTCGTAGCTATGAAAATCAACCGAAATTCGCAGAAATAGACTAAAATGTTCATAGATCGCTCTAGCTTTATCCATCGGAGGTCTTAACAACAGAACTTGCAGATTTTGATCCCCATTAAGGAAGTATATTCTAGTATTTGTAAATACGGTTCAATCAAACTCTGTAGTTATGTTGTTTTTCTCGTCTCCCGATGAATAAATCTAGGATGATCGATTTTCATTATTTGGCAATTTTGTTCAGTTGCAATTACTTGTCTACAAGTAGGAGAACATATGTTGTATCTCAAAACGCTTGACGACACTGACAAAGAAAACCACTAGCATGCTTAGTTAAACCCCTAAATACCCATGTTAAAATTTGATAACGTCGCGTTTAATATAACAAAAATTTATTGACACGTGAAGATATCGTTTTACCTCTCTCCGACTATTGTGTGAAATCCCTGCGGTAACTTTTCGACAAATTCCAGCACGTTCGCTTCCTGGCACACCTTCATAAATTCCTCGTCAATCACCTTATCAGGATCATCTGCACCATATAGTATATTTTCTCTTGAATAGAAGTGTGTATATTAATGAAAGAGAAATCAGATTGGTTAGTTCTTTTTTCTGGAAGTGACTCATAATTTGATCACGATCGTCTTTCATTAAAAAGATTTCCATGACAGCTGAATCTTCAGCAAAAGTGCGCAGACATCTCTGTAGTTTTAATTATTGGTCGTAGACAGAAAGAGGAAGAGGAATTGAATTTCTAGGACCCCAGAACTTATCTTTCCTATCAATAATTTTTCTTGGAATATGTACCAAGACTATGAGAAGCCCTATAAAAGTAATTTGTTTTTTTTGCAATTTTTGAAATAATGTATTCATAGTGCTCATCAAACTTTTTATTATATATTATATATATATATATATTTACATCTCCATGTGGATCGGTAATCCTTTCAATTCCCAGCAATAAGTCACCTACCAGAAATATCGAATATATATCAAATTTGATTCGTGTATATCCAACAAAAAGGCAAACTGATCCAGGATCAGCTCAAAAAACTGTACATTAACATTTCGGATTTTCATATAAAGTCCGCTATATAGGTCTACCTTTTAAAAACCGTAAGATGTGTCCTCTACCGGAATACCCTTCAGATCACAAAACGGCATTCGGTCCCCCAGAATACTCAAATTAACTAAACACCAGTAGATAAGTCATCCGTGCAGTGGTGCCAAGTTTCATTTATTTCTCTTTACATAATACTACTGAAGTCTCCTAACTTGGACTTGTATTATTATATTATTTTTCAAGGATCTCCAATGGATATAACCAAAATTCTTTCCAGCAACTTTGAGTACACTATTTGCTCGATTAAGACTATACAAAACGTTGCTAGCATACGACAGAAGGATGCCCAACGTTTCGTAAATTATAACTTACCTATGCAAAAATTATCAGATCATCGAGCAGCCCACACAATCAAGAATACTTTTTTCTATTACATGTCCAGGAGGTTGTATGAACTTTCAGATCGAGCACTTTGCTTTTCCAATAGCCTATGTCGTATCGACGACATCCTAATGATGATAAGCTTTAGACGCGTAATTTCCAAATCTGTGATATTAGCAGTTGAAATACTTCCCTGCCCTCCGGTTCGCAAAAAACAGCATTGAGTATCCTAAAATACTTGAATTACCTAATCACTATACTGAGCCTTACAATCATGTGACGTTATCTTTGGATAAGGAAATCACCATTCATGTTTGGTACCATCTATCTATGAGAATATTCCTAATCTTGAAATAAAATCGTATATCAACGATTTTCTCTAATAGCTCAGACTTAACCATATAGTCACGCCAACCAAAAGCCATATGATACAATCGTCCATCAAAATACCTTCGGATTCACAAAAAAACAGCACTGAGTCTCCCAAAATACTTGAATTTACTAAACCCTGCTAGATCGGTCTTCCGTGCAGAATAAATACACTTCTACCCTACGATTCACAAGAAACCAGCACTGAGTCTCCCAAAATACTTGAATTTACTAAACACTGCTAGATCGGTCTTCCATGCAGAATACTCTTCTACCATACGATTCACAAGAAACCAGCACTGAGTCTCCCAAAATACTCGAATTAACTAAACACTGGTGGATCAATCTCCCATGAAGAATACTCTTCAATACGCAAACCAGTGCTGAGTCCTCCACAATACCCGAACTAGCTGAATGGCGTACGTCTGACGTCAGATCGGTCTCCCGATCATTTTAATTCCAGTCAATAAAGCGCGTGCGCCCGGGGATAGGGTTTGTCGGTTTGTCTAAGATCTGAGAATTCATTTTATTGGCACCAATCGTGCTGGAAGGACGTTCAAATCTGTTGTGTATTCAAGAGTGTGTCTGAAAGGACTGTTGAGGTAAGTATGACTTTTTGAACTCTTATGCAATCGTTAATAGGATATGATGGTAATATGACTGTATTACTTACATTTAATGGAAAAGCAATGAATATTGAGTAGCGTGAAGGATAAAACAATGCTGTTCAAAAGGTCAACCCCCATAAATTTTACGCCAAACTTTATCTAATCTTGTTGGTTTAGTTTTGTATAGGTGATTCTTGAATGTAAAGCTACAATGTTTTTTTTTTCAAGTTAAAGAACAGGGTCAAGTAGATTGAGTGTGACCATACATCACTGAAAATTTAAAAATAGAATACTTCAATCAAAGCTCATTTTGGCTTTTTTCTAGCTGCTGCTTTACATCTTTTTTAGGGTACATACCTGTATATGTACTGATTCCGTTTTTTGCATTATAATACAAAATCACTACAGACTGTGCTTTTGACTCACGGTGTCAAGTAGCTCGACTTTATATGTAGACAATGATAATTTTAAACGGGAGATTGTGTTGATTATTTCCTATATGGTACAGTAGCGGGGTGATAAAATTCTAAATCTAAAATTGCAAATCAGAGATATCATGTTTTACTTCCCACGTCAACGGTCGAGGAAGTATTGTAATCGCAAGATATTTTGAAAGTGAGGTATTATGTTTTGTTGGATGCTATATGACATGTAGATCACGGAAAACCATGATACTCATTTCTGCTATAACGTGGAAAGTACCATTGGGACTTTGATGAAATTTAGACACAAGGTTGCTACGAGGCTATGGACAAGAAAGCTTTAGCTTTTAAAAATAGGTCCAGTGGCGTCAGAGAAAAGGGCCACAAACGAAAAAATAGAAATCGCTCAAACTTTGTTTTTTGACGATTCAGGGGCTCTTGATCATTATCCAAATAAATTTTGAGGGTTAGGAGTTGATGAGGGAGTGAATCGTAATTTCCTAAGGTTTTCTATCGGATCTATTTGACATATCTGACTTTATCAAACATTTGCGTAGAAAACAGGAAATCATACCTATTTCCTGTATCTGTACACTCAAAAATTTCTAGTGTTAATGCATGGATATAGTGTTTAATGATAACACATTACGTATTATTGAGTTTGGTAAAATTTCGAACATCATTCACTGGTATTGCTACTAGAATCAATTAAAAATAAAGTATTTTACTTTGACAATCAACATATACTATTGCTGCACGGAAAAAAATGGCTTGTGGATGTCAGTTCATTGGGAAAAAAGCTAATGACAAAAATTACTCTAATATAATTGGCTTTTTGACATTTTTGAGAGCACTCTTATCAAATATCTTTTCACTAAAAACAAGCATGTTGTATTCTTCCTGAAGATAGTCGATATTGTATATCTATTATTTTTTGGAATGGTATTATTTCTCTAAGTTGAAACGGAATAATTACAAAACAATATATTTGAACTTTTCCAGGGAAAGCCTTTCAATATGAGCAAAAATTGGTTTTGTAACAGAGGTCTATCACCTATCACACAGCATCCAAGAGATGAAGAAAAAGATAAGACTTCTGAAACAGTGATTACTGATTCACGTAAGGTGTCATCTGTGGTTAAACAAAACAGCGACCACAGTGACTGCAACTCGGTAAAACATAAGTATGTTTTTTTTGGTAGAGTTCCCATATTTATGATTTATTCTAGGTAATATCTTCTACATCCCCCAAGATATGCTGTACACCCCCATCATCATCAATATCCGGTTTATCAGAAAATGTTCATTGCAGTAACTTGTGCAAGGACTCTGAGGTAATAATCATTCACTGCCTAGTCTGTGAACTTTTTTATTCTATTGAACCTTTTTCAGTACAACGTTACCTCGAATAACGAGAGCATAGTGGAAGATCCAGACCACCAAAGTGAATCTAGCTCGGTAAAGCAATATTATGTATTCTTTATGAAACATGTCTGATATATGTCATTCATTTCAGTTCATATCTCTTACTTCGCCTAATATATGCTGCACACCACCATCATCTTCTGTAATTTCTGATGCAGAAGATGAAGATTATAGTCCCCACACTAGTGAAGAGGCTGAGGTAAATATATTACTATTATTCTACTCAAGTACCCATTGAAAAATTTGGATTGGGTGGAGTTGTGTAGCCAATCCGATATTTTAATTTTGTAATTTTACAATTTTAATATTTTTCAACTTTCAAATTTTTTGATTTTTCGACTTTCCAATTAATAACTATAACATCTTTTCCATCAAAACGTTGCTATGTGAGGGGAATCTATGATGTTTAGAATGTGTCAAATAGATTGCGAAGAATTACTAGGGATGGAAGTGTATCATTAAACTAAATAAAAAAGAGATATACCCGTCCCACCCTCTACAACCTCCAACTCGCTAATTTTCCACCACAAATTTTTTTCTCAAAAATGATCAGTATCTGAAACAATAAAAAACGAAGTTTATGAGATTTCTTTTTTTGTTTTTAACTTTTTCTCCGCCGGCACTGGAACGCTCTTAAAAACTATATAGGTAGCTTTTCTGTCCCTGGTCTAGTGGTAACCTTCCCCCTCAAGTAATCAAGGACTCGACACAGCAGCAGAGCGGCGGACAGACTGACGGAAATGAGTGATCTACATGTCATATAACATGAAAATACTTTAGAATACTTCCTTGTCAGTTTTCTGATCTTCAGTCCAAGGAACAAGAACCGGTCTTTTTCTTCGGTAACGTTTCATCCACTTGTTGAGATTCCGAATCTGGATGCGGTTCTTGGATTTCTTCATATTGATATAGAGGCTCTGGGTGGTCATTATCCTGCTGCGCTTCTGATATCAAATTCTCGTCCAGATTCAATTCAATTTTTTCTAGGGATTTTTCTTTGAAATGACCTGCCTCGCCCTTGTCTATCAACGTCAAAATCTTGGAGAGTCTAGCCGTTTGGTAGACATCATCTGGTAATCGGTATCATGCACGGTGGATACCTAGTGTATGTCCCATAAAAGATGCGAGTTGTTCCACGTCATTTTCTGACATGTTTAACAATTGGGTCAAAGTTGCTATGACCTTTCTCAGACGGGTGCTAGTCAGGGCATGCGGATTTGTAACCGATGATAGGTTCTTATGAATTGGGTTTACCGAAAAGATTTATGTTCGACACCGTCTGAATAT